CATACAAGGCCAAGAAATACCGAGGGTAAGTGAATACAAGTACCTTGGAGTATGGGTAAATGAGAGTGATAGATACATGGAGGTACAGGAAAAAGCCTCGGCAGCAAAAGGAAAGAGGAATGCGGCAATAATGAAGCACAGAGCGTTGTGGGGATACAATCCCCGCCGCGGTGGTCTAGTGGCTAAGGTACTCGGCTGCTGACCCGCAGGGCGCGGGTTCGAATCCCGGCTGCGGCGGCTGCATTTCCGATGGAGGCGGAAATGCTGTAGGCCCGTGTGCTCAGATTTGGGTGCACGTTAAAGAACCCCAGGTGGTCAAAATTTCCGGAGCCCTCCACTACGGCGTCTCTCATAATCATATCGTGGTTTTGGGACGTTAAACCCCACAAATCAATCAATCATTGTGGGGATACAATAGGTATGAGGTGCTTCGAGGTCTGTGGAAGGGTGTAATGGTTCCAGGGCTTACTTTTGGGAACTCAGTGGTGTGCATGAGGGCAGACGTGCAATCGGGAATGGATGTAAATCAAAGGACTGTGGGACGCCTCGCGTTGGGTGCTCACGGGAAGACGACAAACGAGGCTGTAAAGGGCGATATGGGGTGGGCAGGTTTTGAGGCGAGGGAAGCGCAGAGCAAAATAAGGTTCGAAGAAAGGCTAAGAAATATGAAGGAGAGTAGATGGGCAGAGAAGGTGTTCCGTTATTTGTATAGGAAGAGCGTGGACACACAGTGGAGAAAAAGAACTAGAAGACTCACTAGTAAGTATACGGCTGGTATTGTAAGCCATATGTCAACAAAGAGCGTTAAGGGAAAAGTCGGGGAGGCGGAGAGGATTTACTGGATGGCAGCTATGGAGAAAAAACCGGCTTTGAGTAACTACCGAAAGGGCAAAAATGAAATAAGGAGGGAGGCATTTTACGATAATTCAAGGGGAAGCGCTTTACTGTTTGAAGCGAGATCGGGCTGCCTTAGAACGCGTAGTTATAAAGCAAGATTCAGTAAAGAAGAAGTACAATGCACATGCTGCGGGAAAGATAAGGAAACGGCGGAGCATGTTCTGATTGAATGTGGAGATATCCACCCAGGTGTACGTTTGGGCACGAGCCTACAGGAAGCCTTGGGTTTTAGGGACAACAATGGAAAGCTGAACACACCCGCGATTGAAATAAGTAAGAGACGGTTAGAGTATTGGTGGCAGAAAATTAGAGAGAAAGGACAAAAATAAATATTGGAAAAATAAAATATGGACAGTGTGCCGTAAATGGCAGAGAACTTAAGCTGAAAATTTACCTTTTTTTCCATTAAGATAGAATTTATCGAAGTAGAGGCATTAGGCCAACATAAAAAAAGAAAAAAGGTTTTTTTTTTTTTTTTTGTCGAGCCTGGTGACATACTTGTCACCACCCCGTTATAAAGGGGACGCTCATAGCATCCATCCATCCATCCTCAATGCGCTCGTTCGCCTCCGCCACACGCTCGAGGCACTCTAACGCAACGCCTCCAGAATACCCTTCACCGATTTTCTTGCGGAGAACATCAAATCAACGTTTTGTTCACTCTCTCAAGACTATCGTCTTACGACTACATTTGCGATGTAACATGCAGATTTGGAACCATCTTTATCGCTCCTAATTTACCGAAGGAGCCTACATGACCACAGGGGGTAGTGTGGGATCCCTGGATCTCCCTATCGACTCGCACTAAGCCAAGAAACTCGGCGCTGCGGCTGTGCAGAGTATGGGCACAGCTGATGAGCAACAGCGCGTGATTAGTAACGGCGCGGAAAACGCCCGATTGTTTTACCTCGCACTTTATTAAGCATTTGAGTTCGTTCCTAACTGCGTGCTAATAAGGTCGCACTTCAAAGAATGACAAGTCAGGTACGACAGTCAGCAAACTGCAAAGGTATGAGAGCAGACTTGGCGAACCCGTTCAGTTGATTGAAGGGGGGGGGGGGCACCGCCCCACTTTGTGTGCACGCTTATGTATGGGCCAACAGAAAATCAGGATCAATTGGAAAAGTAGTGAAGCACAAGGTGCCTTGCCGGCGAATGGAAAATGCGGGCCAATCACGATCTACTGTGTCAACAGAAATGTGGGCAAATCACAATACTAGTGTCGTCTGAGAATGCATCTACATAACCTGTAAAATTTTAGGTCACTAACAAGTGCAATAAAGTCTGACATCATGCCTTTTAAAAAAAGAACGGAAAACAATGGCCAACCACTGAAGTAGGGAAGCCTGTCAGCACATGAGCAGAAAACGTGCCATGAAAGTAGTGATCTGACAGTGCATCTAGCGTGTGAACAGGGCTATTTGCCAAAGCAGTGCCGTCAAAAGTGTGTCTTGAGCAGAAAACCTGGATCATTCACAGAAGTAGTAAAGTCTACTGTACATCCTGCGCGGGAATGAAGAATGTGCCTCATCATTTCACAAATCCTGTGCACTGTACACGTGGGCGAGTCACAAAAGTAGTGAGGCCCGACTGTGTCAACTGAAAATGTTGGCTGGTAACGGAAGCTCCTCAATTTGACTGTGCTCCAAGGTCTCAAAACTGCTGTATGCATGAGACTCGAATCCAGGGGGCAAGTCTCCACTAACAGAAGGTACAAGCCTATCACAGCGGCAAATAAGTTTACATATTTACTTGCACACTACCCGCATTTGTTAGCATCGACTACAGCTAGGCAATATATACAAACACACATTTGACATGATCTACTCAACACACCCACATAAAAGGCAGCACGCTATGATGTATGGTGCAAAGCCTGAACTGCCGAATGATCAGGCAAGCAGTGATCACCGAAATTCAATCAATTTCAGTCCATACAGGAATGATTTTATTATCAAGGTCCTCTAAAATATATTTAAACTACTCAAGCTTTGCAGAATGAACCATGCACAGAAATGTTCACAAGAGGATTGTGCAAAAGAATCCACATCATGTGCTATGTCCAGTGAAAAAAAAAAAAACATGCTAGAAGTGCTGCCTGGAGATTAAAACTCCAAAGCACGCCAGCAAATTAAAGGCAGACTACAGCTAGTTGAAGCCAAAGAAGCAAGGCAAGAATGCAGAGGAACAATTATTAACGGCCATCTATGAATGTCAATGCTGCAAGTTGCAAGGCCTGAAGTGTTTTCAAAGCCACATGTGCTCAAAGCCATAGTGCACGTCTTCCTTTTTCGGCTGACCCATTTCCGCTCGTGTGCAAATGAAGACTACAAGTGACAAGGGAAAGGCACCATTCGCAATAAGCAGATTCTCGATGGCCAGGTGGCGAAATGAAGCGCCACAGTGCACATGTCCAGCCAAACACTTGGTTTCGCCCAAGGCAGCAAAAGGTACGATCACATTTTCCTTCCCACGTGCCAGCCCCTTTAGAGTTTGTTCAGAATGCAGCTTGCCTATGGTGCTTTGGCACCCACAACAGCAAAACTTGTGCAAAGTCCCGTTCCAAATGGTTGAGCCAAGAAGTGGTACCTTGCACTGGTGCGTTGTGCTATGTCGCCACACTTATCAGAGGTCCACACTTATGACTTGGCCAAACTCTCACAAATATACCACAGGCCATTTGCCGCTGAGAGTACGCAGCACAGCAGCGCGGCACTAGTACATATTTCTGTAGCCATGCATCAAGCCGCGACACTTCCCAGTGTGATGTGTGAGCAGCAACACTTGCTTCTGAGCCGTATAGGGAGCCGGCATTGAGTGTTGGGAGTGCCAGCAAAGGAAAATGAAGTGCTTGTGTAATTTCAGAGAAAACCGCATTCTGCCACATGGTGCTTTTGCAGGCCGAGCTTGCAGAGAGCAGCATGCCACACATGCTGGCGACGACACATGAATGCTAGGCTTGCTAGACTGGCACACGCTGTGCGACTTCCACTAAGTCAGATACATATGTGCGGTCAAATTTCAATGCGTCACTACTGCCACAAAGCTTTAGACCAATGTCAGGGTAACAATGCTCAGGTGAACCAAAACGGCACCAATGCCCATATCCTCTGTTGATCACTTGCAGGGATAAAATGATTAATGTGTCCCAAGGCTCAATCCAACCAAGCAACGTGCGTAACCAATGCCATCGAGGTGCAGATACCAACTTGTCCCATGCAGCAATGGGACAGCGATATATTCTCGGAAGAAATAAGACCAATCATACTATATGTGATGACAACGGTTCAGTGCCCATCGGCCACCAAACATCAAGAACGCCCAATGCAGTTATTTTCGGTGCAGTTGTTACCGAACATACATCTTGAACGCCAGCGTTACACATACGTATTCCCCAAAATAGGTTAAATATAAAGGACTGTTGCAGGGGTAAGCCTATAAGGGCAGATATAAACCGAGAAAACATTTTTTGCGCTACGGAGTTTTTTTTTGTTAGCTTGTCAGGAAATCCAGCAAACATTTCCTAATCCTGAAAGTAAAAAACAAGGCACACCTCAAAGCACTGGCACTTTAGTGTCCCTTATGATGATGGCCTAGTTTATAGCTCACACCCACTCTGAAGGATTGGCCAAATTTTTTTTTTGCTTCCTCCTCTCTTCAGAGTTGAGCTGATCAGCGAAAACACTAGTGACACAGAAAATCCGTGGGAACACTCACCAAAACATTCTTAGTGGAAAGATAAAAAACCTGTTCAAGTTCTTTAGAGTGCAGTTCTACGGAGCGATGAAATGAACAAAAAGTGAAGGTATTGTCACGGTTGTAGGCTCCGGTCAGGGAGTTAGTTACATGAATAAAAAATGGGCACTCGCCCTGCGGAGCCCATCTACAGTTTTAATAAAAGGTCTCTAAACCAAAACAAGATTTGCTTAGAATCTTCACATATTAGTTGTTTACTAAACTTATTTTTTAGAAACTTTCTGGTTATAGCTTTAAAGGGCTCCTAAAACATTGTTCAAAATAACAATTACTAGTACTAGCTAAACTTTACAACTTTCACATGAAGTTAGCCACTACAAACCGCATTGAAGCGAGAAAGACAAAGATTCCAGAGTGTTTCCAGAACACGAAATGTAGTTCTGCCTTTAATGATTCTCAGTTGTCCCCTCCCTTCACAGAAGCAATTTCCTTTAAACGAAACTCTCCGAAACATGAAACACAGGTCGTGCAACTATTGAAAAGGCATCCTTCCCATCTTTGACCTGTGCAGAATTGAGAACTGAGTCTTCTTCGGGCGACCGTGATGGACACTGTGGCTACCGACCTCCACGACTGTAGTTGCTAACTTAGGTGCAAGTTTTCTGTATGGTAGATACAACATTTAAGCCCCAAAACTTTAGGCAGGTGAAAACTTAAAACACGTTCAGCGAGAATTCAGTGTTTGCACACGTAAAAACACTTCACTCACTGCCACATCAGAATGAGAAAGAACGCAAAAAGATGTACCTAATATAAAACTGTGCTGGAACTCGTGACTTTTTTTCTTTTTGCACTGAAACAAAGAATAGAAACTCGCGCTTTTCCAAAGGAAGGCAGTTTTCTGTAAAACACTTCAATTAGCTGGTGCTTTTGCACTTGGTAGTATATACCAAGGCAAAAATAAATGTACACAGGAAACCGCAAAGACTACAGGAAAGTGGCTGAACAATCGAGACATTTGAGTAGGGCTCAAATATACGCTTTCCATGGTCACATGGCCAATTTAAGATTTCCTTAACTTTTAACTTTTTAACTCCCCCCCCTCCCCTAGAAAAAAAAAAAAAAAACTTATACCAAAACTTAAAGCTAACGTGCATGCACTGATCTTAGCCGTTCTTATTACTCCTATCAGATCAGAAAGATTGCAGTCAGCGAAATGCCAAAGAGCCGTCGCTGCGATACGTGTTGCCTTTTCTGTGTTGGTCCACACAGCAACGATCCTCTCTCGGCTCTGTAGAAATACATCGAACAAACCTGCCTTTTGGAAACACGCTACATCTAAAGACTACAGACAATTCTTTGCCGCCTGTTCATCGGCAGAATTAGAATGTTCTCTTGGCTTTTAGAAAAGGCGCAATACGTCATCTACTGTTCTGTCATGGGCAAGGTTAAAACTTGTTGCTAAAATGGACAAGAAATCTTAAAAAATCTAAAATTCTGAAGTAAAAAAAATGGCAGAGGCGAGCCTTAGTCTTTTGAAAAAAGAAAAGAGGGGGGGGGGGGGCGCAGTTTAGTTACATTTCTGTGGTCTCCAGTTTCCTTCATCGTCCTTAGTTTTGTTTTTGTTTTTTTTCAACTTGACATATACTTCCTAATGAGAAGAAATAGTCCTAGCCCTTTGGAACTTGAGAACAGTTGACACAATGCTGCCCAAACTATAGTGGCCCACGCACCAGTCTGGTGTTGTCCTTCGACACTGGTTGCAACTCACGTGCACAGTCTCAATCCCGGTGTCTTCAAAGGTACGCTGCGTATTATTGCTAATGCCCTGACGATAATGAAAGTGGCAGCCTAAGGACAAGCTCCTAACCTTTGCAAGCACCCAGAAGTTGCAGACAATTTAACCTGAAGTGCCTAATTCTACTGAGAGCAAGTTTTAGACAAAATTTATTTCCTCGATGAAAAAAAAAAGCAAAAGAAACACCCCTCACTCATTCTCATGTAAAAATGCGGCGTATGCGGGACTCCATTCACAGATGTGGCTGATGACATTCCCAAGATGTCCTCTCTTTCCCAAACAAGCACGAGGCTTTACGATCAATATTGCATCACTGCAGCAGCCGGCAATGCGATACTATGCTACCGGTCCAGCTGACAGAGACGATTCTGCGAACCGAGTGGGCACATCTCTTAAGGAACAAAAGAGACGAAAATGAAGTTTTCAGAGTAAGAACCCACTAGGTTACTCTCACCGAAGTGAATGCTTAGTCACTGCACCAAAGAAACTTGGCCCTCGAGCCAGCACAATCCCGCCCGAGACTAGTGTTTTCGTTTTTACTTTTTCTCAAGAAGAGCACCCCGTTTTCGCTGCAACGCACGGCGGCCGTGCTTTGGAGCGGCGCAACTGCCCCGTATGTACAAAAGACGCGGGTGGGAGAGAAAAGGTGAAAAGGGGGTGTCGCAGAAGGGGGTAGGCCATCATAACCGCTTGAGCGTGCGCCGCTTTTCCTTGGCCATCTTGACTGCTTTGCTCTGTGGTGAGTTGCCCTTGTGCTTGGCAGGCCGCGCGTGGATCTCAGTCATCATTCGTGCCCTACTGCAATAGTCGTCGTACCTGCAATGGCACAAAATAATGGTCTGAACAGCGCTTGTCTGTGTTGGTTTTGTGTGTCGCTGTGTAGAATATCACGCTGTTCCTATTTCATAATGCAAAAACCAACTATTCCAAAGCTTCACTTCACTTGTAGCAGTGCCTATTCGCCATACAGTCAGTATGGAAAAATCTTACCATCGCAATTGGCATGCAGCGGTCGTCATGTCTCCGTGCCAGATCGAGTCATGGCTACGGGTACCACTACTGGCAATTCCTGGTGGCAACCACACAGTACTCGTCGTCACAGTGCAAACAAAACAAACCACATACAGCGTTTGTTGTGCTACAAGGCACTGTACAAGATGCTTGGAAAACGAAAGGAAGATGACATTACGTTCGATTTAATGGGACTCCCATTTGCCAAGAAAGATGAACAGGAGTGCAGCAACCAAGTGCAGAACTAATGTGATCAAAGGACGCAGTCTCACTTAAGATTCCTAAGCCATCGCTCGTGCTAAGTGAAATGACTCAGTCGAACTCGCATACATCGAACCTACATATAACCAATTGCAGTAAAACTTCAGCTATACGAATGTGGTGGGGTAATGAAAAATATTCGTATCATCCAAAATTGGTAGCACCAGAAGGCATGTAAAATCGATACGAGACAAAAGAAAGCTGGCGTACATTTTCATTTACTTTCTTTCTCAGGGCTGCATCAAAATCGTGAACAGCTCTTAATGACTGCCAGTAAGGTTTCCAGATGTTAACGATCATATTTGTACATGTAAATATGTGGCGCGTCTGTGGAACCAAACACATTGTGATTTGTGAAAGACAGTAGATCCGTTGTTATCCTACTATGCTTGTTCGCATGACACCAGACAACTGCAGCATTAGCGACCACCTACCCATCTAAAAAAAAAATTAAAAAGAGGGGGGGGGGGGGGGGTGTATGGCAAACGCTATCTGAAAACCAAGGTACACCAAGATTCGTGTGCCTATTCTGGAGGATACCACGCGCTGCTGTTGGCTGATCATGACAAACAGGCGGCATGGTGTGAATGCACATGCTTGGCCTTCCGCAGCTGTGTGCCATTGCTATGTCTTCCACGGCAGCGCGGGCAGCAATTGTTTAAACATGCGCAGTAGTGAGGAGGAGGAAGATTGAAAGAGGAAGGACACGGAGGTTAGCCAGTTCTCTGGCTTATTAAATTATGGTTAAGGCTGCATTCACCAGTTACATGTGGCGAGGGGCTGCCCAACTCAGATAGGCATTCTTTATCACTATGAAATTACATTAAATTATGGTTAAGGCTTTGTTCACTGGCTATACGTTATCAGAGCCAGACGCCAATGCAGGGGAACAGAGTGAGACAAACATTTGAGCTTTAAATTTCAGTGACAGGGTCCTTCGAAGAAGCAATGTGCCACGCGACTCCAAGATAAGGAAGAAATCAAGCCAGTTCCACACTATAAAACCAATTGGACAGCAAAGCTGTAAGTGCGCAAATGTATGCAACTAACTGGCTAGCGAGACCACATGCGTCATGATCTCGAGTTTCATGATCATCATAATTTCATTTTATTTTCCGATTCGTTTCCCCCTTTTGTAAAGCGACGTCTGTGATGATTGCTATGACTTACGGCACAGGGTGGACCAAGCTTCAGTGCTGAAGCTCGCATTTACCTCTCGAGCAGCATGCGTCCGGCCTCCTCGTTAAGCGCAGACTCTGGGTTCGGTGCAATTAGCAGGCACTTGATGGTGAGCAGGATCTGCTGGAGGCCCAGGTCGGGCTTCCAGTCCTTCTTGAGTGTGTTCACACAGATCTCACCAGACGGGATGGCTACATTAGGGTGGAAGATGCGGGTGGTGAAAAAACCACGTGGAGGGGATGCCGGAAAGTCCTTGGGCAGCACCTGGACGGAGCAGGGATTACTAACAGAAGTCAAGTCTGGAGCAAGGCAACTGCATTAGAAAGTACGTTGCACAGAAAAGGTCGAATTCACAGGCACAACAGAGAGTTCTCGTTTTCCAACCAAGTTATTTGTGTCAGAGTTGTACCGGATGCTGTAGGTGCAACGCTAATGTGAAAAGGCTGGATAGGTGACGACGCCATCTGGAGGAATGGAGATCAACCAGGCAAGCACAGAATTGCCAATATATGATCCCAGTGCATTTTCAGTTCTCTACTTGTGTAAACTTTTTCGTCATAACCTAATACAGATTGAATTGTTTTTGTAAACTTGCTTCCCCCAAGGAGATGAGGCACGTGTAAACGTCTCTATAACTGTAGTTGAACAAAGACCCACAAGATGTCTCTGCAGTCGTCTGGTAACCTAGAGCTCCACAAACCCCATTGCGGAATATCAGTCAAACTCAAAACCTTTACTCTCCTGAAATCCACATCAGTACGTTCATCGAATCAACTGACCTTGTCCCACAACCTCATCCTTTGAAGTTCAACACTGTTTAAGTAATTTATTCACTTATCCACATTACCATACGAATTCCTCATTAGAGCACAACGCATGAGAGAAACAATTATGTGTGCAACGGCAAACACACACACACAAAATAACTGTAGGGGTTTGTCAACATACGCCTTGTAAAGGCTACGAAAATTTTGACCAGCTGGGGTTCAGTAACATGCAAATAAATCTGGGTACACTGACCCCTAACATTTGACCCCATCAAAATACAGCTGTCGCAGACTCACCCCCGTATTCACAAATGCTCCTCGACTCGACTTCGACCTTGCACTTGACAGAGTTGAGCACTGCGCCACCGCTAGGCTGAAAATGACACTGTGCTACCCGAAAATCGCAGCAGATTATCGCTGATATGCAGTGACCAGCCGTGCCTGGAGACAGCGCTCCTATTGGCTTTCGCAAGTGAAGGTGAAGCATTGAGTGAAGGGACGTTCTAGAATACGGGGGTCAGTCTCACAACCTTCAAGCTCCTCATTGCATCCTAAAAAGTGAGGACAATGAGACAATCGGCCAAGTACTCACCAAGCGCAGCTTGAAGACACCTCCCGCGTACGGCGTGCCCTGGGGACCCTCGATGGTGGCCTCAATGTCGGTGACGTCCTCTTCATTGACAATGACCCGTATACCCTCCGGGGGCTGACGAACCAACTCGCAGAGCTCCCGCGACACCTGCCGAAGCACTTGTGGCGGCAGGTTTTCAACGTTGGAGCTCTGCGCGAGAATACGGGACAGGCCTGGTTCAGATGATCTGTCATTTTAAGCTCACCCACACATGTTTACAAATCACAATCTCACGTTTACAAATCACAACAAACTAGATAACTTCTCAGATCACATTTTCAAACCTGATGGCAACCAAGAACAACCACCCGTAGCACCGAAAGAAGATTCATTCAGTTTTGATATTGGGTCATGCAAGTGAATACAGTTGCATATATACTCCAGTCTAGGAAAGTCTTACTAGTTGAAAGTGGGAACAAATAAACCTTTCTTCTTTAATAGTAATAAAGAGCCAACACATTCAACTCTGGAGTAAACATCTCTTTGCTCATCAATTGCATTGCTCAAAGCGAATGCGCGCAATATCTACCCTTCACCTGCAATGCAGTATTTTACTTTTTGGAACCGATTTCCTCCTACCATAAAACACCTTTCTTCCATTTGGCTTGCTGCTTTTGATACAAGCTCGGCCGCAGTTTGAACCCACATTTTAGCAATTCAGTTTACTTCCCAACCCAGTGAAACCAGTATCCGACCTCTTCTAGGGCAATGCCTAAACTGTTCGCACGACTTCTCTGACCTGAATGACATTTTCCATTACTACTTATAGGCCTTTTCACAGACCAATTCCCGGGCACTGCCATAATCTCTGGGCTGTGCTTAATATGTGTGACAATATCCAAACTACCACCAGGCCTGCGCAAAACACGCAGCACAGTCACAGTGAAAGCTGGAAGAGCGGCCTTTCAGAGCCTTTTCTAAACTCTCTTTAAACTGCTACAAGCACACTTGCTGGGTACCCACTATGTCATAAATAATCAATTTCGGTGTAATAGGTTGGCATTCACTATGTTACTATCTTTCGTCATTCTTCGGAGAAGCATGGTACACACTTGCAAAAATTTTGTTCAACTACTTAATGCAGTGGCTGACGATTATGAAGAATTATGACCGAAGTGTATGTGCCATCGTTAATAGGTTATCAGGAACAAGGGTTTGTAATGGGTTGGAGCATTGGACGACCCATTCATTATGAAAATTGTATTGTACGACACTTGGTTGTTCCTGCGCTATTCAAAAACGATTCATTACATATACTGACGTAATCCCTTTCTCGACATCCACGCCTGCCTAAGGCAAGTTTGCAATGTTGTTTCAAGCACGAATCCCACTGTGGCTTTGGTATTTATATTTAGTAGGCTTTTAGAGGCGAAGCTCCTAAAGGCGTGGATCAGTCCATCCCTTGTATGTATGTATGTATGTATGTATGTATATATGTATGCATGTATACATGCATGTACATGACAGCCTATAGTTCCACCTTTGCCAGCTGCCCACTACTTCGTCCATGCAAACGTTCCACTATGCCCCGTCATCGATCCACCACTTCACCGACCATGAAGCAAATACTGTTCAGAAGTAGCCAATATGAAATGCAAGATGGTCGTGTACTTGTATCCAGGTGCACGTTAAAGAACCACGTATTGTCTCACACTGTCCATTCCTTGTTTGTACGTGACCACCTATATTTCCACCGTTGCAAGCTGCCCACTACTTCGTCCTTGCAAACATCCAACTATGCCCCATCACTATTTCACCGACCATAAAGCTGCAAAAATGAAGGGGGAACGGAAGCGATGTATCGCTACCACTTACGAATTGTAGAATTTCTTGTATACATATACACAGTATTAGTATATATAACCCTCCAGCACTTCACCTCACTCATCATCATTCACTCCGTGGATATGCTGCGATTTTTCTGTCTTACTTCATCGATAGTGGTTATGGACACCGCCGGCGATGGACAACTACAGCGTTGCACATGACCCTTGTCGTGTGCAACGCTTTTGCGTGTCGTGTGCAACGCTTTACAGCTTTTGCTGTAAAATGCACTGGCGAGGCTGTGACGTTAGCCTGTGTACTCCCGCTCGCAGCAACACGGCGGCATTTTTTTTTCCTCTCCTCTAGAAAGGTCTCCACTGCTACAAAATTAAAGGTGGTTTTCTGGGAGGCAAATCCCTTTGCTGTGGTGTCACTCCATTTGTTCAAATGTCATTTTTTACCTATACACTAGAGGGAAATCTGGCGCTAGCGTCAACGGAAGCTACAATGCATGGCACTTCAACGAACACGGGAATTATGCGGAGTACGCGGATTCGACTAGCCTTCCTACTTTACGTTCCTTTTGGCTTCGTGTGGCCCGAGGCTTCTTAGTGACGAAACAACCATTTGCAAATGTTCCGCAGTTGTGATTCCCCACTTTAATCATTTAGGCTCACTATTTCCAATAGGTTCATTAAGTTCAATAAGGTTCGCTCTTTCCTAGGAAACAATATAAAAACACAGCAATAAACGAATCCACAAGTGCGATTCGCTGCCCACAAGTACGAAGACTAAACAAATCCATGTACTACCCATCATTGCCATGGTCGCCGAGCGATCGAAGCGCCAGAGTTCTCTGTAGTTAATTTTAGAAAACTATGTGGTGCCCGAGAAAGACATTTTTTGAAGCACGCTCCCACGTGGTAATCTAACTACTCCTTATGGTTTTTAGTTTTCCAATGGAGGCATTTAGCAAGTAATTCCGGATGAGCTAGTTCCGGATCATTCGGCTAAACAGCCTTCCCAACAGATGCTGGAGAGTGTTCTTTATGAATGAATGGTTCATCATTAAACTGGGCTTTGTTGAATTTACACCAAGTTTCGGTGTCCTTTGAGCAAAAGCCGTGGGATAGATTGGTGTCCTTTGTTGCCAAGTGAAAATATGTGGCCCGGACAGCTTTTAACATGTCCTCCAAGCTGGCTCCAATTCTTTTACCGGTCAAACGATACTAAGTTTTGGTGCTTGCCAATGCTGACATCACTAAGACGTCCCCGGCCAGATATAGATTTCCCAACAGAAAGCTTGGTGTCTTTGCTTTCTTTCTTTATCGCATTTCTGGGCCAATTCTTTTCCAAATGTGCCAAATGCACTCCAGCTTGCAACTGTAACCTCTCCATATGGCTATGATGCTTGAACTGCAAGGAATCCCTTGCTACAAAAGAATGGAAACATAGCAGGCCGCCACACATGTTTCGAATATGTCATTTTTAGAAAAAATGAAAAATTGCACTGAGACAAACAAATGACTCAATCTGGTTCAGAAAAAGCTGCAAATAATGCAAAAAAATTTTTCAATATTTTTTCTTTTCCTGTCCCCTTAAGGGGAAAGCCTTAGAGCTCTTCATACTTCAAGATTGCATTGCGATGTACGGAAAATATCATGTGAGCCGTGCACCTTTACCGCATTCGCACGAGTAAAAAAATAAAAAGTAAAGGCGCGTTCACGTGACATCCTGCTGACCACTACGGAAAAGAGATTGAAAGGGCCCGAAATAGATGCTGAGCCAGGGTCTAACGGATTGTACGAGGCTCAAGAAGTTTGCAACACAAGAGCAAGATACCGATGCGGTATTTCTGACTTTAAGAGGCACTCAAAGTTTTTCAAAAGAGTGAGGGGGGGGGGGGTTCAACCTGCCTTTATATCAAGGAGTGTGCTTGTGTTCCGCACCATCACGAGTATAAAGCACGCAGACCCTGGATTATTTTCAATTACCTGTAGTTCTTTCACAAAACACCTAAATCCAGATATACGGGAGCAATTTTATTATTATTTTTTTTTCATTTCATTCCTAAGGCCAGAAATCAAATCCACACTACTGCGCTAAGCAAAAGCTTGAAGAATGAACTCTACAAACGGCCGGCCTCATTATTATTAAGGCACAACTTGCTCATATCACCATGCACATGCAACGGGTCATTCCCTCTTTAAAGGGACACTAAAACCAACTATTAAGTTGACGTTGATTGTTGAAATAGGGGTCCAGAAACCTTGTAATCTTACTTTCATGTCAAGGAAGGGCCTATTTTGAAATAAAATCACGTTTTAGTGCTCCACATCTGGTTAGTGCACTTCAAATGACCCGCCTACCGGACCGACTCACGTCACTGTTGCCTTACACAACGTTACCCTGCTTTACCGTGCTAGTAGCAGCAGATCGGAAGCCGGGGGAGCCACAGCAGCAACAACGGCTATTTATCAATTTCCGGCCATTGGCTTCGAGATTGCAGACACTTTTATTTCAGCTGCGCCTTGGTAGATGGCACCACCTGTCCCGTGTAAGCATTAATTTTCTAATTACTCGCGCTATTTTCCATAGAACGTTCGGCGGTTGTTTAGTGCAGTGAGATCATTTACTAGCGATTAATTGCAGGCAGTCCATCTGAAGTCATTGGGATAATTTTGAAAATATCCTACTGTGGCACTTGTGTTCTTACGTATTTACCTTATTTCTCGGTAATTAGGGCACTGTTGTTTAAAATATTGCAGTTTTAGATGTTGTCATACATTGAGCTTTCGCTCTGATGAATTGTTATTCGACTTTAGTGTCTCTTTAAATCAATTTCTTGTAATGGCACTTCGCAATACCTGAAATAAATGCTCGTGCATCTCTGGTGCGCCTGTCAAACGCTTTACGTGACGCCAGATAACGTCCTGTGGTAGTTAATTTCTGCTGACTACTGAGCAGGGGTGGTGTCAGAATCACTAAAAAAATTTTTCCACAACATCCGACTTTTCTGTCCAAAAACAAGAACCACACGTCTGATTCGTATGGCAAAATCTTAACCGTAAGCACACACAATAGCTTAACGTGACAAAAACAGTCGAGCTTATAGCAATGAAGCATCTACACAAATTGTATCCGCACGAGACAGCGATAGATTAGGTCAGAGTCTTTTTTATGGACCATGCCCACTATGAGGTATTTCAGAATATGAGGGATGTCACACTGAACTTGGGGTGTTTAATTCCTGTAGATGCTATATAGCAATGCCTCAACTTGCATCAACAAATAAAAAAACTTCAAAGATAAAAAATCAACAATAAAAAAGGGGAGGGGGTCACCAGCTGTCGCTAAAATGTAAATATTGGACACATCTGCCGGCCCACTGCAATTCCCACAACTGAGAGGCGTATATCTGCATAAAATTCAGAATCCGGGGAGAAGCAGGGACATTACCACCGCTGGAGAACTGTCGGAAGCTTTTCACATGACAGCACGAGGTTCGTTATGCGTTGGCGACACTTCATTGTTCCTTTCGCAGGCAGAGAGCATGTTCTTGCGTTACAGGTTGGGATTGCAATGTTATCCGATCACTGCGAGTCCGTCCTTTTCTGCACGTCTATACCTCGGTATTGCATTGCACTAGACATTACCCGTTCAACGTGTGCCTTACATTCCGCGCATGCCATTGCATATATATAGCACTGCCGTGAAATTTGGAATAAACAGTCGAAAACTTGCGCTCCCTTTGCCACATCCCTCGTTATTACTTCGCACGAAATAGCCACAATTGTCTTTCTTTTTGTAAGAAACGATGGTGCACCTACTATAAAGCTTAACGCCTTAATAGCGCAATGTCTTATATAAAACACTCTGCAACACTGGCGCAGAAGCGTCTGTGGCGGCGGGGCTGATTCTAACCTCACATTCTTCAAAATTTGTTTTGCTAGTGCATTCAATCCCCTCCCCCCTCCAGACACACACTTTACGTTCTACGCCAGTGTTGCGAAGTGTTTATGAGACATTGCGATAACAACATGTTAATAACCCTCTGAACAACAAAAAAAAAAAATCTGGCTATGCCGTTGCTTTGCAAATTACGTGGAATTGCGAAGACGTTAGCAGAATCGGATGGACACCCCCAACAAACACGCAACCGTCTCGCACCAATTCTTCGAAGCATCCCGTGGAACACAACCGGGCAAACTCTTCGGCTCGCTTGGTTGCGTTCGCTTCACTGGTCGGGTAACCGGGCTCTCGTTAAATGGAGCACACGAAAACCACAATGCTACCGTTAAAAAAAAAAAAAATCGGCGACTAGCGCGTAGGCAATTCGGGTCACAACTAACAAAGCATCGGGGCAACAGGCGCACATCACAGCAGCGAAAAATAACAGCTAAACACAGATAACACAAATAACACAAATAACAGATAAACAGCTGCGGTGCGTTTCGCGTAATCCGTTCCTAGGAGCGCGCATCTTCAAACAGCAAAAACAATTTTCTCGTCGCGGAATGCTAGCCGATTGAATTCTCTTAATAAGTGACGTACAGCTGAAACCATTAACGCGATAACTACATTATCCACGAACTTCGCCCAGAGACTAATATAATACAGCGAGAAATGAATGAAACGTAATACGCGGGAACGCCAAGCGGCGCATCAGAAATGATTTAACTCGAGCAACATCACGAAAAGACCTTGTTTGGACGTTTCCCAGGAGAAACGGTAGTTTGTAGGCGTGCGAAACCGTTGCATTACGACACTGCGAGACGTACGAAGTAAACAAAAACTTCAAAACAAAACAACCACGCATGCGAGACCGAGCCAACCGACACCCATGACTTGGGTAGTTGCGGAAGCTACGGCAGCGCAATACCCCAGCGCCCGGTTCGTTCTTGGAGCTCACGACACCAAGTTTAACTACGAAAAGTTCGCAATCGATTCGGCAACCTATAATGCACCTTATAACGAAAGGGGTGCCCGAATTTTGCGACGCGAACGCGTTGTTTATGTCGCTCATTAAGCCTAATCAGAGCCCGTACCCCCCGCAACGCGCGGTTTAAGCGCTTATCGAGGACGAAACGTGGCACCGTGCGGGTTCCCAAAATGGTTTTACTCACGCTGGACATGGCGTAAAGGTGTCAACAACCCAGGTATCCGGCTGTTCTCGTCGCGGTGGCAACAGGGCCAAGCGAGAAGCCGCGTCGGACGCACCGCCTCGGCCTCGAGCAATGAAGGGAAAAAGAAACAAAAAAACGTTGGCAATCTGAAGACATGACGAAGCCGAGTTTGAATCGGACCAATCGGGGAAGCCGGTGACCGTACTCCAGAACCAGGCGCTTCATTAAAACGCACGGAGGCGAAAGCGCGCGAAGTTTGAAAAACTAAGGTGAGGTAGAAAAATTGTCGCGGTAGATAACAGTTCGATACACAGAAGACAAGCAAGACCAAACCGGGCAGGCGCTGACTAACAACAGGTGCGTTTATTTTTACTGCAAAAGTGCATGCGCATTCCGCAAGTACTACAAACGGAGCAGAGGGGGAAGATTTTTTTCCAACTCATATCCAGATGCCCCGATTTGTCGAAGGCGTATAGATACGTAAGTCTCCTGTTAGTGCGATTTATGGAATACATAAATACATTCATGTATCAGCTTCCCATCGATCACCCCACCACGGTGGCCTTGGGGCTGAGGCTCGCAGCTGACCCGCAGGTCGCGGGATAGAATTTCGGCTGCGGCGGCTGCATTTTCGGTCGAGGCGAAAATGCTGTATGCCCGTGTGCTCAGATTTGGGTGCACGTTAAAGAAACCCAGGCAGTCGAAATCGCCGGAGCTTTCCACTACGGCGTCTCTCATACTCATACATGGCGGTTTTGGGACGCCACATATTATATGGTCCTTCCTGGAAACAGGTTCACTGTCATAGACTGACGGCAGTGTTTTGTTTCCGAACTGCTGGACGAGCTTTATATAAAATCCGTCCATTCTTAAATCCAGCTTCTGAGCTGGCTTTATTCTTCGCTGTTGAACATTACTTCCCAAGAATAGATTGGTGCCCAAGAAATCTCTTTCCCAATTGTCTTCCATTTCAGCATCTTCGGGCGAGAGGATATGATAGGCCTGGATCGCAAATCTCGAAATCGAAAATAAACTGTCAGACAAGTGCTAAAGTCCGCATTTTACTCTTTCCTTTCGAGTTTTGTTAGCAAGTGAAAACTCGCCCGAAAAGGAGCAATTGTGCGGAAAAAGCACGGTAACTAATAAAACGAATTGGTTGTGACTATGTCGGTTATGGTCACGATTGTTGACGCAGAGCTAATGAATCTGGATCATTTAGATTCAGTCAGGCACAGTATTTGGATCCTTTATGATTTCATACTGCTTTTCTGGGTCCACGTTACTGTAGTTACTGTATATGCTACCTTTAGGTAGCATATACAGTAACTTTACACGTCACAATCAAGAACTGCCCCCTCGTGATTAGAGATAGCGTTTTATGTGTGAAAGACGCCAGATTTACGCTACCATGTGCGTTTGCTCGGTTTCTTCACACTGGTCCCTTAGATTCTAGCCTTTTGTCAAACCAACAAAATGTTCTGCGGGATTAATGAAGTTGTGTATCTGGCCAATACAAAGGACGGTAGACACTCGGTATTTGACAAATGAAATGCTTAATGAATGCCAATACCTGGTGTGCAAGTAATTTTTAGTTATTTGTTCCCCTTAATTTGTTCTATACTTGAAATGCTGATTCACCTTCTACATTTTTTTTTATGTACTGTTCTCACCAAGCCCCTCCCCTTCTGCTTCAGCCTGGATGATGTCAAATATAAATGAATGCATAAAATTGCAATTTATGAATGGTTTTTGTTGTACAAATACACCTATGCTACGGATTCTAATACCGGTTGTGTAAATGCCGCCAATCAACACGTAAGAAATTGCTGTTGCTTGATGATTCCCTACAAAAACAGTAGAAATAATTTTAAAAAAGTTTTGAGAAAGACTGAAATCGCCTAGGGGTACACACGCACTTCCAGCCAACGTGTCAAAAAAAAAAAAAAAAGAACCAAAAATTATTGGAGACTGCGAGCGTGTGCAAGCTTAAGAAATTCTCAATCAGGTGGTTGCGAATTCCCAAAATTATATTTTTTGACCAAGGACAGTCTCACCCAGCATTAAATACTATAACATGAACAGTGTATGGTGGTGTGGATAATAAGGCAGTTTCACAATATTTTGGTACACCAATGTCTTGAACTTCAAAAATTATCACTTGCACATAGACAATCAGTAAAAGGAAATGTCTCAAACGTAATTTCCCCTTAATTAGTAGGAACAACAGCCTATTACACGATCGATTTTACGCTTTGAATTTCTGCACCACTGTTCATCTCTGCGACACTGAACATAGTTTCCTAGTGCTCCCCCCCCCCCCCCCAAGTTTAATTTATCACACTTTCAGAAACACTAGCAGCCTGCACTAAGGACAGTGAATTGACCCTTTTCAATATTGTAAAGTTAGCTTTCCTGCTATGTAATTTGAACAACTGGCGGCTAAACACTAGTAATAGTTTGCAAATTACCTGTACAAGCAAACAGCCTGTACTGCAAATTGCCTGTACAAACAGTTTGCCAACACAATGATGTGCAAAATATTGAGCCTGCTCTCTTGATATAAAGACTTGTAACATACTAGACAAGTTCCAGCAAATCAAACAAGAGCCGAGTTTCTGCTTGAAGCTAGACAGGTGCTGCCGTTACTTTTTCATGCAGTGCAGAGGCGCACTTTTATGAATTATGAGAAGGGTCTATTGTAAGTTTCTTCAATGAGTAGTGGCATAATAGAATGAGAGGAATTTCACACATTACACTCATAGAAAACCCGTAATGTTGAAACTTTTATTTACAAGAAGACAGGACTCCGGTCGGTTGCGTAATAAGTGACAAGACGGAGGTTCGCCACTGCTGCCCTCGCATCCAGAGGAACGGGAAAATAAGCAACTGATGTCCTGCAGAAGCGTGCTGACAAGGCAGTAGTGCTTGTACGAAGCAAGGCAGGCACTGGGCGGCTCGGTGGCCTAGTCAAATGCAAAAACGAAGTTGTCTGCTGCCACTGGACGTTTCTGCGCTTAATGCCACTCGGGCAGCACCGAGACATATGGCCGAGCACTGCCTCAAAAAAGAAATTGCACGACTCCACAAATGTATCACTGCAACCGCAATTTTCTGCAAAACAGTTTTTCGAAACAAGTTTTTGTACGCTTGCACATTCACCCAAAATCGTGAGAGTTGTCCAAAACAAGCAATGCCATCATTAGCAGAGTACAAGCTTTTTTTTTCTCACACCCTGCATAGGAAAGTTTTTTTTGTGTGTAAACAACTGTACAAAAGAAGGCTTTCAAGCAGCCGACTTGATGATACTGACCATGTCTCAAGCACTAATAGGACGGCTCAATTTAGCTATTGAAAGCAATTAAAGAAAAAAAAAAGACTTCGAAGTTCCAGAGACTTCGTTCACCGATGTATAGCTTTGTTGCCAGTTGAAGCTTTTCTTTTTCAGAGACTTGGACGATTGATGCATAGCTTTGTTGTCCGTTGAACCTTTCCTTTTTACATTTTTTCCTAAAAACTATATTTGCAGAGAAGCACGCTTTCTGGAAAGGCACGAGAGCGCTCGGCAACGACAATGCACATGGCTACGACTGCGGCAATAGCTGCGATGCAATTTAAAAAGCCTACGTACCAACAAGAGAACACTTGTAACCACCCTGTACCACAACACGCATTTGAGTGGTTAAAATAAAAGCGTAAAATCCTGCCACATCCTGCTGCTGCACGTGTTGTACTTATAATTCGCACCGAAACGGAGCCAAAAATGATCCATAAAAGAATTTCAAGAGGTACTTATATTAGAGAAACCAGGCATAATATTATTTCATTGTATTCGTACTGACACGCTAGATGCGAAGCAGTAACAAAAAAAAAAGAGTGAATAATTTACGACGTGGATGTCGGTAAGAGACGATCACCAGCACCACGTGCCGCACAGAGCTTCACAGAAACGACGTTAAAGACCTACAAAATAAAGTCGCACAAGGAGACAGTTGCACTTGGGGAATCACAACTAGAAAATCTGGAGCAAAGCACACAAACAATAAAAGTGCAGTCACGGTCGAAATATTTGCGCATTGTTCGTCACACAACTCGTCTCGTCAAACTAATTTCAGTCCTACACAACACTGCAAGGTGACACCACCGATTCCCGCCCTTCCAAACAACACAACTCCCAATTTGCCGGGTAATAGCAAAACTTTGGACAACGACTGTTAGCTGCAAGCAACAGGCTGAAAAAAAATGATGAAAAAAAATAAAAAAAAGGAAAAGAGGCACACAATCATGCAATGGCACATCCAAGGGGCAACTTGCATAGTTAGTACCCTGCAAACCTCCGTTCGTTTTCTCTGGCAACCCCAAGTGCTGCCTGAGAGCAGTGCTATTCGACAAATCACTTTTAAAAACAATCAATGCAGAGCATCTTGTTCTCTTGTTTTGGCAACATCACTCCAAGTAAAACCAACAAAATTCCCTCTCGACGCACCTACGACTAACAAAAACAAGATGGTTAGAGGCACACACTTGCATAACGTACAACCGGATTTGGGTTAACCCAACACGTTCCAACAGACACACATGCAAACACGCACGCAAAGCAGGCACGCGATTACAGTAAAAGCACAACCGTGGTAAGTAATGAAGCAATGACAGAGTTCGTGAAGTCCCCTGGAAGCACAACATTTCATTTGGCATTGCGTTGTCACGTCACCGACACGGCAAAGTTTTGCGACCAAGTTTCACAGACATGGACGCTGGGAGAGGAACATGGATTTGATGTATAAATAGAAAAGAACACAACGGTTCATACCTGGGTCTTTCAGTCTACAGGCCTGTGCACAAAAAACGCCCGTCCACTGAGCAGCCAATCCTAAACGCCGTGAGCATTCATTGTCAGTGAATTACAAGGGTAAAACTGCAGCGACCACAAAGTTTGGGATTACAGTGACGATTGAACTGCCCACAACATACTTCAGTTGCACAACTGCAATGCATCTTGCGTACGCACAAATTTTTCAAGAAACGAAAATGCAAACAACTTGCCCGGATAACAAATACACTTGCACGACACGGACTTTGAAAAGCGCACAACTCTCCCAGGAGAGTAAGCTAATCACTCGGCATGCTAATCGAGAAACCACGAACTCGACATGTGTCAAACTTTTTCTAAATAACTGCAATTTTAAAGTTGCCTAACTTGCAAGTCCAGAACACTATGTAGCATGTCGGTTATAGTTTTCATAAATTACATTATCAAGGTCACTTAGAATCTCCCCAAGAATTGACATAACCTGACCAGAAAGTTTTATCTGGCAACCATTGTTCCAAAAAATGTAACGCTTCCGGAGGCAGCGCTGCTGGATAGAAGCACCGGTTCACTAGGCAACGTGCACATTTGCTGCCACTTATTCCTAATCACGGCATCGTGCAGAAATCGAACTGGGAATATTTCGTCATCAGACCATGTGCATACCTCCAACCTACGATAAATGCGTTGCTACTTTTCTAGCCTGTCGTGCCACCTTTGCATAGATGAAGTGACATTTTTTATAGGTCATGCTTTTCCATGCAAAAAAATAAAAATATGTAGAACTTGCAACTTTCCATCTGAAACTATTTCAGATGAATAAAATACCCTATTCATTTACAAGTACATTGATTAAACAACCTAGAGAAGCAGCATTACAGATTTTCTTTCTATCCATGTAAACATCGAATCAAGGTAAGAGCAGCCCAAAGTAATAACTAATCTGTTTGTACCAATATGGCCACTCATAATATTGCTCCTCCTTGCCCCGTTTTTACAATTCTTAAGAACCTCGATAAGGAATCTCTGGCAGTAGTACTTTACACTGCAAGATCGATGTAGGAACCAACACGGGAGCGAGGCCAAAAACGCATTTCATCTAAAAACTTTTATCTTGCACTGGGGCTTTGGACGGCTTTCAAAATATGCCAGCTGATCAATTCAGCGATGGCACCCCACCGTAAATGCAACAATTAGCTACAACTATTATGCATGCAATTTCACTGAAGATTGGTAATCATGAAACTACGATTGAACTCTGGCAACTAAAATGCTGTGAGTGAATTTAGAAGAATGAATGAAACCAGAAGTACAAAGCTCAGGTAGATGTAACCACAAATCGCGCTGTAGCTCAACAGTTGAACCAGCAAAGCTCCCTACGGTGGGCATTCACAAGAAACCGCGTTTCCTTGCAACCCAGGTGCAATAGTAAACTGAACACGGTATGCTGAAGTGAACTGTGAGGCACTAATGGACCATTGTCAAAGACTTCCAGCCTTGACACACACACACACATAAAACGCACATTCAAAGTACCACGAGAAGAAAAAAAAAAAACATTTTACACGTTCTCTACAAATAGACTGGGTAACTGTCGAACACTTGATCGAGTTTTTGTTCGTCACACATGCAGACACACACACACACACACTCAAAAATAACTCGCTCAAAGAAGAGCTGTCGGTGGGAAACTAAAGCGTTCGATGTATTCAACGGGTGGGGAAGGCACCGCTTTGGCCAGTTGGTGAAACACTAATAACAATGTTCTAAAACATTATTAAAAGCACCGAAATAATAAAAAAAAAAGGAGGGTGGAGGGGAGGAGAGCTACCTTATTCCAACAACCAGCCACCTCACGCACTCGGCGTCGCATAACGACTGCGACACAGCAGAGACGCTGTTGGCTCCTTGCGAAGACTTTCCCAGCTCCAAACGAAGGCGGTCACCGTTTCGACGACACAAACATGAAACGCACCGAACACTGCACACACCAGGTCGACTTCTGAATCGCATCAGGGGACACGCTGTTGTTTGTTGACATCGTGTCAGGCGCCCCTGGCTGTGGCCCCGGTAGGGCTGGGAGCTAGCACACAGAATCTTGACACAATAACAGCACCACGACGTCGCCATCGACGATAACCACCACCAGGAGTCAGAAAGAAGGAAAGGATCGATGGTCGCATGGCCATTCCGACAGCCCCAGACAGCAGCGTGGAAACCGCTCGAAGACTGTCGCACGTTTCACAAAACAAAATATGGCAGCCGCAGCATGACTTGCAAAAAGCAGCGTTGGACAATGCTCTTGAGATCTTAACTGCACCGCTGTTGGTAGAGGTGTGTTGTCTTCAAGAACTGGGGAAAAAAATAGAGTATCTCGTAGATGGGGGTTGGCTACACACAGGGCACCAGCGGACAATGGGGATGGGACGACAGAGTCTGGCCATTTCATTTCTTTGTTCCTTCAGTCAACTGGCTCGACCATAGCAAATATTTTGCCCTCCCAGAGAGGCAGGACTTCGTTGTCGTCGGAGATCTCTTCAGACACTACGTCTGTTCCGAATTCCTGGCAAGAACGCCGGAAGAAGTATCTGGGGGAGTGAACAAAACGAGACAAACAGTTGTACAAGTGAAAGAGCCACTGAAAAAGCTTGTTACACTATGCACCAGTTGTCACGCGCTCCAGTGACTTACAAGTTTCAGTGTCCAGCGACTCTTGGAAGTCATCGTCTGAAGCTGCTCCTCATCGTCACGCACTACATTGACTACTAAAAGTCATGCACTCTAGTGACTGCTCAATGTACCTCACTCCAGTGACCCCTCAGCATAATGCACTCCAATAACTCCTCAATGTAACACACTCCAGTGACTCCTCAACGTAACGCACTCCAGTAACTCCTCAACGTAACGCACTCCAGTGACTCCTCAAAGTCACAGACTCGAACTTCTAAACGTTATCAGCTTAACTAACTGCCAAATGCCAACGGCTCCCGAGTGAGACTCTTAAATGCCAGATTCTAGCAACTTCTAAAGTGTCACCCGCTTCAGCAACTTGCAATGACACCTACCATATTCACTCGCGTAATCATCGCACCCCGAACTTGCCGCATCGACATGTCATGTGTCTAGTCTAGCTGAACGCGCCTATCATTGTTTCTGTGATCTGAAAGCGGGCATCACTACGCTAATGCCATAAATTTACTGATTTAAATGAAAGCATTCCTTATTTAGATAGAAGAAGCTGTTTTGACGCGCATGACGTACTCACAACCTGCATAACTGACGCAAAGAAGAAAAAAAATGCTGTACCTTCGCTCCACGGAGTGCTTCGCTCCGTCAGCCGCCATGTTTGCTTTGATATCCCGCACTGTTACAGCGGCGGCCGCCTCTTGGTCGACCTGTGTTCACCCCGCAGCAATTTTTTTTTTTTCCCCGAGACCACGTTTTTTTTTGTGTGTGTGCTTTGTGATCGTCTGTTGAAGCGCCGTTTCGCCATGGGACGGTATGCAAGCTTTACTGTCGCGTTCAAGCTGAAGGCGCTTGACTACGCGCTAGAGCACGGCCTCCGCGCTGCCGGCAGACATTTCGGCGTGGACGAAATGCGAATCCGATATTTAAAAAAAAACAGCGCGACATGCTCATGGCTACTAACAGCATGGGATGGCCTTTCCGCGGACGCAAATCTGGCAAGTTACCCGACATTAAAAAGGCAGTCCTCGAATACGTGAGGACATGCGCAAGGACGGTTATGCAGTGTCATTAGACATGATATGGACGCAGGCGTGCAGTTTCCCGGAGGCTGGAAATAGCCACGAAGGACTTCCGCGCCAGTTCCACCTGGACGACACGCTTGATGTGGCGGAATGGACTGTCGCTGGCATTTCCAACGCGCTCGACAGAACGGAAGATGACCCTCTGTGGGGCAGTGAAGACACTGCCGGTTCCGACAGGGAATCATGCGGCGACAACACTGACGCCAGTGATGCTTCGGAGTCTGAATGAACGTTAGGGGGTCAGAGAGGTAAAAAATAAAAGGGCAGCGTGTCATGCATGTCGCTCCTGCGTAATGCGTGCATTTTATTGCAAAGGTAAGCCTTAATTTACTTTTATTTTTGGTTATGTTCATGATAGCTACCATAAGAATTCTGATTAGCGACTTTTTTGCGTTTCCGGTGCTCAGAATATTTTTTTTACGGGCAATTTACCCCGCGTAATGATCGCATCCTGAAGTTGGAGTAAAAAAAAAAAAGTGCGATCATTATGCGAGTATATACGGTACTGCAACGGCCAGATGCATAATCAAACCTCTCATTCATTCCCATGAGCTCACCTGTAGTTGCCTTTCTTGCTAATGAGAGACTTGAACTGACGTAGCGTGATATCTCGGCCGGCAAGCTTCGTTCGGTACGGCACAGTTTCCCCAGAGTAGCAATAGCCAATCACAGTCATCTCCGTGGAAGGTGAGGGCGGAGCCTGAAGCTGCATGGGGGCGGGGTACAACCCACCACCCGGTGCAACCTGGGGACCTGCCCCACCGACGAAGCCTTGCTGCACACCCGGAAGAGGAGCTCGTACCATCGCCTTTGGCCACTTCCTGAAAGGTGGATACAAAAATTAAGTCAGCGGACTGCAAAAAGCAAGCTTATGCAGCACAAGGGCAAAATCGACAATTGCAGACAGGCATAGACATATCAACATATTTGCACAGTGCAAGACTCTTTCTGTCCTTGTCTCTTCTTCTGTAGTTACATCGCAACGACTCGTAGTCTTGCACTGTGCAAATATGTCGATTCCCAATCACCAACTAGCCCAAGCATCTGTCTTATCAAGTTACATTTCTAGTACATCGGGCTCTTTCTCGTGTTTCCCTGCTGATCCGTGTCACCTCGCCAACCTCATTGCTGTTGCTGAGTGCCAAGCAAGCACTTTTGCTTATTGCTTACGCCTCAAGTTCCTACCGCCCGCAGTCAAGCTGTTGCTTGGAGGCCACACCGCTTCGACGGGACATGGCATTCGAATTTGCAAAATTCTTCGCTCGGAATGGAAACGTTGAGCGCGCCAGCTTCGGGACGTGATGTTCTTTCAAGTGAACAGTACCGACAGCCCTCGAAGGGCCAAGAAAAAGTGGCTAGAGTTTCGCGTCTCCACTAGCAGAATGACCGAGTTTATCTGGCACATATGCTGGCACACATTCGGGCCATCACATCCAGGACGAAACCCTCACCGAGCAACCCAATACACACTGCATGTGAGGTGCCAATCCCGGACTGTGTACAGCGTGTGTTAAGCTTGGGTCCCAAGTTCACCACACAACCTCAGCTGGCACCTCTGGAAATGCTGACCCTTGTAAGGCAAGTAGCCAAACGGGCTCCCAAGGCCGAAACATATAGATGTGTAGCAGAAGGCATTCAGGTTTTGTTGCAGTCTACACCAGACTGCCATAACCCGCCTTTTCACAGTGTTGTCACGTTCTTCAAAGAGAGCACTTTTTCTGTCCTTGTCTGTTCTTCTGTAGTTACGTCGTAACTCCTTGTCTTGCGCTGTGCAAATATGTTGACTCTCAATCACCAACAAGCCAAAGCATCTGTTTTATCAGACGTAGACATCGTCACTAATGTCTGTGTCCTCATGTGTCCATTTCGTCTATGTCTTTGACGCACACTGCCATAAACAATCACGACCCAACTAGCCACCAGTGCATGTTAACACTTTTGCTACAGCTGACGAGTACAGTTGTGATGTGATTTTGCAACAAAACGAACAATGCTCGTAAAACTCTGGTCCCATGACACTGCAATACAAGAGGCCCTAGGCTTTTGCACATAATTGAAAAGGTCACCTTCCAACAGCAGGAAACTTATTAGCAAGCACATACTCTTCTGCTTTCTCTTTCACCCAATGTTGCATGTTGAAAAAATTTGCGCTGAAGTGCTTGGCGGTGGCACGGTTCCAATTTTTTTCGGCGAACTTGAGCAGCGATCTTGAATTTCATCGTATATACAATTATTGCAGCCCATCGCAAGAGTACAGTAAAATCGTGATGAATGAATGGCAAAACCTTAACTTTTGAAATAAACCAAATGTGCATTGCAGCGAGGATACTGGGAACGAGGGGAACCGTTAGCACAACAAACCCTGATTGATTGATATGCGGTGTTCAACGTCCCAAAACCACCATAAATTATGAGAGACGCCGTAGTGGAGGGCTTAGGAAATTTTGACCGCCTAGGGTTCTTTAACGTGCACCCAAATCTGAGCACACGGGCCTACAACATTTCTGCCTCCATCGGAAACGCAGCCGGAATTAGATCCCGCGACCTGCGGGTCAGCAGCCGAGTACCTTAGCCACTAGACCATTGCAATGGGGCCACAACAAACCCTCGCATGCCTCGAACACATAAAGTAGTCAGTGCCGTGTCGTGAGCGTACATTCTTACGGTGGAAGAGATGGGGAGGTAAAGGGAGGCAAACACTTGAGCAGTACTGATAACCCGTCTACCTGAGCAGTACTCGCAACCCGTCAACGCGTTTCGAAGTTCGGGTGCGGTATTCTTGCAACCGTAGTTCAAGAGAAGGCTTCGAAAGAAGAGACTTCGTAGTCGTAGTGCGTTTTATGTATGGCTGCACTCGCCTGCGAGGCGTGCACCCGTCCAAAGCACCTAAGGTGCAAAGTAAGCATGCAAGTAAATATTTGTAAATAAACCTGGCTAAATATTAGGGGTGCGTACACGACGGTGCAAATTATGCGAGCAAATGTGGTATCTTTTATTACGCCGTTAGTCAAACAAAGAAACCCAATGGAATTGAAAAAGAAATGGTACAATTTTATTCGGAAAAAAAAAAAAGCTCTGCAAAGTGAGCAAAAGAGCTTTTCAATGATTTTGGCACTTTTTCTTTTTTGTTACCGTAGTGAAAGCATAAAAAATGGAAAACTATATAGCAAAAGGGACTTATCCCTTCACTTACTATTTATATGCCTTTATAAGAGACACATATGGACATAAAAGATACCAGTATGCCTCCATTAAAAAAGATGTCGATTAAAAAATTTGTACTATGCAGTACTCTCTTTATAAGAGACACCTCTTGTAAAAGCCGAGCAATGGTCCCCGGCACATTTCACTTATAAAACGCTTAAACTGTTATAGAGATGTCCTAATGAAAAACTAAAGCCTTAGCACACGCAATATGCACCATTAATTGCCTCGGCCTTCCTACGAAGTAGAGAATTCGTTGCTGGGACCTTACACAGGGAGTTCTGGCATGAGCTTAAAAAAAGTTCAACACCTGATTACGCCCAAGGTTAGACAGTGCCAAATACAACGACCCCTTACCCAGCATGTAAAACTAAACTGCCACTTGTTCCGAGATGCCACAGACCTCACAGTAAATACATCCGTTGACTAACTTGTGGTGTACACGTATCCCGAAGGAGTACGGCCACCAGCGTGGGTCCGGTCTTAGCGAGCCGCAGGGCACGCGTTAACCGTCGCCGTGGCGGGAAACACGATACTGCTCAAGTCGCAACACTTTATTGTGGCAACACCAAACGCAGTACAGCCCGTTGCAAAAAGGCGCGGCGGGAAAGCAAGTAGGCTTATCCACGCCACGGGCACAAAGTACTACACAGGGGTGCCACGAGCGCGTCTCCGCGGTAAAGGTGATCCACGGAGACACCGGAGCAAAGGCCCGGTTGCTCGAGCGAGGGCAAAGGCGCTCGCGTTGGCTTCGAAGGGAGACGGGTCGGCGTAGCGAGGCCACGCACTAGGACACCGTACCGCCCTTCGGCCGTGCGTACGCAGCGGGGCAACAGCGGGTGAGCGTTCGCCTTGGGCGCGAGGCGCCGTCAGCGAAATCCGACGAGCCCCGACTTACGGGAGTCGACGGACGAAAAGATAGCGTGGCTCACCGTTTGCTGTCCCGGAGAGTATCTGACCGCCCCCGACGCAGCGCGCGAAAACCCCTCTTGGGAGTCCCCGCGCGCGGCGCCACCGTCAACATCCGCTACCGGGTGAGGGAGTTAAACGTCACTCCGCTCTCTCAGCGCGGCAGACAGCAAAGGAGGGCAGACATGTCGGGACATGAGAACGGCAGAAAAGGCGGGAAAACCCGCTGCCTTGTCCGACAGAAAAGGCGGGAAAGCACGCGTAAAGGCAGCGGGCCAGCCTCAATTCCCACAAACTGAAAAGGTAAAACTAAACTGCCACTTGTTCCGAGATGCCACAGACCTCACAGTAAATACATCCGTTGACTAACTGAAAGAGACGACGAATTCCCAGCGAGTGCAATAGTGCAATCGAAAGATTCGATTGGGATGCTGTTTTTACAAGCAAGAACTTTTCAGCCAGCTGTCCAAAAAGGCAGTGCGAACGTGCGGGGAAAAAAAATTGAAACTCACTTGGTTTTCGCCATTTGCTGGCTTCCGCTGTAGTTCACCTCCAGCCTCCGGCGAGCCTCGACGAGCTGCGTCATCGTGTCCAGCGGCTGCTGCGTCAACGGCAAGCCCCCAGACTCTTGAGATCCCCAGCCGGAGCCCGGGACGGAGCCGCAGCCGGGAGCCACTCCGCACGACCGGCTCCGGGCAGTGTTGACGGAGTTCTGCTTGGAACGCGACGAGGTGCCAGAAGTGGTGGACTTCTTGTGGCTCCTCGAGGAGTCCCTCTCCGGATCCGGAGGCCCGAGCGGATAGCCGGGAACCTTGTGGTTCAGAATCCAGTTGTTCACCCTGCGACGCGGGGGGGTGCAGTTTCAAAGCCGCATTATTACGCGAACCACGCTAGGAAGCGCAACTTTCGGCAGGAGGGAAGACTCGAAGAATCAACGTCTTTTTAGCCCTTCATGGTACGCTGTCGAGCACCACACATCGCACAAATACTGCTGACAGACATGAACATAATATCAACTGCGAAACTAAGTATCCAATGCGTTTTTTTTTCTCTCGCAGCTGTTGCTTTTTTTTTTTTCAACGGTGTTCAAAACTAGCGAAACATTTTCGCACCAGAACAACCCGAGAGTAGCTAATACAGTACACACTCGCGATAATTCAAGCTCTGATAATTCATATTTTCAGTCAATGCAAACAGAATGCAATTATTTAGTTTGCCCTACATTCTTTCAATGTGTTTAAAAGCCTCTTAATTGAAAGTCCATCATTCAGTTAATTCAAACTTTTTGCAGCTCCATACCAGAAACTATCTGCTGCTTTCCAACTACTGTTTAAACATTTGCATGCTTATATAATCCTAACAGTCTGAAAATGAAAATAAGCACCTCAGGCCTTCAATGAAAAAGCCTTTGCTAGTAAACAAATGTCTGAAACAAAGCACACAAATGTAAACTGTGATGCTTCTTAAGGGGGGACGTGGCAAGTAAAACTAATTTTTTTATTAATGTACTGTTTGTGATGAAATTTGGTGTGTGTATGTGGATGATTGTGAGGATTCCAAATATGAAAACCGTTTTCAAATACCTCTTGTACTTTTTGAGTTACAAGCATAATTATACTAATTAATGCTCTTCACACTTAAAGAGATAATTATTGCTAAATGAAATTATTTTTTCATATTATTATGTTCCCAAAGCATCAACTTGTGCAAAGAAGCTATTAGTTGATTTTTCTAGTTCTTGTAACCATAAATAAAATTTCCAAAACATGGATGTTGTTTTGCGCACACATCGCAGTAATTATAAAATGTGTTCTAAAAATTTTAAATGATGAGTAAGAAGAGAGATAAAGCTTTATTGCACTGCTAAAGGCCTCCTGAGCCTAGTGCAAAAAACGGAACGACTCTATCAGTCTTTGTTAAAAAATGACAGATGTTCTAGCGAAGGCACATAGGCGAAAATCAAGAGTTGAGAAAACTGACTTTGAAAGTTCACTCTTGTTTGGAAGTTCACAACATGCCTAAAACACTCAGAATCCTCCTGGGCAGTAATCCTGAGATGCTGTGGCCTTGGCCTCTGTAGAGCGCAACCCAGTTTTGCGCTTCTTTGTCGTGGAACAATGCGCCTTTTGAGCCCTCTTCACCCTTTTGGCATCCTTTTCGGCTGCTCGCCGCAAAGAGCAGTCTCCTGGATTGAAGCCCAGTTGAGCAGTGATCTCTTGCAGCGCACTCTTGCAGCCACCATTGAAACGGCAGACTGCATCTGCAACTGCACTTTCCACACTTCGAAGGGAGGCGAACTGGCTCTTGGACTGGAGTGACCAAATGAGGCTGTTCATACTCTCCACAGCGTTCTGGGTTTTTCCCTGCGCACACCTTTCAAGGAGCTCTTTGTTCGAGAGGCGCTTGTAGATTGGCAGCAGTGCCACTCGCACGTGAGGGGGCAGTTTATGTTTGTGAGGCGGCAGCGGCTCTCCCTTGGCCAATGCCTGATTGTGCGGGCACCAGGAGTCAGTCCCACTTGGGCACAGGTCGTGGTGTGGATCCTGGTCTGTGGATGTTACATGGTAATAAGAGGCCATGATGGCCCTCTCCATGCCAGGAACATCGTTGGGGTGGCTCTTAATGGCCCAGCCATAATAATTCATCAACTTCTTTATAAGGCCCTGCGTCAGCCGGCCTTTGCCACCCATGCTCAGTCCTCGGCCTTTGGATTTGTGCTCATCAAGAAGGTTGCGCAAGGAAGTGCCCATTCTTTTTTTCACATGGTTCACACACTCCTGTTTCTTAATCAACATGTAGCCATACACCTTGTCTTGCGTGAGGGCAAGGTACGTACGGCTGTCACCGTCGCAGAGCACATTGATGTATTGAAGCTTGTACTTGGTAAACGATCTTTCAAACATGATCCTCGCTGCTTCTACTTCCATTTGGCCTGCATTAGAATAGGTGTTCTTTTGGCACTGTGGCTTGTGTTTCTCAAGCCACTCCTCATAGTTGTCGTCACCAGGCTTGGGGCCAACAGCACAGCCTTGGCAGTAGTTGGACAGGACACAGTGGTCCAAGACCAAGCCTGTGTACAGCTCGATTACACAGCCCACGCCAATATGACTTCTGTGCCCCCTCGTCATCCACGTGCCGTCGTAAATGACGTCAATGTTGCCTGGCACTCCTCCTAGGTCCTTGTAAATGTCATGCACCTTCTGTGCACTTTCTGCTTCAATGCGGGTGGCAGCTGATGTGGTGGCAGGGTGGCTGTACTTCCTTTGCAGTCTCTGGTAGGACTTGTGGTGCAGTGCTCGATGCGAAATGTCCATCGCAGAAAAAATGTCATTTATGGCAGATTGTTTTCTGCCAACTGACTGCACAGCCCTCAAAGCATGCACGTTTACCTCAAAGGGGTTCGTTTTTTGTTGCCCGGAGCACCTCGGGGACGACCACGCACTGTTCACTATGCCACAATTGTCACAAAAAAGTTCCATCCTCGCCGCGAGTCCAAGGCAGTGCGTAGTCTCGAGGCGTATCGACCCTTCGTCGCACTTGTTGCACTTTACTGACGAAAGCAGACCGTTCAGCATCTTCTTATTTACAATGAAGAATGTGGAGTCCTTACCGCCGTCATTTTCGTCGCAGCCTTCGTTCAGAAGCTCGAGCTTCCGCTTTGAAGCGGACTTCGATGCTACGGCATCCAAAACATCCCGCCTTGTCTGCGCCCGCTGCGCGATTTCTTCACTGCTCGGAATCTGGGCCGAAACTCGCGATAGAATGTTCGACGCGCGCACGCCCGGAGTTGCAACGGCTGCCGACGCGGTGCCACCGCAATCGGGTTCGCGAGAGCGTCCATCACGGTCGACGGCATCCGGCGGTCTGACATACGACGATGTGGCACATTCCACACTCTCGGCCTCACAACAATCAGCGAAGGGTCTGAGTAGAGGCTCCGTGACGCTTGAATAGCATGCTCCGTTCGGAACTGCGACTGGGACGGCAGCCGCAGTCGTCTGCCCTTTGTTCCAAGCTTTCCGACGCTTGCCGTACTTGTGGACGCTCCGGAACTTTTTTTGCGACAACATAGCACCGCAGTATGAGCAAGCACTCAGAAGAGACCACTGATGTAAACAAAGCTTGGTAAAAAAAGCACGCGAACTATCACAAAAACAGCCAACTGGCAAAAAACGAAGCGCACGCCGGATGATTCTCGACTCGGCGGCCGCAGATGCGCTCGCGCTTCCAAGGTTGCCAAGGTGCGCGGCGCAGCTTTGACCAGTAAGAGGTCGCGCCTGCTACCACGTGACCCGCGCAGCCAATTGCCGTTCTTCGTTTTCGTTTTTTTACTTGCTCCTCGCGCTTTTATTTTCACTCGGCGAAATACGAGACCGCGACCATCGGGAAGCCGGCTTTCTCCTCTTTCCAAAGCTACCAAAATGGCGGCCCACGGTCAACAACTTGGCGCGTTTGTGCGGCGTGAACAACACCGTTTCAGGGGCTTTTTTTTCGCACTTTTCGGCGACTAGCCTCGGCAAAAACACTATTTGCGGGATTTGTAGCGCACGTTTCGCTGTAATATTTTAGAACAAGGAAGTTGAAGGTCTGAAGATTACGAAAAAAAATAAATCAGAAAATCGCATATTTTGACCAAAATCGGCACTTTACTTGCCGCGCCCCCCCTTAACTAGTATAGAGAGCTTTGTGTTGTAAGCATATACCTGTAGCGAAGAAGAAGTTGGCAACTCATCGAAAGGTCTGATTAGCAGTAAACAGCCGATAAATTTGTGGACCTTACTCCTCTGTTTTCTGTTCATTGCACGTAGTTAGAGTTAAAAGACACTTTAAAAATTTTTAAATGTGATAACATCAATCCCTAATCGTCATGTGTGGTGTCGCCTCACCTAGAGTCACCTATCTGAGAACTTCTGATAATTCGAACTTTTTGATAATTCAAACAAAATTTAGAGGTCCCTTCGAGTTGGAATTAACGAGAGTCGACTGTAGTTTCGAATCGCATATGATTAACCCATGAATATTCATTGTGAAGCAGGATAACTGAAAAGGTGTGTGAACACATTTTTAGCGCACACTATTCAATTTCTGTCAGATTTTGCTTCATAGACTGCTGTGACATACATAACATGACTGGCCAACTTATTTGACACCACCCAATGTACCATTATCTGTAATTCTGAATACGATTAAAGTAAAAAAGTAGGTCCAGCTATTTCTCGATTAAATCCTCCTTTTGATAGACTCAAACGTCCTTATAACAAAGTTGCATCATACAAGAAAATAGGTTTGTTATATCCGAAAATTCGTAACAGGTTATTCCTAACACTGGATCTATTGCAAGACTATTCTCATTCACTTTGTTACTATAACCGATATTTCTTTATATCGGTTTTCATTACATGGAGGATTGAGTGTGCTTCTTTTCGACATCCTTTTCAAGCATATGTGCTTCATGTCCTTTTCACATTCCATCGTGATGCCTCCAGCAGGGAGGACTTCTGCCAAACCCCCAACATTAGTTCCAACTCACCGCTCCGTCGCGCCCTGATTGACCGGCAGCTGCTCGCACACAGCACTGGCCCCGCTGTCGACACCGCTGTCCGATGGCTGCGGGCCACTCCGAAATGTCCGCCTGGAAGTAGCACTGCTGCCGGATGCTGCGCAGCCTCCCTGGGCTCTCCTCCGGCTGCCATGGACTGCATCGTCATCGGGTGAAAAATCCCGCACCGCGCCACTGTCGCTGGAGCAGGCGTCTCGTTCCTGTAAGGCAAACAGTAACAAATACATAAACTTCAATACAACTTATAATAGTGAACAGCTGATAGTGAATAAGCCTAATAAGCAGCGGCTTTCTCAAATGTGACTGGCTATGATTCGCGGATGACTTGACGTCATCTGCGAGGACCGCTAGCGCTGAGGTTGTCATTTTGTAGGTCCGCAAGCTCCCTACACGTGCAAAAAACTCACGGCAAGCGCAATGTCAGAAATCTGTAAAGCAACTTCAATGTCTACAGTCGAACTCCGCTACAACGAACGTTGCTTCAACGAAATTCCTGCTACAACGAAAAACTCATGATTCCCCGTAAGCAGCTCAAAGGAGTAAATGCATAAATATTGTCGCCACAACGAACACTTTTTCTTCGATCGTCCCGCTTCAACGAAATTTTATGATGCAATTCCAGGCTCAAACACTTATTGCTATGCAGTAAACCCAATCTCTAGCATTTCGATGCATTTTCAGAGCCTGAATATGTGTTAACGAAGTCTAGAACACGCGTTGGCACCACCATAAACCGCCGCCATCGCTCGATAGCGATGGCAATGGGACTGCCCTGCTTTTGTTTTGCCACTGGCTTGCTTTTGAGCCGCAGATGGTCCGAAGCCGAAGCTCAGTCACTCAGTTCATGGTTTCCTTCTCGCAGCTGCTGGGTGCAATCGTGGCTTGATACCTCTTCCGATTTCGATGCTCATCATTATGTTTGCGCTTGGCCAGTGTGGTAACTGATCAGAGCGGCTATTCATCCGCATTATCAACAAAATCAGCTAGCCGTGAGTAATGGATGGCAAGAATCGCTTAGAATAATGCAAAAGTCGCTGCTCTACGATACCCTGCCTGCATCTCGGCGTTGTCGGATACACTTTGATGGCAGACAGCTGCTGGTGTTTCTATGTTAATGTAATTGTTGAGTTCGTTAATGAAAGCCATTGTGGCCATTGTTTCAGCATGCTTTTCACCATGGTGTCGCAGTGCATGGGTGAGAATCGCATCGTGACGCTCCTGGGAAAGAATAGGAGGCAGCCAAATACTTTTTGAGTTTTGGGAATAAAGGTTCATTTGTTTGGCTAGCTCAGGTCAGCTATAATTTTTACGACTTCACTACAACGAAATTTTTTCCCCGCCCCGTCAGTTTCGTTGTGGAGGGGTTCGACTGTACTGAACTCTGGAACACCTCCCGCACGCCAAAGCACAGACAGCAGAACAGCGCATACAAACGGACCTTCAAAATGGTGCTACGATTACGGATTAAGGCTTAGTGCATACCCCCTACACTTTCTGCAGCTCGCGCCAGAGAGCCAATCACAATCGAGATATTAGATACGGATAAAACCGGAATCATGATCAAGTAACCATGCGACACCGATATTTTATCAATATCTGCTGGTGCTTTACATGAGGGCGTTCCAACAAAAACTCGCTTGAACATTACTTTGCGAGACGCACCCGTACACACGTTCACTCCCATCACCACATCGACAATATCTCCAGCCAACTCAGATCCACTGCAGGAAGACCTCTCTTAATTATCTCCACATTAACCTATGCATGCGTCAGCAGATTCCATTTTATTCCAGCAACTTCATAATTCCATTCCTCTATCCAACTCTCTGCCCACTTCTACTATGTTTCCCATCTTTTGGTAACCATAATTATTGTATGTGATTTTTGGTCTCAAAGCCATCATGTGATTATGAGATGTCATAGTGGAGGTCTCCAGAAATTTTGAGCATTTGGTGTTCTTTGACGAGCACTGACATCGCACCATACACGGGCCTCTACCATTTAGCCCCCATCGAAATGCCACCACTGCAGCTGAGATTTAACCTGCGACCTTTGCGTCAGCAACAGAGCATCGTAGCCACTGTTCCCCCGAAGCGGGCTTTCTTGGTAACCATTCTGTAACCACTCTTACTGTCCACCTGTCCTACGCATAGCCTGTCAGGCCCTGGTCCATTTCTTTACACCGATGCCAACTAGGATATAAACTACTGCTGTTTGTTCGATACCTCGGAACTATTCTTTTTGAAAATCTAACACTTTCATGCTGTGCCACATTTTGCTCAGCTTAGCATCAACACTGTTAGAACTAGCCTCCTCAATATGTTCACTGTATTTTTCTCAATTAAAACTTATTCACAAACTGGTTATGTAACTAACAAATTATGAGCTTGTTTTTTTGTAAACTGTAGTTTTGTTTGTTTAGTTATGACTTCTACTGCTACTCGTTTAATTATGTAATTATGTTATTTCACAAGCTGCCCGATTTTGGCTTGTCTAGTTATGACGAACTGTTATTTTTTAGCTCGCACTGTATTTGCAGAATGTTTGTACAGTATTCTTAAAATGTACCACTTCCCTCTTTAATGCTTCTGAACAAAAGGGTAATTCCAATAAATAAATTTGCTCAGCACAAAGTGAACTTCAGCAAAAAAATTACCCAGAGTTACACAAAAGCAGGTAATAAATTTCTATAGCGAGCCCATTTTTTGCATGCTTCTCACACGTACCTTCTTGTGCCAGTGCTGGTGACCCAGGACTGCGTACGGCGACGGTACGGCTGGCCCGAAGCGGTGCCGTGGCGAGGGTGCCCTTGGAGGCGTGTGGGAGAGGGGTGAGTCGAAGACTCGCGACACGTGCTCGTCCAGAATGCTCTGCGAGCTGACCTCATCTGCCGGAATGCCCAGCAGACGCTCGCAGAAGCCCGGGTTGGCGGGTGCAGGTCCCAGGGGTACACCGGAGCCCTGAACCGGAGCGCCTCCGCCGGCCTGCCGAACAATGTTGATCGTAGCATTAGTGAACAGTGACACCCTGTGACGCAGAGCTAGAATGTAATAAGCTTAAGCCTCATAGCGAAGTTGCATCTTAGACAAAAAAAATAAGTAAGTTCATTATATTCAAAAATCCATTATAAAAGCATATTCCTAATGCTATATATATATTGAAAGAGTATTCTTCATTTACTTCATTATAGCCAATATTTCGTTATATCCTAGTTCTTTATATCCAGTTTGAGTGTACTCTCGTCATATAGGCTGTCATGGCTACGAGCGGTACCAACACAGATATACCCAATAAAGTACACGGAAGGATGACCTCCCAGTCATAGTGCTATTAGTAGAGTGTAGGAAAAGTTATTTGAAGGTTGCAGATTCGCTTCCTGCGACAACAAGTGGTCTTTTCGTCTGTTCTAATCCTTTTAAGTGTTCTTGCAGCTTTCGGTCCTGCAGTATCTTATCCGTGCGGGCACGTTTGCGAACCTCCACTCGAAATTTTGTGCCACAATGACTGTGCGAACTCAACAAAGTCTCATTATACACGAAAATAATTTCCTTACATCCAAAAATTTGTTATAAAAATATATTTTTCACGCTATTTCTACTGCAAGATTTCATTGACTTCGTTGTAACCAATTTTTCGTTATGTCTGGATTCCTTACGCCGAGGTTTGAGCGTACACATTCATTCGCCTTTGAGGAGGTAATGCCATCGACTTCCATAGTTGTACCTGACTGTGACGAGAACCGACTAAGCGTTTTGGAGCCTACCACCGGTCACTCACCGAGGCAGAGGGCGCCGCCACGACGGCACCGGCCAGGGGAGGTCCCCGAGGGGGCGCCGCGGGGAAGTCCTCGGCCTGCGCCCGGTGGAAGCGCTCCAGCCGTTCTCCGCAGTCCAGCTGCTTCTTCACCGCGTGCAGCTTCTCGATGATGGAAGTGGCAAACTTCTCCGGGTTCTTTTCCGCCAGGCTGTACGGGTGCTCCATCTGCGTGCGCTGCAACGTCGACAGGGGTGGAGGAGAACAAATGTTAACGGGACAGTTTGCATAAAAAAATAGTAAAATTTCACGAGTTCTTTCACTGTCGGGAATATTGAGTGTCGAGCAAAGCATGGCTTGTGCCGCACAGCGCAATGCTCCCCTCATTCTTCCAAGGACCCAACGCCCAATAAGCAACGCACACTCACCGGAATGAGGACGTTTTCGCCCAGTGAGTCTCGGTTGATGTTGGCGTTTTTGCGGATCGACATGCGGTGCGTGGCGCGTTGGATGAGGCTCTCCTTGACGGCGGATGCAGAGCACGGGACAGTGGCCGGAGGCACGCTGTCCACGTCGGTGCCAGTGTCGTCTGTGTAAGCGCCGGACGACAGGCTGTGCAACTCGCTGTCCTGTGCCGAGGGCGGCACGAAGGACGAGTTGTTCACGTGGTATGGGTGCGGCACGCCCAGTGACGATGAGCTGCCCCCGGCTGCTCCGCTTGACTTGGGCCGGCTAGAATGAGTATGGTGAAATGACCACGAAGCTAAAACTTAATTAAGCACAAATGTTCACTAAGTGCTGCAACAGACTTGAATAGTTCTTTGTTGCCTTCAGTCACGTGGTGATTTTTTCAAACTGTTTCAAGCACAGCCTGGCTCATAATGCAAGTTGTGGGATTTGCAAATATCCATACTATAAACAAAACAACGCTTTTCAAAAGCCGAAGTTGTGCAAAATGTGCCGAGCATGCTGCGAAGCTAACAAATGACAGCTCATCACAAATTCGCCAACTACATTTCAAACAGGCTCAATTATGTGCATTACACAGAAAATATGCCGAATCACGGCTGAAATTTCACACACTGAGTACCAATACTTTGATTTCACAGGCACGGACCTAGTTGTCAAGGCCTTGTAATCAAATTAAAAAATATCATCTGAGTGCTACATGTGCCACCCACGGTCTTGCTTTTGTTAATGATATGCATCACTTCCATTCAAGCGCAGCCACTTTGTCCCCAAGAACAACCAGAGTTCTTCAATACATTTACTGGGTCATGCTTCCACAAATGTTTTTAAGCAGCTGCTAGGGCGTCCTCGCCCGTGTGTGGGCGGGTACCAGCACTGCAGTTCTACAGCACACATCGGGAACTGCAAACCGTGATTAAATGTACCTGTGAACATGTATTATAAAGAGTGATGCTACCCTCACGGCAACTCAGGGAAGCTGTAATACAGTGCAGCAGAGTGTCAAATGATTGATATGTGGGGTTTAACGTCTCAAAACCACCATATGATTATGAGAGACGCCGTATTGGAGGGCTCCGGAAATTTCGACCACATGGGGTTCTTTAACGTGCACCCAAATCTGAGCACACGGGCCTACAACATTTCTGCCTCCATCGGAAATGCAGCCGCCGCAGCCAGGATTCGAACCCGCAACCTGCGGGTCAGCAGCCGAGTACCTTAGCCACTAGACCACCGCGGCGGGGCAGAGTGTCAAATGAAGCCTTGGAGCTAGAAACTCGATGGCAACAAACGCATGCTGGTTCCGCCGTGCAGTGTACTACTGCTTCTTTCAGTTTTTTTTTTTACTGCTTCTTCAGCATGTTTCTTCAGTTTCCTTAATGCATCTAGTCACGAACCGTGGATCACTCAGAGTGCCTCGGGGACTGAATTCGACCGAAGAATTCGACGAATTCATATATCACCGAGATTCACCATAGGTTTACATTGAGGTTACATAACTCAATCGATACGTAAAGGCCTGGATCGAATTGGGTTGGATATTTGTCAACGCAGACAGATCATACACAAAAATTTCAATTCCTGGGATATTTTCATGTGCACCATAGGAACATAATAAATTGTCGAAATGTGGAAGTCTCCTGGAAAATCCAAGAGACTTGGCAGGTATGCATTAGCTTAACAAACAATGTGCCGCACCTGTGCACAGTCTGGAGCAGCACAGGGGCACGAAGGAAGCTCGCTATATGAATCCTCCCACAACAAATGCATGTACAGTACAGCAAGTGTCATAGTAGAGACTGTATCAGCTTGGAAGGAATGATGGAATGCTACTTTTTTCTCAGTAGCAGATCGTGACAGCTCGTCTGCTTGGTCTCGCTGATGTTTTGTGGCCTAGTCTACCGCGCGTGCTCAAGACGAACTTACCCAAATCTGCAAATGGCACAATTTCCTGTACTGCCTCGGCATGCTAGATGTGTACGGAGACGAACGTTAGCACCACTCTTGAAAATGTCAATGCAGACTTACATTGCCGACGTTGCTTCCGACGCCAGGCGAGTGACGAGTCGAGGAAGCTGCTCGCCGTACCGGTAAAGCTTGCGCACGTTGCGCCGCGTCAGTGGTGCCGGCGACGCACCCGCCGAAAGCTCTTCGTCCTCCTTCACCGTCGGCAAGATCTCGAGGCCCAACGGAGGCAGCACTGGCGGTGGCGAACTGTCATCCTCGCCCGACCCCGTATCTGCCACCGCCGCACCAGGGGCATCGGCTGCCACACTCAACTCTTCGCTGCTGCCACCAGAATTCTGTGTGACAAAGCAAACATACGCAAAATAATTTTCAAAAAATATTTTTAAGTTTCAAAAGAGCTGCTATCAAAAACAAACAAACACTGTAAGATGTAGAATGAACACGTCTGGATTCATTAACAGTTTTAAAGGGGTATTGACACAAAATTTTGCCGCAAATAGCCTGTGGGATCAATTCTTGTGAAATGCGTATACAGTAAAAGCTCGTTAATTTGGATTTCACAAGACCGGAAAAACTGTCCGAATTAACGAATGAACAGAGAAAACAACATTTAAAATCAAGCTGCAGAAGCATACCTTTATTTGTTGAAGTATTTTGTCATTGTCATCTGCGTTTTCGCGCAGATTCCGGCTGACATCACAATTTTTCTTAACTGTTCCAAATGGCCAACAGCACGCAAGCTGTCGGGAGTGTTCAGGCAAGCGTCCTCTAATATTAACAGCGCCTCCGAGACTTCCCATGAGGTGCGATGAGGTCGCGGCTGTATCTTCTCGCATGATTCTTCGTCGGAATCGTGGTCTTCATGGGCGCCCGTGACACCACTAATAATCTCTTGATCGCTCAGGAGACCACTCGTGGCGACACCATGATCTGTCGCGATGTAGTCCTGAAAGGTCACATCTGTGGGAAGGACAGCATCGAAAGTCGGGCAGTCATCGTCGGTGGACTCGGTGGACTCTGCCGCTTTTTCGGTGTTGCCATCACTGTAGCGCACGATGGTGGTGGCATGCAAATACGGTCACAATGGAAGAAAAAGAGAACTCCGCAAGAAGAGATGGTTCCGACACGACAACACAAGGGAAAATGGCGTCGGAGGCGCTGAGTGGAGAAGAAAGAAGACGCCGACGTTCGGTGACGCTGCGATCGCCCCCACTAGTTGATGATGATGGCGATGCCACTCAGGTTTCGGTTTCACTCCAGTGGTGCCAGCGCAGCTTTATCACATTTTTGTGTAGCAGCAGCCGTCAGCATTTGTCCGAATTAAGCGGTGCGGAGCCGAATTTCGACGAAATAACGAAGGTTTGGTCCCATAGATTAACATGCACTTTGGCCGGGACCAATAGAGCCGTCCGAATTATCCGAATTAACGGGTGTCAAATTAACGAGCTTTTACTGTATCATGTGCAAAATACCAACAGCAAATATACCTTGAAAGGTATTTTACATGAATTCAATGTTTCAATTCTGATGGTATTGACACATTCTGGAGTGACGCCATGGTGACTCCCTTGGTTTCCTCATGTCACCGCATTGCAGTCATTGCCGTCATTCTTTTTTTCTTTTTTGCACGTTAGTTCTAGCAGTCTACTTCTTGGCTGTTGCATGCAAGTACCTGGTCGCGGCGCACATGTTGAAAGTTCTATTTGGCGAAACTGCAGTCTCGTTTCCAGTTCAAAAGAACTTCTTGATGCTACCGTGCGGTAGTGCATCACAGTGCTGCGCGCTGAAGTGGTCGAGCACTGCAAACGCTACGTGGCAATAGTTACACCCAGCGGCTTGTTTTTTGAGCTCTCAAACCAAAACTGAAACTCGTCGGTAATGAGAAGTCTGCAGTTAATTATCTGCCTTGTGCAGCAGCAAACTTTGCCATGCTGTGACCAACAGGAGCCCCCCGCAACACATGGCAGCGAAAAAACGCGAGGCCAAAATTTGTCTCGGCAAGGGCCAGTCGACAGTCTCCGACTTTTTTTACACCCCCCCAAACAAGCTCGCGCATCTTTTGTACGCCTTACCAGCCTCCTTTTACGCGCAGTGACGTCAACTCGGCGACGTTGACTTCATTACTGTTTGTTGAGACTTGGTTTAGACCAATCGACAAGCTGTGTGCTGCGTCACATCACCGAGTTGACGTCACTGTGCTTGGAAGGAGGTTGGTCAAGTGTACGAAAAATGCGGAAGCTAGTTTGAGGGGAGGGGGGGGGGGTGAAGAAAAAAAATTCCGAGCCTGTTAACTGGCCTATAACGCCAACTCCAAAGTACCAACAGCCCACCTGTCCGTCGTCTCCCCGAGACGGTGTGCCCTCCGACGCCGCCACTGCAGAGGCCTCTTCGGAGGCGGCCCTCGCGAGCGCGTGGCACTTGTTGACGTGCTCGACGTAGAGGTCCGACTGGAGGAACTTGGGGTAGGCCGAGCGCTGCAGGAATTGCTCGAACTCCCGCTGCGCCTGGTCGAAGAGCGAGACGTCCACGACGAGCCGCTTGACGTGCTCGGTGATCTTGTCCTTGAGCGGGGGCGACACCTCCACCATGTTGTTGCGGATGTAGTGCTTGTAGATGCTCTTCATGTACTGCGATCCACACGTGGGAGAGGGATGTCGCAACATTACATGATGAAACAAAACACTGCATCAATTCACAAACAAATCATACTTTGAGTGCCGTTTTGCTGTAAATTCATCACAGGTATCTCGTCAGAAGAGAAAATACAGGTTAAAGAAGCATTTAGTAAAACTTGTGCTGGAACTTCAGCACCAAGGATGACTGCCAGTTGGGCGTGTTGGTAATGGTTCATGATGAGACAAGTGCAAAAAATGCACACACTCAGAGAGGACACAGACAAGCGCTTAAGTGCTTGTCTGTGTCCTCTCTGAGTGTGTGTATGTGTGTGTGTGTCCTCTCTGAGTGTGTGTATTTTTTGCGCTTGTCTCATCATGAACTTCAGTACCTTCATAGTTAACCTCTCAAAAGTGCCTAAAACTGGCTCCATCAAAGGGGTGTGTTCCGAGAGTAATCAATCTCTTATATCAAGATTGACGAAACTGCGATTTATGGTTTTGTTTGCAGATCCCCAAAATATGCATTTATACTTACATGTCAATTAGTTCATAAGGTAATTAAGATTAATAACCACTGTTCCCAGAAACCACGGGGGCAAAAACTACTCTCCAAACTACATAGCCTCAGGTACCGGGAAGCCGGCATTCTTCCCACTGACATCGCACAGGACATGGGAATCCAGGATTTCACCTCCGTTGAAATGTAGAATGTAGCTGCTATGGAACCTACACGTTTCAAGTTAGCGGCTAAGCCCCGTAACCACTGAGCAACCACAATGGCAGAGAAAGCCTGACGCATAATGCCTCTAAAACACACTTCTCGCACTCCCAAGATAATCTCATGCAGAATGACAACCAAGTAAGAAAAAAAATGCACAAAAGAAATGTATACTAAATGTGCTGCCCATCTAGCAATGATCACGATAAGGCTGACTGAAAAAGAAAAGGTGGCATGCCAATGGCCTCCGAAACTGGATGATCGTTAGTGCTTCCAATCTTGGAGGCTACACACTCGGCCCCTGGAACACAAGTCCGACCAACACAGTGCAAAATCCAGTGTTGCGGCTTCCAAAACCGTGCAGCACGACTTGAAACAAGTGATTTAGATCAAAATTTCGAACTCTAGGTCATAAATTCTTGCAAAAAACAGGCTCCAAAAATGTATTTGGTTTATGGGAACTTTGACAGAAAATTTATGAAGTGCTTCAAGGCAAGTTGTAGATAACATAAATGGCACAAATACGTTCAGTTATTTTTTCTTTCCCAGAACTACTAGAGAGTGGAATAGCCTAAAAGCCGATGCTGTAGAACAGTGGTTCTTAGCCATGGATGTGTCGGGGACCCCTTGTGGACGGGTGTAAATTATGGGGGACCCCTTGCAGCGGAGGGGAGGGAGCGGGGATAGGTAGGTAAATTACCACAACTAGAGCGTGAAACAGGTGCCTTTTATTTCTACCAAAAACATCAAGCAAACATGCCACATCACTTCATTTTGGAAAGTTCATCAACACGTGGCATAGTCACGCTTAAAGAAAAATGCGGGCAGGGGGGTTTCGCGGATTATAGAATGGCTTTGCGGACCCCCTCAGGTCCACGGACCCCCTTGCGAGAACCACTGCTGTGGAATGTACCAACAGCCGATTTTTTTCTAAACGCATTCAACCACTTTTAACGAACTGTACTGCACTGTACTATTATTGACAGCATAATCATGCATTTATCAGAGATATACAATGCTTCCCTTTCTGTTCAAGGTCTCAGGGGGTAAAATTACGCTACTCATTGCAATTTTCTTGCACTGTTTTTCGTAAATTGTTATAAAAATGTTCTAATGTATGCTGTTTGCGTGGTTTGCTACAGCTGTTTTTTGTATGGTGTATTGGCAATTTTCCCGAATGTCACCATGTCTCTGTGATTCTGTGTATTTATGTTGCTTTTGCAGCATAAAGTTTTGTCAGCCCATTCCTGCTTAAGGCCTGGTAAACAAGTCAGCCTAAATGCACTAAATAAATAAATGAAAAGTCTGAAATCTCCTTTGAGTGTGAATATTCAGAGGAAGAAATTAGTTGGCGACTAATATATTTTCTTGCATCCCAAGTAATATGAATAAAAGTTGTGCTATTTGATCTTAGCAAGTCATTAAAACAATTTGCCTTAGCCATACTTGAAGCTAACTTTCTAAAATAAGTCCAGTTGCAAGTGAGCATTGTCTTTTTTTCTTTCCACTCCCCATATTCAAACTGTTCGTTAAGCTTTTAGTTATTCTATGATGAGTGTGCCTATTTGTGGACACCCATTTCTACCTTTGAAAAATGAAATTCGTGCTATAATGCCTTTTCTTAATCCCTTTTGGTGGCATGTGAAAAAAAGGATTTCGAAAGCTGTACACATTTTTTGCCTACACCTTTGTTTGGCAGTGAAGAGGGTAATGAATGAAAATAAAGACTGAAGAGTTGCGCATCGCCCTCACCTGCAACTGGACAGATGGCTCGGGGCAGGAGCGAAGGCCATTGCAGGCAAACCAGAAGTACAGTCCGTGTTTCTCGGCCCCTTCCTGTTCGAGGAACTGCTCGAAGAGGCGCAGGCCCTCCAGATCAACCAGCAGGCTTCGTAGGTCCTGTGCCCAACGGAGCGGTCCCCCGGTCGCCGTCGAGGAACCCGCCGCCGCCCGGCCGCTGTCGGACGCCGTAGAGGCCAATCCGCAGCTGGAACCGCGACCGACGGAGGAAGAGTAACCCATTTCCTCCGGAAACCCCTGCAAGTAAGAAAAACAAAGAAAAGCATGCCTTCAAAGGGGCTCCGCAGCACTTTTTGAACGTAGTCCGAAAATCCTGCCGATTAGTAGTCAGCTCTTACGAACTAGAGAGCTGCACTTTGTAGCACCGCAGGCAGTATGGAACTGCAGTCCGCGAAAAATAATTTAGGTGTGGACACTCTCCTGCGCCACAACAGAGAGCCGCATCCAAATAATGTTCCGCGACATGCACTGGTCGCAGTTGCGTGGGGGGCGCTGCGACATGCGGGGCGGAAAGGCGGCAAAAAAGCTGAACATTATCTACCCCTGTCATACGCAGCAACCTAAGTGCACTTCGAGCGAGTACACTTAGCCGCAAGTGTCACTCGAGAAAATTTAGTGTCACTCGCTGCAAAGTACACTTTCCAGCAAGTGCGTCCCCCATCCTCACTTCGCTGCTACGAGGTACCAGTGGCTTTCACAAAAGTACGCTGTTGCCTAAAGCCGCGCTCATACTACTTTTAAACTATTGCTTTCGTTATAAAGGATTCTGCTATGTATTAAAACAAGTAAATCGGCAAGAATTAGCGCTACGCTCACCCTCAAGCAGTTTGCGGCCACGTCCGCTAGGGGGATACAACAGCACATGCTGTGCAATGGCTGTGTCCCATCGCGTTGTTTATTTCCAGGCACACTTGCAAATTTGTAGGAGAGCCATTTTCTAGTCGTTTACGACAGCGTGTGCCACTGGTGCTACTTCCGCCAAGACAACGTGGTCCGACATAACAAATATATATTGCGCTACAAACCCAACAAATGCTACTGTCATCGTTTCCAAAGTACACTTCGCTTGCTCATGTAGCAGCTAACCGCCAAAATGACAGTTCGTATGCGTGAGTACATTCTCTCAAAATGCACTTAAGTTGCCACGTGAGACAGGGGTATTATTTTTCTTACACCGTCGAGAAACATGCAAATAAACTTGAAAGCCAGCTAAAAATTGCTCCCTCTACCCTTAACAAATGATGCCACATACACAAACTAACAGTTTTAAGTCTTTTTTCTGACAGTCACACTGAGTTTCATCGATTTACACGTCCAGGACGGGCCCGGACGCCAGCGCCGCATTCGTTTTTCTCGGGGACCAACTGGAAGCTCCGCCCACTGGTCCGGGATCGCTCGGACGCATGTTCATTTTTCACGTGCCTGGTGGCCTGCGGGCGGCCCGGGACCGTCCGAACAATTTCTTTCGGGCAGCTGGCAGACGACAGCGCGGTGAGCATACTGTGCTGCCATCTTAAGTTAGACACGGGAAATTTTCTATGTGCTTTTGCTATCTCTTTGCTTTTCTGTCCGCTTCTCGCATGTTTCTGGAATTCGATTTGTTAGTGCACCCAGTTCTTGCCATCGGTGTTCTGAGCCACGCCGAGCATGTGTGTATTCCCGAAGGTCGGGCAAACACCCGTTATACCCGCTGGTAGAAACAGCAGCGGTGGAACGACCGTGCCTCTCTACGATGCGCACGCGCTCGAGTAGTTCACTTACAGTAAGTTGCATCACAACAGAAATAGGCATGATTCACTACCTAACTACTGTTTAGCTTGGAATCGGGTCAGCGTTGTGGCCTGTTTTTGAGCTATGGAGGGAGCAGACGGCTTAGCCTGGCATAGCAGACGCCACAGTGGATGAAGTCAGCATCAAGCGCGCAGATGTCCCGAGCCAGCCCGAGGCCGCTCGGGCTGGCTCGGGACTTTTAGATCACATGCATGTGACGTAGCCACCTGTGAGCCGAGGCGTCTGCAGGCCATCCGCGAGTGATCCGGGACTTGGTAAATCCATGAAGCTCACCGACTCTTTCGAATCGTTGCACTCCCCGTTTCACTCACCCCATAACTCATTTTTCTAATATATATCTATTGTGTGCAATGGCCCTTGTTGCAAGGAGCAGTAACAAGCTGATCTGATTAGCCTTTCTGGCTAAGATATTTAAGTACCGTCCCCCTCCCCCGACTGTTGCACTTTGCAACGCTCGCAGTCTTCCACAGCCCGTCGTTTGACAAACAAAGAATACGAGATTGCCCCCACACGTGCCCCTTAACCTTGTTCTTGCTTTTCTGCATTTCCTTTTTCTTCCGTTTTGTACTGTGGGGTCTTGAAAGGAGAATGCCGCTCTCAGACAAAAGGTGAAGTGGACCATTCCCCACACGATTTCTCTTCCGTCTGTGCTTACTTTTTTTGACAAAAAAAATTGCTGAAGCATATGCCTCCACACAGCCCTGCAAGAAGACAGGAGCAGCGTAACAGACAAAATGCCGCCGTCGTCGTTCACCAGCTTTTCCAGCCACACGGGTGCAATGTTTCCGAGGGCAGGGAGGAGGGTGGCAGTAGACACATGCTCACCTTTCCGGGGTCCCATGGCGGCCGTGGCGAGCCCTCGCGGTGGTACCGGCTGTCCGCGCCTTCCGCGGGGTGGCGACCTCCGGGGTCGCCATCCTCCATCCTTCCTCAGACGGGCGCCCCACTCCACCGCCAACGCCCGCCTCCCCGCCGCCTCTGAAGGAAGTCCGCCTGCCCCATGGTGCGGATCTGCGCCAGGGCAGTCGTTCATACTCACGTTGCATGTGTCTTCAACGACCTGATCGACTAGTGGACTTCAGCCCCTTTAACATGCAGTATTTTCAATTCAAAATACAGGCTTTGCCGTAATAAAGCTGGGTATGGCAAAAAAAAAAAACGGTTGATCCAATCGGTACACATTACGTTTCTTCATAATAGTTTCCTCCTGCTTCGTACTGCGCTTCTAATGCAATGACCATGGCGCTGAGGCTCTCTGAAAGTCGGCTGCTGCGACTTCTCCCGGTTACTCTGCACCATCGTGAACTCCATCAAAACGGCAACTTCTTAAGCTTCTGCTTCGCAAACAAAAAAAAAGTCTTCTAGGCTCCTACCAGTGCTAAATGAGCCCTGATACAGCCACTGATGAGAGGCAGGCATATCTTCTCCCAGAGCTCAAGAAGAGCCTGAAAGGTCATTGTCCGTTTCGACGTTTGCGCCTTCCAACAAGCTGTCACAGAGACTCTGAAAGAGTGTGCTGCAGCCAACATTCAGGGAGCCTCAGCAGCGCAAGAATCGCGTTGGAAGTAGTGTATTAAAATCCAAGTAAACTATTTTTAAAGATTTTAAGACAACACTGACACGAACCGTAAATATATAATTTTTGGATTGTTACTGCATATGAAACACTTGTTTCGAGTATTGCGATGCGTTGCAATTCATCAAATATATTTTTCATACCGCTACCTAAAAAAATGCACTTTTGTTTTCAATGCTGAGAGCTGAGGTTTCTAGTATCGTCTCATTGCAATGTGATGCGACGATAAGACTGCAACACACGATGTACTAGCGCCACATGCCATATTAACATCACTGTAAGCCGGCTCGTAGCTTGGTCAATTCTTTCAAAATCGCAAAACAAAAAAGGGAGCACAAGCACGTTTTTATAAAAAAAAATTTTTTTAACAAACCGTGAAACTATCGCTGTGCCGAGGTGACTTCATGACAGTGCTTGAAAGCTGTGCAGGAAAGCTAGCTTTGCAAAAATGTGCAGGGATCATTGTCGATCCCCCCCCCCCCCCCCCAACTTCAGATTTCTAGTTGAGAAGAAATGGGTCGACCTACAACAGGGTAAATACTATTTGTCATCTGTTCGTGATGCACAAAAAGACTGAGTGGACTGTCATCCACTGACACCGTCAGTTATTTCGTCAATTTATGTTGCATGCAGTGCGCAGATATCATAAACTCAGTGAAATAATGCTAACTCATCAGAATAATATATCGTGGTCAGCAATGAAGCTTTAAAAATCTAAGTAAACTATTTCATACTGTGGGGTCTCGGCGAGGCGAACGCTGCGCATCGCCACGCCACGCTCTTGGAGTGAACGGACACAGCAGACGCGGTCGGTACAAAGCACACAACATACATACATTTATTAACTAATTTAGACGGCGATATCGCCTGCCGAATAATACGTCAATTTTAATTAACTCGCAACCATACAAACAACATAACGCAGTGACACACTAAACACACAATAACATCATAAACACATACTAACACACCCAACACACTAACACATACCCAAGGCAGCGTCAACAACGCCCGACTTTCCACATGGGACCCCGGCGCGAAGCCCGCGGTGCCGAGCACCGGGGACCCGCGCTACAGACAACCGTTCGCGGCAGCCGCCACGCGCAGAAAAGAGCTTGCTCAACTTTAGCCCACCACCAAAGCCTGCCTTCCGCCAGGGGCCACCGCCGGCGCTACCACTCTACCAACAGTGGTACTCAAAGCGAACACAACGCCATCTATCGCCCGGCGGTGGTCACCATAGAAACAAAGCCTTGGGGCGAGACACGTGCGCCACGCGGCGCAGACAACTCTACAGGGGGGTGTACCCACAATACGTACTGTCCGACTTCCAGGTGTCGACAGCATCAACACCGAATAACAAGGAAACAGAAGTCCCTCCCGCAATGTCTCAAACTCGTGTCAGTACTCCTCTAATAATGTCTACCAATTGGATCGATTGAACCCTGTGCTCAGCTATTAATATGCTTGATCAAATCAGTACCTACCTTGTTTAAATATTGACTTCCACATTATTCCCCATTCAATATATTTTTGTTAATTGTGTGTACCTTGGAATGAGAGAAACAAGTATCAACTGTAACTAATCTATAATTACTGTAACAGGAGATCTGCACCAAGCGGAGTACCAGCAGCATTCTGTCCCTCGGGTGGAAAATTGGCCTACAGAAGTTCAGAAACGAGTACTGCCATGGGCACTTCGATTTCAGACACAACCTCAGAAAGGAATCGCTGGGATACCAGTGCTCGTTACAAGATGACATAAGCACAGCACTACTAAAGAATGATGGTTTATTGCACACAACCACAGTGCAAGCACCATTGTACAAGAGAAAAGGAGGGACTCAAAATCACCGTTCCAACCTCAAATTGTGCAACAGTATCACCTACCACCACAATTGCAACAGGCATCGTACTTTCTTTTTGGCAATGCAACTAATCAGAGGTTCACAGAACTGTTGCTCCTGTACATTCTGAATGCATCTAGTTACCCTATTTGAACTGCTTGTACAACCATAAGCACGTGCATGAAAAGGGGGGGGGGGGGGGGGATGTCCTGATCGCCTGAAAGGAGGGAGGGAGCACTGCGAAGTACCTTTGCCCCCCAACCCCAAAGGATGACCATGTGAACCATGAAATATGTGATCAAGATACACTGCAGCAATACCCAACAAACCCAAACCACCAGTTGTTAGTAGTGTTGTGTCACGGTGTTTATTTGCAGTGGACCTAGAGATGTGCAGCAGTATCAAATAGCCCACCAGCATAACATTCTATTTACTTGCATACTCTGTTTTTAAAAGTTAAATACACCGCATTCTAAGCGAGCAATAGATAGAACATGGCAAATTTCAGGGAAGGCAAATTTCCGGGAAACATCATAAGCCCAATGTCACTGCAACATGAACAAATATTTTGAAATCCACAAAAAAAGAACTGATGATTGGGTGCCAGGACCTTACTGCAAAATTAAAAAATACAGCTTTAAAGGGGCCCTGCAACAATTTTTTAGCATGGTCAGAAAACGCTGCTAATCCGTAGTAGAGGCTCCCGAGAATGTGCAAGCCAAGTGTTATAGCGCAGCACGCAGCCTGCAATGCACAATAAATTACCAAAGTCAGCTAAAAATTGCTTTCTCTTCTCTCAACAAATGATGAAGGAAGCTCAAAAATCGCTGTAGAGGGCCCACTATCAGCCATTGGCTGGTTTGTTCGTGGCATGCTTGGTCAATACAGGCATCGCAGCAGGAGGCTGCGACTTGTCCCAACGTGCACGGGCGACCACACTGAAAAAAACCGCATATTCGATAAAAAAGAAAAAAAGTGCTAAAGGTCACGAGGTGCGCGTGACGTATATTCTTTGCCCAAGCCATCCACCCCCTGCTTAGCTTCCAGCACTTTCGTCGGGACGAGAGAAAAGAGTGCGATTGTAGCGTGCGACAAATCTCCGCTCTTACTGGACAAATTCTTAAAATTTTTGCGGCATTGAATTCGTGAGGAAATAAGCTTTTCTAGCGAGTCCATTCCATGGTTACTTGAAAAAGTGTTTCAGGGCCCCTTTAAGCTTCTTTGCTTTCTTTTCTTATGACGAGCCCATGATCACAAATGGACAATGAACTTTTTCTACAGTATAATATGCCAAGTTTAAGCCATTTCAGTGTCTAAAGATGGTGAAGCACTACAAGAAACTGACACAATAAAAGAACACAGGTCGTTCAGACAAGAAAAGTCGCCATTCCTAATAGCACTTCACCATCCGGAATGTACACCAAGAGGTAGATGCGACAATCTGTGCTTGAACTCTAGCCCCCTATAATGTGCATTTATATATCCGTAAAGATTGATTTTTTTATTGATATGTGGGGTTTAACGTCCCAAAACCACCACATGATTATGAGAGACACCGTAGTGGAGGGCTCCGGAAATTTCGACAACCTGGGGTTCTTTAACGTGCACCCAAATCTGAGCACACGGGCCTACAACATTTCCGCCTCCATAGGAAATGCAGCCGCCTCAGCCGGGATTCGAACCCGCGACCTGCGGGTCCGCAGCCGAGTACCTTAGCCACTAGACCACCGCGGCGGGGCATATATCCGTAAAGTGAACAGATCTCTCCTCGTCTGTGACGTGGCCACCAAAGATGAACCAAACATGCAAGCTAGCAGTGTTTAGTGGCAGAATGCTGTGGACATTTGGCTGCCCTTGGGAGCATGAGAAATTACGTGCACGAAAAGGCGGAGGTAGCCCCTGAAATCTCTCATTTTGTTCAGTAGTAGGTGACAACCGGAGGCGGTAATTCTCTGCCTGAAAAGGTACCAGGAAACCTTTTTTGGGGGGAGCGAACTGTACAATAACTGCTAAATCTAAGCAACGGGACACGCCACTACCTACAAAAACGAACCACTTACACCTAGAAGCCAGAGTGGAATCCCCCAATAAGCGGAGGGCAAGAGGCGGGAAACACCAAAGCCCAGCAACATCGCTCGTCCCTTTCACCACTTTTCAGAGCCACCACAGCATGGTCAAACAGCAGAAATGTGATAAGCTGGGCCATTCAGTAGTGGTTAATAGTTCCAACAGCGTAAAAATAGGAACCAGAACACAGAAGCGAAAGAATACTAACAGGCGACGACTATCAACTGGAGCTTTATTCTAAACACCACGCTAATAAATGTAAAGGACAAGATTACATAGGACAGGCATTACCACGCAACAGCATTATTATAAGTAGTAATATTTGAGTTCTACGTTGCAAAACCATGGCATCGTTATGAGAGACGTAACGGAGGTCTTTGAAATTTTGGCATCAGGTGTTGGTTAACATGCACTGACACTGTGCAGTACACACATCGAAATGAGACCAGCTTAGGCCACCATAATTACAACTATCATTACATTATTAATATTACATTATTAGAAGTATCACTATGATTGCCCCTTCTCCTGTCATGCAATCTGTGCAAGTTATCTCAACTTGCCCTTTAATTGGCCTGTATTTTGGATTAAACCTCCATTTGATAGTCTGCGCCTGCTTGTATTGCTTCCCCTCTGTGTTTTCGGTCGTTTTCTGGCACTGTTTGAGCCACGGTAAAAGCCTGCTTTCGTTCCTGTGCACTGTTCAGCAGAAACACGTGCCTCAACCCAGCCTAAGGGCAATGAAAAGAGTACAGCGAGTCTCGCACTGCACGCCCTGCTTGTATAACGTACGGATAGCTCACAATAATGGTGCGTCGACGAAAGCAACTGCGAGCAGGAGAGCTTCACTTTGCAAAGGAATTCCCAAGTTGTGCCGTTTAACCTTTCGCCCAAAATTACGTTGCTGGCAGAGCTCAAGTGGGTGGGTAAAAAACGGGGCTGCTCCATCATCATTTTTACGGAAAGCTTCCCCATGCTCCTTGTAAATAAAATGAGTATTACATCTCGCTAACTCCTCTGGTGTTCACACTGAAATTTGACCCTTCAAAGTCCAAAACCAATATCCACCTTCCATCTGTTCAGGTACAGAACCAGCAAAAGCAAAGCTTAAGGAGAGGGAAACAAACCTTACTTGTCCTTTTAAAGATGGTGCATAATGCCGTGAGAAAATGCACGTGAATCAACCATAAACATTTGTCCGACAAGCTGTAATCAACAATGAACCACTTTGGCCATAGTTTCCTACAATATCTACTAGAGGCAAGCCCCGTGACTTGCATAATTTTTACGCATGCAGCTTTGAACCAACTAGTGGCTTCGTTTATTCTGCCTTGGATAAAAGAGTGCATCGACGAGTAGTTCATCACCCGATTTGAAGTAGTGAGCCTAAGCAGGTAAAGGTGCCGAGGTAAAACCACTGAACGTTTGCTGAACTTTGTCTTGCAGCAAAGCCACCGCAGGTGGCAGGCAGTCAAAATAATGAAGCTTGGACAGATACCTAAGCTACCCATCATTCTCTTGCTGGCCAAGTTGCCATGCATTGCGGCTCCCACAGACACTAACGCCAGATTTCCCTTTAGCGTACTTGAAACGCTATGACTAACCATATGGGATTGTTGGTAGGGGTGGGACCACAGATCAGGAAGGGATTAATTTCTTTTTTGATGCAATGACCTCATAGGGAAATTGCTGTAATTGAGATACTAAGACAATGAGGCCAGTCCGCTTGTTTCCACTAGTATCATGCAGCAACAAGAGACTCACCGTAAAATTCGCTCACCTCTAAATGTTTACATAGATGAGCTTCATCAAGAAATTCAGGATTACCCTGCCATGGACTACCAGATAGCCTGAACTGGATTTCAATCTAAGCGCGCCTAGTGCGCACGCGGAAGCACTTTCGACACCTCCTCTCTGCCGCATATGCATCCGCACGGCCAATCAGAACAAAGCATCCGACGCGCCAACGCAGGCTCCGCCCCCTCAGCGATCGCAACGCCACCAGTGGAGAAAAAAATGAATAGGAAAACGCCCCGTTCCCTGTCCACACGAAGTTACACGCTAGAGCGACCATTCGAGTACCGATCCCCGAACGGCGACATCCGGGTATGCACAAATAATTGTTATAGAAGGAGGGGGGGGGGGGGATTTTACAATAAATGACCGATTCCAAGTACCAGCGCGGCGGAGCTATGCACCGTCGCAAACGGAGGTGACGTGCACCGATCCGCGCCACGATAAAATTTTAGTCGTTAAACCTCAGTTTCATTAACTGCTAATCAGTTTATGCGATCTTAGAAGTACTGAAATGTTTTTTTTTCAATTTTTCGAGAAAAGCAGCCTTTTTTTTGCGGTATGTCAGCGCCTTTATTGGTTGTTATAAGCATCCGAATGCTTTTGAAATCGCGCCCGATACGCTTGACGACAACCCATTCAATATGATGACGCTGAAGCCAATGAAGTCAGCGCAGCACACAAAAAGGAATCAACAGCTGCGGCTCAAAAGTGGGATGCCTCGCAGAACAGTTGTTCTAGAGCGCGTGAACGGAAGTCGGACTCGCGAATGCAGCCACACTGAAAAATCCGAACACTTGTGTTAGTTAAACTTGACAACTCGCTCATAAGCTAAATTCGGACTGCTTAGATAAGCTTGACTAATGGGTGCAGCAATACATTTCGCGAAAGGGAGGAGGGATGAAACGAAGATAAAGTTGGCGCTTCATTGTATTTTCCTGTACCCTTTTCACTTTTAACAAAATTTATTTTGCACCTTAATACAGTGAGCTAAGTATTCTGAGCCCCATGAGGCTTAAAAAGAAATCCTTTTAAGTGAAATTCGACAATTTCGGGCATAAAGAAAAATGCGATTGTGATAAAAACACGCCTTGGTGGAGAAGTCTGGTATTAGATTTTGACCAGACGAAGGTTCTTTCAAACAGACGAATCTTACTACACGGGCGATCTAAGGTCCTTTTGAAAGGCGGCCTGGAGCCGAACCCACGACCTCAGGCTTAACAAGCACACCACCCGCTAGGCTACACCAGCGGGTGCCCACAATAGGCGATCCTCGCGAAAATCGAAGGCTGCGAAAACGCGACGCGATATTAGTCTATCCACGAATCAACCAAATAGTATGCAAACTTATCCGCATTTGGCTCACCCGAGATAGCGGTACTGCCGCGCCGCTACAGCGAGTACATCCTCAAAAATAAGAGAGCCCTCGGCGCCAACGCGCGTCGTTTCGTAACTGCGACAAAAAAATTCGATTTTATCGCGACGCGAGGACGGCCCGGACCACCCACGCTGCATATATTTTATCATTTATATTTTCGCGTCGTCTGCTACGCGCCGACGCGATTTGCCCCCCCTCGGGGCCACCACAATACCCGAAACAAGAGATCAATCCACCAATAAGAAAATCCTCGTACCGTCAACGAACGGATCAAAGCGGCAGCACACGCGTTTCGAATGCGCGTTTTTTTCATAAACCGAACTTGAGGAACTTCTATATCAAAAACATCGCGCGGTGACCACAATCCGCGAAAATTAAAAATCAATCTGCCTCAATACACACACACAGCATGTTCCATAAACCGAACTACAGAAACTTTTTTATATCAAAATCGTCGCGCTATGCGGTTCGTGGTGGGTTAAAGCAACAAAAAACAAAAAATATCGACAGAGCGTGCTCGGGAATTTCGATCTCGTTACAGCCCACCCTCCGGGCATGGAGTTCGCGGTTTTTTCGAAGATGCGGTTTTGGAAGCTCGAGAGAGCACTCAAAATGTATCCATCCTTCCCCGCTTGTCTCCGAAACGCTAAAACCATTGTTAGGCGCGCGCGCACCCCACAATCCAAGCACCACTTTCAGTGCTCTCAAAAATGATCAGGGATGTGCATTGTTTCGAGTGTGCTTAGACCTTCGGATAGAAATTTTAAAAAAAAAGAAACGCTCACGTAAGCACTTACGCGGCTGTATTAACCGAAACGAGGTGGCACTTCAATCGCCGCTGGCTTCTACGAAGCTATCGCAGAAGCTGCTCTTTGGTTCCCGTGTTATTTCTGGTTTCTTTAGGCACGCTACAGTGTACTAGTACACTGTAGTCACACCATGAACGAAGAATCACGCGGGTGCTTACGATACGAGATTAGATATTCGTCCCCCGACACGATAGTTTGCCTTTAACACCAGACTATCGGTAAAAGAAGCGATATGTCATGAGATGTGTTTAAGCGTGCAGTTATGACCGCGCTGTGTCAATCTACCGGGAGTGTTGAGAAAGTTCAAGGCGTTGAACGCAACAGGTAACACAGTTTAGCCATTACGTTCGACATTAGACGCCTTGCCCATCAGACTTGGGTAACAAAGTTGTTGGCGTAAAATGCAATGAACTACACTCAGCGTACGCCAGATTAAGTCGACACGTTTTAAGTTTGCAGAGATACCAGTAATTTCTCGATGAATTCGCGCAGTTTTGAACATCGTTACCACCTAAAAGCACATACAGACAAGTTCAATAACATCGTAGGGGCGGCGTTTGCTCCAGCTACTCGAGTGCCACAGACTTAATTACGTCTGTGTTTCGAACTGGTGTAAAGCTTCATTGTCGTGCGTTAATTGCCAACGGGGAGGTGGTATCGCTGCTCAAAAACAATGTGCGAAAGTCTCTCGCAAGACAGCAAATACACCATTGGTACGTTCGCCTTAGAAGAGCCAGCACCTACGGGGAAGAGTCGGTGAACAAAAAAGCAACCAATGCGTGGCGCACCCAGGTAAGACCACCAGAAAGTTGCGTACTGCCGTTTTGACTCGGGCAGTTTGAAACCGAATCGCGGCAGCCGGAATAAACGATAAGTGCTCAGAAAATAGGCCTAGCCTTAGAGTTGATACACGAAAGCTGGTCGCATGCTCAGAGTGCGGCTGGCCAACTTTTGCTTTCGACTTTTACTTCCAGTAGCGACGCAGCAAAACTTCGAGAACTTTGGAGCGTAGGACACCGTAAAAGTTTCGGCACGAAGTTTTCTAGTTAGCCTGTATCGAAACTGCTGCGAAAGTAGGAGCAGTGTTTCGTGCAGACACCGAACTTGGACACAGCGCAATCGTCAGGCATTCTACTCACCGGTGTTCGTTGCTCAAGCTCTCGCTAGACGGGCCGAAGAGATGAAAAAAAAACAGAAGCGAAAACGAGTGCTAGGCCTAGCGCTTGCGCACGCCAGCACGGGCACGGTGCGTCGTGACGATCCCAACCGCTTGCGTAGTCGTCTTCGGCAAACACCGCCCGAACCTCGAGAACGAGCCGTAACCACAATCACTAAACTTCAACGTCGAATCCCGCACTGCGAATTCCGTCCCCCACCATCGCCGCACATGTCCACGACGGCGCCATACTCCACCAACACCGCCGCCAACGTCACGCAAAAAACGGCCCAATCAGGACACCCGCTAGTTAAACGTCATCGTTCTGGCGGACCAATCGTAAACTTTGAATGGAACAAATACCGCCGGTATCCGCGGTTCAAATTTTCTTAATGAGCGCCGTACGGCCCCGCGCTTTTGTTTTGCGTGGCAGTGAGTTTAATTGACCGTTTCGTTTCAGCGCGCAAATTGAAAGGATTTGGCCGCTTCTATTGGAGAGGCGGTTGGACTTCCTTCGCTGTCCGAGAATTCTTGGTACGCTTCAAGTGTGTTTTTGTAAAAGCAGCCGCGGGCTCGCGCGGAATGCCTTCTAAGAACCACATTTTGTACTAGCCGACTGCCTTTCAAATAGTGAAGCCCTGTCAAGCAACCTTAAAGACGTACCGCTCTCTGTTTGTTCCCCCTAAACCCGCTTTCTATTTTTTTTAAACTGGTCCGTCGGTTCTGCCGAGGAACTCTCCTTCCTACTTCAGTAGCACGTGTTTTGGCCAGAAGCGTGAAAGAAGCCCGCACGTGCTCAACAGGCGTCAAAAATTGAGCAGTCCAAGCAAGCGAGAAAGTGTAGGGGGGAGCCTTGCTGCCGGGGCCGGCGAATCTGATTACGATTAAAGCTCTGCCTAGCTCTGCCCTTTGCTTGCAGCGAAGAACAGGCTTGGCGAGCGGCGGCGAAGCGACCGACCCTCTCTACATTTTTTCCTTGTACACTTTGTTGACTGCCTGCGGCAAGGAGGGGCGGCTACGCTTTGAAGATCAAAGGCAAGTCGCCGCCAACGTTTCACACGAACGACGGCAACCGCCCCGAGGGAACCAACACGTTGAAAAACAAAAATAATAAAACACGAAATGTCCCAACCGCTCTTAGCGACGCCTTGTGGCGACGAATGTGGCTCCATGTTCGCTAGTTCAACATCTTTATTGAATTTTTGTCGGCACGCCCGCTTAACGTGAACTTCCGTTTGCAACGAAGTTATGCACGCTCGAATTGCGATGCAGGCGAGAAAACGTTAGCCTACTATTCGACAGTCAAATTCGCAGTTTATCGGGGCGTGTTCAAAAAGTAATTCATGATTGCTGGCATAAAATTCGATGCGGAGCGCAATTTACTGCGAAGAGCTTGACCGCTTTGGCTTCCTTAAACAAGTTTATAAAGTAGTACAAATATTATCAATACGAGCCGTGCTTCTAACTACGACCGCTTTGAACAAGCCACTAAAGATCCAGTAGCAGACGACAAAGCTACGACGTCTAGCTGTTTGTTTATCGTACGCATTCTAGCTGTATGCGATAACAGCTGATAACGCTCCATCTAAACCACGACAAACTGCATTGCTCGGTGGAGGCGCCAGAGCAGCCAGAGAAACGAGAAGCAATGAACTCTTTTATCGACTAATTCCGGTTCGACTTTGCGTTTGGCTTGATGTCGCGCGCACGTACGTAAACATGGCGGTTTCCCGTGTGACGGTCGAACTGTTCTACGATGTCATCTCTCCTTATTCCTACCTAGCGTTCGAAACCCTGACGCGCTACAGGGCGCCGTGGAACCTGGACCTCAAGCTGAAGCCTTTCTTCCTGGGCGGCGTCATGAAGGAGTCCAACAACAGACCTCCGTCGCTGGTGCCCAACAAGGCGTCCTACATGACGACGGACTTGCGTCGGCTCTCGGACTTCTACGGCGTGCCCATCAAGCCGCCCGACTTCTTCCTGGAGTTCATCACGACCAAGTCGACGATCAAGCCGCAGCGGTTCCTCATCGCGCTGGACATGAAGTACCCTCAGCACTTGGAGGAAGTGTCGCGAGGATTTTGGAAGCGCTTCTACGAGGACAACAAGGACATCGCCGAAGAGGACAGCGTAGCCGAGGTCGGTCGCGCCGCGGGAATGCAGGAGGACGCGATTAAGGACGCCCTCACCATGATCAAGGAGGATCGAGTCAAGAAGGCGCTACTGGAAAACACGAAACTCGCGGTGGACGAGTACAGAGCGTTCGGAGCGCCCACGATCGTGGCGCACGTAGCGGGCAAACCCGAGGTGTTCTTCGGCAGCGACAGGTTCGAAGTGATGGCACTAGAGTGTACTAGAATGGGGGAGTGGGTCCACTGTGGCCGGCGGCAAGCGGTGCGGGTGAAGCAAAAACGGCGGAAAATTTGGTGGCGCTGCAGTAGCCTTCTCCTGAAGTGACGTCAGTTTCGGCGGGAGCGTGCGAGTCGTGCGGCGGTTCGGGCCGCACGACGCGCTGGCGGGGACGCTGAGCGCTCGATGTTGTCGTCTGCTCGACGCGCCGTCGTCTGTTCGATGCACCGTCGTTCGTGCGCTGTTTTCACAATTTGTCTCCTGGTTCTTTTTTTACACATTATTAGAGACAAAAACAAGTGACATGAAATAAAATGTATGCTTTTTTTCGTGAACGCGTAGGTTTGTATTTCCCTTTGAGCAAAGCCGTCTGGACAAAGAATACGCGGCAGACGGCACGTTTGCGTGCGCAGATATGTGTCTGCTGGTTGCATAACGGAGCGTTCCAAGCTGCTTCAAAAGATTAGAGGATGAGCACGTCTAGGCGTAGAAATTACTGTTGTGTCGTAGGCTGCCAAACCGGATACAGCAGAGTTAAAAACCAGCCCAAGCTCTCACTCTTTGGAGTACCTCAAGACGAAGAAAGACGCCGGCTATGGGACCAGAATCTCAACCGCGCTGATCGGCCCTTGCAAGTCACCGATGCCATTTGCGAGCTGCACTTCGAGCAAAAATACATACTAAGGCAATATGTACATATTATCGAAGGCCGAGAAGTATATATAGAGCGGGGAAAGCCGGAACTTCGCAGTGATGCTGTACCCATAATTATACCTCATCTCCTGAAGTGTCCTGACGAGCAGCCCACACCGGAGCAGTCAACGAAGAAGAGAGCGGCTTCACCACCAACCTGTGAAGACCAGCCGTCAAAAAGAACTGCGCTGCAATCAGTTGAGCCGCAACTGAGATTTGAAGATTGCGAAAGTGCGAGGCAAAGCGACAACGCATTTGAACTTGAAGACGTTGTCCGGCCAAACGACCACTGGGCAATGCACAAGTTTCGTCATTATGACGGAATTGCTTATGTTTCGGCCTCCCTAAGTCGTGAACTCGTAAGCATCGAAAAGACTGTGCTCATGAATTACGGTACCGACCGGAGTGAAGTGATTTGTCGGACATATGTTCGGAAGACGCTGATCTCCGAAAAGGTCGCCTATAACCTTGAAGATGCCAAACAAGTCCTGGACTGCGCAGAATCTCTTCACCCTTGCAGAGGAGCAGGTAGGGCGAAGGACTTCACCTATGACGTTCTTACGAAGAAACTGGAGCAGCAAATCTCTCATTCCGACGGCCTTGTCTTCAGTGTCACGTGCAAAGGAGCGGTTAAACAACAAGGTGAGTGCGGCAAACGTTTATTGAGACGTCACTTGTAATTGTACAATTAATCAATCAGTAACCTGTTTAATGCTAGAACATTTGTGTGGCCCCTAATTTTTGTAGTACTCATTAACATTTACGAAAGAATAGTTTGCCTACAGAAAGTGAAAGTGCATAAATTGCGTTTCAAACATGCATGGTAAAAAACTGGAAGCTCTTCATAATTTTTTTCTCGTATACTTCCAGGTTCTTCATGCATTTCATGCAAGTACGTGAGGAAAGTAATACTCACCAGAAAAAGCTACCTAAAACGAAAAGAGCGAAGAAACTCAGTCTCCACCAAACTGCGGGTCCTGAGTCAGAGAAACAAGCGGATGGCGACAAGGCTGTTGGACATTGCTGGTCGTCTCGAAGAGATGAGGGCAAACAATGCGAATGTCGCGGATAAAATACTAGAGGATAAAATATCGTCACTACCGCGAAAGCAGCAGGCAAGTGTTCGCGCTTGCTTTCAAGCTGCCAAACAAACCAGCAAGCAGGGCATGCGCTACAATCAGGAGTGGATCCTCGAGTGTTTACTCATGAAACTAAAGAGTCCCCGGCTTTATCAGCACATCAGAAAGAACGAAATTCTCATGATGCCCAGCAACACTACTTTGAAAAGATACTTGAGGTCATACGAGTCGGCCTTCGGTTTTAATCAAGCAGTAATGAACACTCTAAAGAAAAAAACCGCGAGCATGTCAGACCTCGAAAGACACGGCGGACTATTGGTGGACGAAATGAAATTGTCAGAACATTTCAATGTGACGGCGTCTGGCCAGATTCAAGGCTTCGTGGACCTTGGAGAATTTACGAAGCCCGAAGACAAGTACCAGCAATGTGATCACGGCATGGTCATCATGTTTGTGCCTTTCGCTGGAAAATGGAGCCAAATTGTGGGCGTTTTTGCGACAAAAGGAAATGTGAGAGGAGACATTTTATTGAAAATTCTCATGGAAGCTACCATCCTCGTGGAACAGGCGGGCTTGTTCGTCGACCACATCACTTGTGACGGAGCCCCCTGGAATCGAAAAATGTGGAAGCTAGCGGGGGTGTCGGCGTCATCGAAGAAAATAAATGGCGCCATACAGCATCCTGTCGACGAGATGAGGAAATTGCACTTTATCTCCGATTTCCCGCATCTGCTAAAATGCCTCAGGAATGGTCTTCTCCAGAAAGGCTTTGCAACACCAGACGGATTGGTACGTATAGATTCATGGTTGACATTTTACAAAGATTGTGTTTTTTGCATACATTGCATTACCTCAACCTATATTTCTAGGTGTCTGTGCATCCGGTTCGGGAGGCGTACCTTCTAGACAGAAGTGTTAGGACACTGAAAGTTATGCCCAATTTGACCGAGACGCATCTGGAACCAAACTCATTTGAGAAGATGAGAACCCCTTTCGCCTTCCAACTATTCGGTCCATATGTCCTACGGGGCCTGGCCTTCTACAAGGAGGACATCGAGAGAAGGTGTGGCAGCATCGAGGCAACTCAGCTGTTCTTCTCGTGAGTTGCGCCTACGTTCCAAATGAATTAAGTGTAATCGTAAACATCTCAAACGCATGATGAGCGCTCTTCTGACATACATTCTTTTTGTTTATTTTGCAGGAAGATCCAACGACTGATCACCGTGATGACTTCCAGGTTTCGGGCCGAAGCGCTGAGACCAGCTTCTACAGACGTGGCATTCCTGTCCAATTTTCTGGACTTCCTGAATGACTGGGAATCATTCAGTGACAACAAGCGGCACTTTCTCAGCGAGTCCACTGCCATAGGTTTTAGGGTCACTATAGCAAATACCCTTTCATTGCTGAAGTACCTGACAGAGAGCGTTGGATTCAAATATCTCATGACATCTCGACTTAGCACCGATCCCGTGGAACATTTCTTCGGCATCGTTCGCCAGTCAAGTGGCTGCAACGCGCACCCCTCTCCGGATGAGTTTCTAATAACCGTCAACTGCTTGTCCTTTTATAACTTGGCGCACAGTGTGGACAGCGCAAACGCAAACCCTGACATGATAAACGCTCTTGTCACTGTGCATGACAGACAGGGTCTAAAGGTCACGCACAAAAAAATTGATGATCTTATATCACAGGGAAAACTTGGCGAGGTCGAAAGCACGATTGCCACGATGCCAGAAAAGTTTGCTGACCACATCGATGTGACTTTGGAGAAGAGTGACTCGAGACTCATTTACTACACAGCAGGGTACGTGGCCAGAAAGTGTGTATTGAAGTTGGCATGCGTACAATGCAAAGAAGTGCTTCTGTTTGAGAAAGCTGTCGCGGTTGCTGAACAGCTCCCTTCGCAATTCACGGAGCAATGCGACTGGGGTGGACTTCTGTACCCCTCACGACAGCTGTATGATTTCATTGCCTCACTTGAAAACTTGTTTACTGAATGTTTCAGTGTTTCCATGTTGCACACAGATAGCATCTCTGACATCCTTTCATTGGTGAAAACTAATTTTCTGAACTCGAAAGCGGTCGGCTGTCCAGACCACAAAGATGCAGTGAGCACAAAGCTCGTTTCGTTCTACGTGCTCACTCGCCTTCACTTCTTAGTGAAGGGAATGAACAGGGAAAACGCTTCGAAACGAGCGAGAGCAAAACACTTAAAGCTTAGCAGGACAACATAGAGCCTGACGTTCCTTGAGCGACGGTGTCGAAGTCTTTCGATGATATTTATTTTGTTTTTTATATTTATGCGAAAAGCTTGCGCAGTCAATTTAAAATAAAATATTTTGCGCATATCACTTCTTTATTGGTGTCTTTCAGACTTCCTATCTATAGGTGAAAACACGTTCATGTTTCGAACAAATGTTTGCATGGACACGTACCGCAGGCACGAAGAGAAAAGGTAAAATATAACATATTTCATTAATACCTACAACGTATACCAGCACTAGATGCCGAACAAAAACTCATCATAAAACCACCGCGACGGACGTGCGTCCGCCCTATAAGTCATTTCCTACGAATAGCACAGTTGCCGTCCGATGTGACTAAACTTCCTTTGCCAACACCCTCACGTAATCGCAACAGGACTGGTTCAGTTTTTCAATAATATCACGCGTCCCTAACGAATAGCTGCAAATTTGCAGAAGGGTTCGCATACTTTAGCTTTAATTCTCGTGATAACAGCTGGTAACTTTAGTCTTGCATCATATTCAATTTGCTGCCGTGAGTCTAAATTTGCACCAAACGCAAACTTACTTATATATCCCAGTTATATTGACATTTTTAAAAGCATCGCAGTTAATGCTCATATTACACTTTCGATGCGTACGTTTTCGCAAAAGCCAAATTCAACTTACGCTCTTGATTGTAAACAATTACCGTGGAAATCACGGTACTTGCGTGCGTGACTACCTATACGAGCAGGGCGTTTCGCAATATAAACATTTAGATTTTGTTGAACTGGCGCGGAAGCACGGTGCGACGCCGTTCACGGCCACGCACGCACGAACGAAGCAACAACGCTGCGAGACTGCGCCAGACGCGCGAGCAGCACGCGAACCGCGCGAACTATCAGACTACCCACCCGTCGCGAACCGCGTGGCAAAGGGGACTTGTAACCATGGCAACCACGGCTAAGTCTTCAGGTGAAGGCGATGGTAGCGCCACCTGGATTTTCCGAAAAAAACGCCTCAGCGTGGAGCCTTCAGTGGACCCACTCCCCCATTCTAGTACACTCTAGATGGCACACGTCATGAGAAAGAAGTGGCTAGGTCCGAAACCGGCCGAAGCTGCCAAGCTGTGATACGCGCGCACAGTTTCGTAGCAACATAACTTTATATACCATGTATATAAGCACAGTATTATAAACGTGGCTAGCTTGGTTGCTTGTTCCTCGTTTCTTTGCTTCTACCCGCCACGGTGGCTCCACCATCAAGCTTGTGGTTAGCATATGGGCGAAACCTTTTAAATTGAGATGGAGGACGACCGAGGAATAGATTGGTCGCCTAGAGTATAAGCAAACGCAGAATCGCGAGTTGGTGGATGTTCATCGTGGGATATTTTACAGCGCATCGAGTTAGATACGGACAGAGAAGGGACACAGCGCTGTGTCCCTTCTCTGTCTGTATTTAACCCGTTGTGCTGTAAAATATTCCACGAAATATAAGCAAAAACTGAAGAACGCCTAGATCACGTAGAAATAAGAATAGTACAGTTACATGGAAAACAGTCGAATATTGAGAGAAATTTCGAAGTACGTAATATTGATTGGGAATAAATTAACAAAGAGTTATTGTGTCACCAAGAAACCTGAATATGCCTAAGCAGATGTTCCTGTTGCTGTAGTCCATAGAAGACGGCCAAAGGGAGAGAAAAATTTGAGAATTCAGGCTTATTCCCAGGTGTCTGAATAAAAGCACCCGTTAGTGCAAAAGTTTTTTTTTTTTTTTTAAATAACATTGGGCTAGAAAAGAAGCATGTGCGCTCGGATGACGGACAGCATGCACACTCGGCGTGCATACATTCTAGGGTGAACAAGTGTTTCATGAGCAATATGCGAGTTCCAAATATGAGCGTATGTGTTGACACAAGCTAACGGTACGTCCTGCTTCTGTTTCCGTTACTGTGCGAGGTTGCACCACTCCCACTCGGCTGCTCTTGGCCGACCATAATAGAGTATGCGCACTTTGCATTGCCTGCTGCATTGTTAGAGTATGTGTTTTCAGCATTTTAGTGTATATATAGCTTTTAGCTCAAGTTTGTACAAGCCAGACAGGATGCTTTTACAGCATAGGTGTATATGACCGTGAAACCGCAATTTGTCCATTCCATGTGTGCAAAAAGCTACTAGCAATCTGCTGCAGAAATTGGGCAAGCCTCCACTACCCGCCTCTGGTCCACTAATAATAAAGATGGGAACACACATACGGCAAACACCATAAGGTTTCTGGACAAATGTAGCCAATGCCCCGCCACGGTGGTCTAGTGGTTAAGGTACTCGGCTGCTGACCCGCAGGTCGCGAGATCAAATCCCGGCTGTGGCGGCTGCATTTCCGATGGAGGCGGAAATGTAGGCCCGTGTGCTCAGACTTGGGTGCACGTTAAAGAACCCCAGGTGGTCTAAATTTCCGGAGCCCTCCACTACGGCGTCTCTCATAATCATATGGTGGTTTTGGGACGTTAAACCCCACAAATCAATCAATCAAATGTAGCCAATAATTGAGAATGACTAACGCATGGGGTCGTGGGTTCACTGATTAACCATCTGTATGGTGTGCTTGGGCAATGACTGTTTTAACAGTCATTGATGTATTGCCATGAAGTATTGCTGGTGATGAGTTTTAGTCAAGTTGATGGTATTATGACACCAACATCAGTTAGTTTATACATTCATGAAATTAAGTTTTTTTTGTGAGTCCTAAAAGCACAGCTCAGATGTGGGGATGGAGGAGTACCTGTCTTTTGTGTCAGCCATTATAATGAGCAACTTAGTGGCTGTAATAAGTATAATAATTGACAGATTGCATCAGAAGTGTACTATGTGCTGATATGATTACGTGGGAAAACAAATGTTCAACTAGTGTGTGCACACTAGAGCTCATGCTGGAATGCTACTTATATAGACTTTAAAACATTTTCCTGCAACAAATCTTCAACTAGTGTGTGCACACCAGAGCCCATGCTGGAATGCTACTTATATAGACTTTAAAACATTTTCCTGCACTACTTGGCCCCGTCAGGGCTTGTGCCTTGGTATATTAGTGTGTATATTTTTGTACTAATGCTCAAATGCATATTGTTCAAGTTTCAGTAAATTGATTATCTACTGAGAACACTTGCAATGGCTTGTGCCACCTTTGGTCAAAACTTTATACGATTGCAGCTGCCCTAAATATTCTACTACACCTCAAGAACGAAGTATTGGTTGACAAATATGCACGAAATTTATCTGTTGCACTGATATACAGTGCGAGTAGATCTGAATAACAAAAACACGCAATCTGTTTAAGCAAGCGCCAGTGAATTACAAGCATAGCCCTTAGACCACCCCGTTTGTAACATTCATTCATATACGAAGGCCAAACACCTTTTCGTTTTAGAATGCACAGGTGCAAAAGTGTCACACCTGAAGTTTTCAAACTGCCTCAAGGTGGAATTCAAGCACAAAAACCCAGAAAAGCATAAATGAAATGCCCTAGCACTCACAGTTTACATTACACACGACGAGACACGATGTTAGCTAGGAGACCTAACATGACATTTCTGTTAAATATTTCATTGAATTCACAAAGTCCTATGTCACAGTGCACACAGTTACAGATCCAACTGGGCAAAATTTTATCGACGAGAAGTCTCCACAAATTTGACTGCAGTAAACCAAGTCTTCTGCAGTGAGCAGTACTAGTGCAAATTTTTTATTTTTTTAGGCTCAGCTTTACTGGTATTCCAAATGCATCGCTCCTTCCGAGTTTCGTCAAGCCAAGCCAAGCTATTTTATCTGGTTAATCAACCGATCAGTGGCCACAAACATTGCAGCAATTTAGTGGGATGGTTGAAGTCGGGCGATATTTTGGGCACGAAAAAAAATTTTGCGCAGTACCATTTTGAGTAGGTTTAACGGCCGTACTTGCAATAATCATCGCCAATAATTTTCCCGTATATTAAGGTTTTTAAGAAAGTCACGCAACTTGAACTGGGTGGCACACAGATCACACCGCAGAGCTGGTGGCACCTATCCGGTACTGGTTTCGCTAAGCTTTACACCCTCACCAGTGTTTCCCACTTTGTGCTTTACTATACGTGGCTTTCCATTTCTCTGTGTTTGTATGTTTTGCTTTGCTTTTCATGCCTTTATCTCTGTAGCCATTCTTTGGCCTTCTACCCTTTTCTCTCTCTCTGTACTTGTTCTCCCCTCCTCCTATTCACCTGCCTTTCCCATCCCCTTGCTATGTTATATTATATAAGGATATGTTATGCTCTGCTAGTGTGCCTGGCTGGCAGAGTGATCACAGCTAGGCTTGTGCAAATAGTGAATTCTAGGTTCGAGGCAAATAGTGATTTTGGTCAAATAATTTCAAATCGAATAATATATATAGCATATTACAAGGAAAGATGAACCCAACAAACCCACACAATGTTTTTTTTTATAATTACAACAACACCTGTGCAAATGCCATTCTTTTTGGTTCAAAAAAAAATGGAAACAGCATTGAATAGCAGCAGGATACGACTTTTGGTACAACGCAAGTGATAACCTGCAAAATATGCCCATTTTAAAATTTACTATACTTACAGCTTTTAAAATTTAAAAATGGTGAATGGATTTGAGGGTAATATGTTCGTTTAACCTTAAAGTGGAGCTTTGCGGCAGAGCGAATTTCTCCTGATTAAGTGATCTCACGGTTCAGCACCCCCTCCCCGTAATGAAACCACCTTCACGGAAAGTTACATGCAGATTTATGTACACCTAGATAGGTGCTTTCACGGCTTAGCAAGCCGCAACTGCAGTGAAACCACCTTGGCAGGGGGTTACATGTGGGTTAATATATGCCTATTCTATTTCGAATACTTCTAAATTCTCAAGAATGTAACCCATTTGAATGCAGTAATATTCGTTTGAATATTCGTACAAGATTAGTTACGATACTTTCATTGGTATGCAGGTTGGAATTTTGTATGGGGAACAATTTTTTTTTTTTTTTCATTGGGCAGGTAAACGCAGCAGGCCACGTGGGCATGCGAAACTTTGACGTGGGCACTACGCTGCATTGAGAGCCATCACACGCCAAGCCACAGACACGGGAGAAGAAATCGCATATAATGCAAGCAACCAGCCGACTAAACTCGCGACGTAGGTTTGTTCACACTCCCACCACACCGATGTCGGGATCGCGCGGGTCTTCACAACTCGCTCAGTTGTGCGACATGCAACCTAAACTTGATTTTAAGTATGTTCTAGGCTAAACTTGTCCTTAATAATTTGTAACGTGTACGTCTCTAGATAAATCTATTTTACTCATTATACCGCCTTCGAAATTTCGTGTCGGTGCTCTTTTAATCAAGCACCCAGCTGTCAACGTCATGTGACAGCAAAAGAGTTGACTGTTGGTCGAGTTGGCGTTTCGATACAGAAACCATTGCGAGGCCGCAACTAAACGCACCATACAGAAAGAAACATGGGAGGACAGGCACATGTTCTCGTCTGTTTCTTTCTGTGTGTTGCATTTAGTTCTGCCCTCACGATGGTTTTTATATCGCGTGACAGCATTACCACAAACTAGCATTAGGTTTTGCGCACAACTCGGCATAAGTTGCACACACGTCAACTGCCATCTACAACACTGACCTCCTTCAGAACACGAGACTGCAAACACCAACGTCCAAAATCAGTAAACCAAGTCTTTATTTTTCACCACAATTCATGCCTCGAATCCACGCCAGCGACGACAGAAGCGAAGGTGGGACCCAATGAGTCACTTTGGCCAAGCCACCATAGATGGGAGCCGTAAACAAGCTCCTACCGGCAGCTGGAAACAACAACCCAGCACCCAAACTTTCTTTAAATACATCCCACAAGCCCTCTTGGCGCCTCACCTGTTTTTGCTATTGCATGTGGGCAACCGCGATGTATCACCAGAACATACAACACTCATGAGCTATTAAAAAAATATTGAGAACGATGCAAACAGCACTGATTGCATTTTTTTTTTTTTTTGCAATTGCTACGGAAGCTGCTGTACATTTCTGCTGCTGTAGTGTTGCACTAAACACTGGTTTAGTGCGACAGAGGAAATACAAGGAAGAGTTCGACTATCTGAACTAGAGACAAAACAAAGCTGCTTGAAGGAGTTCTTGATGTGCAAGAACTTGTGCTACTCTTTTTTTTTTAACGAATATGGTGTGCACTTTTCCGATTGTCGACGTGCGAGAACGTTTGCATCCCGTAAAAATAAAAAGACGGTTGAGACGTTCGTCTTGCGCTGTCAACGCTTCCATGTTCAGACCGACCTGCTGCGTGATGCACAGCTTCCGATTCATTCCTACATATACGATTATACTTCTGATACATGGCTAACAAACGCTGGGTAGTACTGAAATGCACGCAAGTGCGACTTTGGAATCCGTTTCCTTTCGCCATCCTTCAAACACACACTCAACACAGAAGAAAAAAAGAAATCTCGTAATCGAAATGATAAGTTGTCCCTACACTAAAAAAATAGAGAGATAGAGAGGAACACACTCTTTTCATTTTTGCTGAAAACTGTACACAAGTTGTCGACCGGCCCACCCTAACATGACCCTTTCTGAACCACCAGCTTTCATTCACTCGGTGAGAACGAAAAAGTGCAAAAGTGACATTCCACACACTCATATCGAGGCAAGAGACTCAACACGACGAAAGCATTGGAAAGCCTACACAACACAGCCACTGCAACATCGTCGCACTCCATAATACGTCTAGCAGCTAAAGGGAGAGAAGGGCTTGCAGATAGCCGCGTGCAGGTCCAGCATTGCTCTACCTTCACAGGCGTCTTCGACGGGACGTGATTGTGGGTTTTGAGGGACAACAGACTAGTAGTAATAACCATTCGGAAAAACCAGGAACCTCGCTCCATGAAAAAGCATGGTTTTGGAGTTCCGTGGCAGCTATGTACACTTGGCTGCAAAACATTTGCGGAACTCCGAGATATGCAGATGCCACGTTCCACTCAGGAGCCTGGTCACAAAACCCAGATTTTAAATTTCCGTGAAGGTTGATAATAAAGAGGCTCTGCAACAAACTCATTTATTATATTAGAAGAGCCACATGATTTTATGGATATGGATTCCGTATATATCGATACGGCACTTCCATATCATTTCCGTATTGATACAACGAATTCCATATCAGTTACCGAAATGGTGCTGCCCATTACTTACAGAATTGCTGCTCCGTAACATTCTGCAGCCAACTTTACATTTCCCAACACTGCCAGCTCACTTCTGCCCCCTTTGTAGAGAAGTTTTCACCGTGCCAGGCGTTCACCACACTCAAGTCATTTACAGGCAAGATGAGGAGGTGCTGCTCCAAGCAGCCATCTGCAAACCCTGTTCCACAAGTTTCTACTTTTGAAGAGTAGCATGTTTACACGCAGCAAAAAAAAGAAAAGAAAGGAAAACAGAAGACACGACTTGAGGAAGCACAGGGCCGGGGTGAATTTCAGTCCATATGAGACGAAAAAAAAATTGGTGGGTTACGACGGCGACATCAAACGGGAAGGAAGAAGTATCAACAGAGAATGTTTGTTGGCTCCAAGGAACTGCCGTGAACAGTGGCTGCCAAGGGGATGACTGCAGAAAGCGCCCACGGTAGCCACGGTGTTGTCTGTGTGCTCCTCCTCCAGAAAGGTGAGAAGGGCAGTGTCTGTGGCGGCACTTTGGACAGCTGGGAGCCTCGCTTGCTTCTAGGCGGGCAGTTTTAATGCCTTTCCCTTGATGACTGCGACAAAGAGAAGGCAAGAGTGCAGGAAAGTGAACACATGCCTGAAGGTACCACAATGAAAGAGTTAAATGCTAAATTGCTAAATCAGCAATCCAAGTGTGACAAAACAGTGAGTTTGTACTTTGTGTGCTATGCCACATTGTTTCTCAGCTCAACGAAACAATAATGCCAAAAGCAGACAAATGACAAATGCCGTCATGCTGATTCTAGTACCCTACCGTCTGCGTACACTGCATATGCTGCCATCTACCGTGATAACATTTGACAGCTGCAAAAGCTAGCCAATGGCGCCAATGAAAGAATAACTAGTGCATTAACCGGACAGGATGCCATAGAATCGTTGCTCGGGATGCTCCTCTCGATTATGACGATTCTTGCTTTCAGACACTTCCTCTGACTTCAATATAACTCTTGTTTACTGTATCTACTTGCGTAATCCTCGCACTCCCCGCATTGCCCAACAAAAATACGATTTCATTTCTTCCTAGAGTAATTATCGCACACCCGAGAACTGCCGCAATAATGTCGTTTGCTCATTCCAGCTACTGATGATAACAGCGTGCCCTATCTGGTGCCATCTCTTAAACATCAAGCATACTATTATTGCACAGAGATTCAATTCAATCCAAGCCAAGCCAAAGTGGCAAGTGCGCGTCGCATTTTGTATGTTGTGTCGGTAATCTTGTCATCTTAAGGTGCGATACTGAAGTCACACGGCTGCTTTCATGTTGAAAGTGATAGATTATGCACTAAACAACGGCAACAGGGCCGCCGGTAGGCCCTTCGGAGTCTACGAGTTTTGTGTTCGCTACTGTTGACGGCAGCTGAAAGCCACCAAGACGCGTTGGGCCTGCCGTGTGCCTAAAACTGAGATTGATGGTAAACTTTATTTCTTCAGAAGGAAACTGCAGACGATTCTGTTAAATAGCCATCAGCCCAATAATGACCTCCTACGCTTACCTTCTGATGTCTCCTCTTGAGCGATGAACGCTACCGCTATGCCTGAAACGCCCACAAGCTTTGCGTACGGTATTCTAATTATCGACTATTTGGTTGAACTTTTTGTGTCTCAAATAAATCTTGCCTAGTGTTGAACCTGTGCCTTTATTGTTGAGGTAAGCTTCAATTAGTACTTACCAAAGCTTGCTGTTAGTTGCTGGTGTGAGAATCCCGATTCGCAGCCACTTCGTTTTATTTTTCCATCTGTACGTTTTCGTGGAAAGTTCTCCCCGCGTGATTCTCACATCCCCCAACTTTGCATCGGTTTCCCCCCCCCCAAAAAAAAGAGCGAGGATTATGGTTTTAAATACGGTATATTTATCTGTTTCATGACAGTCACAAAAACATTGTTATAGATGGAACAGACTACAAGGTTCACTGTACGGTACAACCATGCAATGATGCTATCGCATTTGCAACATTAAGGCAGATACAATAACACTCAAACCTCATTATAATAGTGACACCCATCATGAAAGTACCTTGCTACATCCAGCAATTCAATATGAACATATACTTGTAGCACTGTACATATGACAGAGCCATTATTCACTTACTTTGTTATAGTTGTTATGGCATTTATTAGCCGGCACACAGCGAGTCTACACAATGGCGACAGTAACAGCCAAGCAAGGACTCTCCGCGCGAGCGGCGTTCTTTTTGGGCAGACCCACTAGAAAGCATTTGAGAGTTCGACCCATTTCAGTGTTTGGCGGCTTCTCTACATAGTCAATAATTCGTTATATTTTTGTTAGTTGTATCGAGGTTTGAGTCTATATTCTATAGAACAAAGGAAGATGAAATGGTAAATAGTATGCATATCTTTTAAAAGTTCCGACATTTTACAAGATTATAGCAGGCAAAACAATAAAGTAAAAGGTGCAAAATTACGACAAAAGGGTAAGAAAGATAATTAGACCTCTTTCATAATCTACCAATGCGCTTACTTGCTCTGCACATTTGCCTAACTAAGTGAGGCTCTTTCGAGTGGAGATCAAGGTATTGGCTGCACACGCGGGGGCTAGCCTATCACGCGTGCTGTGTGTCAACAGAGTTGAGCCTACATTTTCCACTACATAGCGCAAGCAAACTGCTCTTAAATGTGATGTCCTCAATGTGCGACCAGACACCATTAGCTGGGCAAACTGCATAGCAGGAAAGCCAGCTTTACAATTATGAAAAGGGTCCATACCAACTGCGATTCGGCAGCTTACTGCTACCCCAATGAATCCCAAGCCCATTTCTCTGTGCTTTAAAAACGACCATTATCTTCTTCTGCACGTCGGCAATAAATATTTGCATGGCCGGTAGTGCTTTGCATGATCCCATTTCTACTTTTCCACTATTTCGTCATTAACACTGCTAACCTCTAAGACACCCCGCTGCGGTGGTCTAGTGGCTAAGGTACTCGGCTGCCGACCCGTAGAACGCGGGATCGAATCCCGGCTGCAACGGCTGCATTTCGATGGAGGCGGAAATGTTGTAGGCCCATGTGCTCAGATTTGGGTGCAAGTTAAAGAACCCCAGGTGGTCGAAATTCTCGGAGCCCTCCACTACGGTGTCTCTAATAATCATACGACGGTTTTGGGATGTTAAACCTCAGGTATCAATCTCTAAGACGTCACAACTTGCAATTTCCAGTATAAATCTGGCCGAAATAGCACAATAACGCTGTGATCTTACTTACTTAAAAGGACCCAGCAACACTTTCTGATCATGCTGAGAAAACACTGCCGATCGGTTGTAGAGCTCCTCAGAACGCACCAGCTAAATATGGCGCAGCACCTAGCCCGGAATAGATCTTTTTCAAGCACCGCAGTGCCACCCGTTGGCGCGCAAGTGATTCTGGGAAATGTGTGTACACAACCAGGGACCCCGCCAATCCCGCCGCCTCTCTTAGCTCGTCTCTTGCTGATCGGCAGATACCGTACCGAATCGCAAAGATTTTCTTCATCGCCATTTTTCGAGAAGACATCGGGCAAGCCTATGTCTAAGCGTCGTCTGGAACACTCAGAGGTAAGAGGCGGCCATCAATCGGTGCATCTTCCCTCAGCATTGAAAGTGTTCTTGGGAATCGCGTAACCCGATCGCACAAAACGAGAAGACATGCATTTTGGCGCGATGCGTTGACAGCATCTCGCGACTCGACAACAGGTGCGTTTGATTAACCAAGCGACGGTGTCCTTGCGTGCACACACTCACTGATTTAGGACGGACGTGTTTCGTGCGACGAGAACGCTGTCGTACGAACAATCCATAGCGGCTGGTTGCCGATGGCATGTAAGTAAAGAGCATTTCCAAGAATCTAGCGCGTGTTAGACATTGCAAAATGTGTTCTGGACACTGTAGCTGAAATACAGCTATGCTAATCAGAGGGAAACGTCCAGATGGCTAGCCCACTCCCTTTATTATTAAAGGGAGTGGGCTGTGCGCTAGCTTACCCGCGTCCCTGTGTTGTGGCGTTTCGTTTTCTAGTTCCAATGAGCACACTTTCCTCAGAGCGCGAGTTAGACATTGCAAAACTGGCTTTAGACACGGCAGCTAAACTACAACTACTCTGATCAGCGTGAAATGTCGACTAGAGTGACAGGTGTATGCGCTAGCTTATCTACACTCGTATTTCACAGCGATTCCTTTTCTAGTTGCTGTTGTTGTTTTTATCTGTGATCGTGACTGCACGAGCCGATGCTAAAGGGCCACAAACAGTGGCGTGTTATAAGAGAGTAATATTAACTGCCCCACGATGAAGAGTCGATTGCAAGTTGAGTTATTCCGAAAATGCAACCCTGAAAATCTTAGGGAGCAAAGCAGAGTAGTTCACGTTAATCATAAGTTGCTGTGTACGTACATCTGTTTTGGGCATGCAAATATATATTGTAGGTACGTTTCACCATGCGGATGAACAGACTACGTCTGCAGACTGCATTCAGTATTCACCGAACTCGGATGTGATTCTCATTGCGGCGTAGCTTCCATCACAGCTGCCACTACGTTGATCGCTTGCTTTGCCGAGCTCGCCTCCGCCGCGGTGTACACATATTTCCTACACTGCACTGCGCGCTCGCAGTGGCTTCTGGGATAGCTTGAAAAAGGTTTATTCACAATAAATTATCCAAGTCGGCTCAAAATTGCTTTCTCTTCTCTCTACAAATCATGGAGGAAGCTCAAAAATCATTCGTAGAAGGTCATCTATCAGCCATTGGCTGATTTGAACTAGGCGCGCTCAATCATTAGAGGGATCGTCACAAGAGGCCACGACTTGTCAAGACAGGCGCGCAATTACACTGAAAAAGCTGCAGATTCAAATAAAAAAACAAAAAAAGCTAAAATTGCTCAAGGTCACGAGGTGTACATGACATTTTCTTTGCCCATGCCATCCCTCCCTGCTTAGCCTCTAGCGTTTTCGTCGGAACAAAACAAAAGGCAATTCGATTTCAGCGTGCGACATATCTGTGTAACTTTGCTCGCACTCGACAGATTCTTACATTTTTTTTTTGCGGCATTGAAATTATGAGGCAGTAAGCTCTTTTACCGAATCCACTTTACGGTCACCTGAAAAAGTGTTTCAGAGCCCCTTTAATCACTTCATAAACCTGCACTATGGCAAAGCATGGGCTTCATTATTACGTGGCCTCCAGTATTCCCTGCATGTTTGACATGGAAGCATGGAAAGGTGCGAAGGAAAATATGCATAGTTTCTGTCTGACCAAGCAAGTAAGGAACTAACAGAAACAAACAAGCAAGTAGGTAAACATGCACCATGAATTTTCAAGTGCGAAAAATGATGACTGGAGAGGGAAAGAAAAGGCAGGACAACATACTCTCCTAGACAAAGCAATTTTTTTTTTGCTTTAGTTCAACAGGCAAGAAAGCATGGCAAGCATTGGACTGAGTGACCTGTAACAGCACAATGCAACCTGGAAGTATAACTTCAGCAATAAACAATGCAGAGTCTGTTTTTTCCTTCAAAATCTGACCAAAACAAAGATCACTGGACCAGCTCATCACTTCCCTTCGTGAAGTGTTGTCTGCACTGTCACAGTTTAATCTAACCTAACCTCACCAGACATTATCTACCCCAGAGGTTACCACAATCATCACTTAAGTTTGTGTTTAGGGAAACCAGAAGAGATATATATATATATGTGAAACACAGCGGTCAATCCAAGATGGCCGAAGCGACACAAGACCTACCTCGCGTGACATAGAGGTAGAAGAAGTCGCAGTAGAGGATGGTCTGCACAACTCCGGCCACGATGGCGATCAGGTCGTAGAAGTTCTCGGTGTAGTAGCGGTAGACCCAGTTGAGCAAGTACAGGCCTCGGTAGGAGCCCAGGCAGAACAGGTAGTGGGAGGTGATGGTCTCGGCCTCGCCGGTCTTGGAGACCAGGAACAGCTGAGGGAGGATGGCCACCGCCTCCAGGTAGATGGAGAACGTCCACAACACCTGGCGCGCGAAGTGGGTTGCGCGAGAGAAACTCTCTTAGAATTGCCATCAGGGCATGTGCTTCTGAATACAATAAAACCAAGGTGCACCATCAATATTCGTAATGGCGGGGCCAGTAAAGCCCGAGACCTTCAGTCTTGCTTGCCCCTTTCATATGAGGTTAAAATATAGCGCCAAGTCTGGGCAGAGCTTGTATCGACCCATCTGCCACTTAGCAACGACGTTGCGCACCTGCTAGAAAGGCAACAAGCCTTATGCCATATGCGTCTCTACTTTCCCTTTACCAATGGACAACACTGTACGCCCACCTAAGCAGTAGTAGTAGTAGGTGTAGTAACAACAACAACAACAACAACAACAACAACAACAACAACAACAATAATAATAATAATATGTACCAACAGATCTCGGCCTTTAAAGTGCTGTGAAGACTTACTGTAAGTAGGGGAGTTTCAGAATGCAGACTTGCCATCGACATTTATTGCAGCCCGCTGAGCAGGTGTTCTTAAAAACAGGGACTCTGTTGCTCTCATAGGAGCTCGCACTGCAACAGATGCAGGCTAATGAGAGTACAAGAGAAAAACGATGTAGCCATTCTACTCTGCGAAGGTAGGCGACTGGTGCGCTCTTCATAAGCACGCTGCTCTTGAAACGTCCTCACAATGTGACATCGAACCATATTTTCAACGAACGACTGTATCAATGCAGTGCCTTGACAACGCCTATAAAAAAATTATGCCTGGAACGTCAGCCACGAATGCGCTGCCCTACCCTCCGATCTTACCCTCCTCCTTCGGTACGAAGGCGAGCGTCTCCAACGGCCGCCCCCCTGCGAACACAGCAATGCTCTCGCAGTCGCCTCTGAGCAGCCGCGATTTCACGTGACAGAGTGGTACAGTAACGTCACGTGACTGAGTGGCATGGAGGCGAGCGGTCTTGCGTGGCGGCCAGTAGCAACACAAGGCAGGAGGCATGGCCGCCGAGACTGCATGCTGGCGGGAGGCTCCCAATTGAAAAGAGAGCGACGTTCCAGGAATAGTTTTTCTAGCAGGCGTTGACCTAGACTAGATTAAAGCGGCAAAGCATTTACCACTCCATTGAATATTTCTGCAAGTCATGCAATGTAACACCGCCTTATATGTTGGCACATCTTTGACTGCTGAGCCAAAGGACCTAATGCACTTTCTTTAGCCTGACCAGGGCGAGCGTACAACTTTCATGATTTTACAGGTGCCGACACACATACGTAAGTGCAGTAGTTGACCTCCAGAGCTATTACAGACGTGGGTACAGTGATTTGAATTTTCGAAAGCACATATTTTCTGGACAGTTTAGTAAACATAAAAAGTCGAAACACTGTATGTTGATGCACCTAGAACACCAATTAGTTTTTTTATAACCATCTGCACCATGCAACGCCAACACACGACTCTCGTTACGTCCTTTGACTCCTTTCGTTCTTCTCAGCACCAATTTCGGTAAAGTTATGCAACAACTGAACCCATTCACAGCACTTCGCAGGTCAAGACACAACATCACAACTGATGCCTTCATACATAATAGCCTATTTTCATGTAAGCAAACAACACTGCAAGAGGCAGTTGTAGACAACACACATGCAACGTACCACATACCTATAATAGGGCAAATGTCTCACAAAAGGCCCTCCAGAATGAGCCTTTCCAATAGGGCATGTACGTGCAGCATGCAAATGAATTCCAGGGATGAAACCAAACAAATAAAAAATGAAAAGAAAAAAGCCAAATATGACAGCCACCAATTCCCAGCTCCCTCCATTTTGCAAGTTATCTATTGACAGTGACGATGTCTTTTTGAAACCAAAAACATACTTTCCTTAAAAATAAACGAAAAGCAGGCAGACAGCGCATAAGATAGACAGCATAGCTCGTAGCTTCCTTTCCACGAAAGAAAAATGGGCAGGGTTAATAATAAAAATACTGAGATGTTAAATTAAGAACTATTCCGACAAGAGGAATGCTACCTATATTTAAATACGAAGCTTTCTATTTCTTTTAACAGATGCCATGTTCTTACACTATACGATGAATATGCTCATTTAGCTGCTACATTTATTACCCCACAATGATGGCAAAAAAAATAGTAGAACAGGTTTCCCAGGACTTTATGCAAGAGGGAAAGCAGTTTTATAACATGGTTCAGAGGTGCAGGACAAACCACAGTGGCAGAAAGAACCTCTGCACGTATATGAACACAACAGCTTCGATAAAGGTACCTCTAAATATACTTTAGGTACCTCTACATTTTCAGCACTCCCTTCCAATAGAATGCTTGAATGCACCACCATGAGTATACCACCAATGCGTGAATGCAGCCATGAAGATACCACCAATGAGCAGGCAAAACCCGGCGGCCATGCGTATGGAATGATGGGGGGAGGGGGGTGGCATTAAGGCATAGGGCAAGCTGTAGCATGAGCGCTATGGTGACGCCTGTGGGAACGATGAAGCTGATCGTATAACACTGGCGAAAAACCTCAGCATCTCAGAAATGTTTGCAGCTGGGCAGGCTATGAACAACACTGGGACAACACATACGCACAAATAAAAAAGCCCTGTGCCTTGTCTGTGTGCTTTCCCCTCTGTTTGCACTGTGCGTAAACACCGTTTTCCGAGGACAAACACGAGCTAGCTTTCAAATAATATTGATTTTGTGGGGTTCAACGTCCCAAAACCACTATTTGATTATGATAGACGCCGTAGTGGAGTGTTCCGGAAATTTTGACCACCTGGGGTTCTTTAACGTGCACTTTCAAATAATATTAGTAGTAATTATAATAATAATATTATATCAAATTTCAAGTTCCAAAACCAAGACATGATTATGAGAGATGACATCGAGGAGGGCTCCGGAAATGTTTGACCACCTGGTGTTCTTTAACGTGCACCGACATCACACAGTACACGGGCCTCTACCGTTTTTCCACCATCGACATGCAATTGCTACGGCCGGGATCGCACCAGCAACCTTCGGGTCGGCGCAGCCGAGCACAAAAGCCACTGTTCCGCCGAGGCGGACAAGCTATCTCTCCGACTTCAGGCCCTTCCTTCCAAACAGGTAAGCACGCTACTTTAAGTTAGCAGCTATTCACTAGAAATGCTGCCTCTGAAAGGCTGCTGCACGATGGCACGTTTCCCGATCACCCTGGCACTCACTCCTACAACATCGGATCGCCATTTACCCACTCCATGAAATCCCACTACCTACCTACCTCACGTCCTTTCTACTACAGCATTGGCCGGCCCCATTTGGTCCCCAAATCTGGTCCACCTGCTTATCTCTTGAATATTCTTTCCAGTTCTAGCACTCCATCACCTATGTCACTGCCATCACCGAAGTTTCCGCGGTACTTATACCCGAGCAAAGTTGTCGTGCCATTCGTCTGAGAACAACACAATGGCCGCATGTACCCAGTGACTCATCAGATCATGCCACGAAATAACTGCTGGCCAAGTAATAGTAAAGGCCTGAATGCTTCAGCCTCTCGTTTGCTAAAAGCTGGCATTCACGCAGCATACATTAGGCAATTTAAGAATAGCAATTTGCCACAAATGGTAAATGCATTATCAACAAATAAGTGGTACCTTTCGAGTACATGCTCCACATGTTACTTGGTTTCTGAAGTACATGTACACTGGGCTAACAAACGTTACATTGCAAGTTTAGGAATGCAATGTTTGTGTGAGCGAAAAACAGCGCTGTCAACAATGCCGCACCAGCCTTCGTATATTGTAGCTTTACTCTCGGCTGTACATAGGCGCGGATAACAATCGAAATGACCGTTTGATTGCTCGAGACTCTCTTAAGCATTATCTATGGCTGCGCAAGGCACCCAATTTCAGATTTTCCCGTTGATTTTCCCACTCATTGCAGGCCTCTAATGAGAAACATTTGAATATAAAGAACATGATGGTTGCTAATAGAATGCCTTGGCTTGAGCAAGTCGTGCCCCAAGGGTGCATTATTGTATGCATTCTACTTCAATGAAATGTTTGTCCTTGCTACATGCGAGGTCGAGCTACTGATAGAGAGAAGCACATACATCCTTTGGTCGTGATGCTAACGTGCGCTACAACCAACGCTGGCCGGCGAAGATGCAAGTTTTATTATAGAACTGGTACAAGATCATGGCCCAAGTGACACTAGGTTTTCGAATATTGTCTTTCGACCTGCGTCCTCGCATTTTTCTTCTCTTTATGAAGTTCTTTAACAGACTTGTGCTGTAAAATGTGCTAGCGTTTAACATAAGCAAGGCCGCAAACGTTAATCTGAAACTGTCTTCTGCCTAAGCATAGCCAACCCCCCTCCAAAAAAAAGGAAAAGAAGAAACTGTACAGAAAGAAATCCAGTGAGTACCGCAAGCACCACCGCATCGCTCCTGCCACCTAGTGTGCAACCACCCTCGCCCAGAACGACTTAAGTTTGCAAGGAGGCCGTGCCAAGATCAGCTCTACCTCCAGGGGGTCTCTGAACAGCAGGGTCGCGTGGGAGAACACCACTTCGAAAAACCCACGCTCGTGGCCGCCGGGTTGTGTCTGTGTCAGCAGAAGGATCCCGCATTCAGAGTGTTTCCAAGAAAACAAAGCATTTGGGTGCGGTGCTTAGAGAAAAAAAAAAAAAAAAGCCTCACAACATTATTGGCGAGTTTTCAAAGAGAGTCATCCAATTTGGCGAGTTTCTCCATTAACCTTGATTTGCAACTTTCCGAAGCATGTACTAGAGAACTTCAGATTGTCCGTAAACTTACCACTTTCATTTTTACAAGTTGACATTAACATCATTAGGTGACGGGCAACGCTTGTAGCAACTTCGAATAATGCAGAGCCTAACCAGAGAGACACAAAGCCGACACTGCAGCGATTTGCAGGCTTAATGTCACTGCTGGTGTGAAGCACAGACAGTGAGATCATATTTAGGTTGTGGTACTTCAACTAGGTACTTTCTTTTGACCATCAATGGCGCAAGTGGGGAAAAAAAACAACCAAATGTATTGTATTTGGCAAACATTTCAAAGGATGTTGCTACAAGCGCCGCCACTGCCGTCAATAGCTCTAGAACTCAGCATACGCAAAACGTAAACAAATTCACAGAAAAATTTAAGTCTATTAGAGGCTTTGTTCAGCAACACACTAGTGCAGTAGGTAGCAATTGTAACTATGATTCCTTCCCAAACTTTCTTTAGGCTGAATATAAAAATTCAGTAGTTGCTACGTCTAAAGTGAGAAAGATGAAATAGAAGAGGGACAAGTTAGCCAGTGCAAATACTGATTAGCTACAGTGCCCTAAATTAATGGTCAATAGAAAGAAAAGGCCAAGGGCCATAGAAGAAGCAAGACAGGTGGTAAATGAAAATGGGGGTACTAAATAATGCTGCAATTAAGTGTAGAACAAAAACAGCCAGTTAATTAAGAGAACAATGATTTCAACTTCCGTAGCTATTCATCTGTGCATTATATTAAACTCCCAAACACAAGATGAATTTAGGTTCCGTTTAACCTACAAGCGAGCAAGAACAGTTATCTCAATGCCAGTGCCACGAAGCTGTCCACAGATGAGACTGTCATACAATCTATGCAGTCCCTACACACTAAAGACAGAAACAATAACAGAAGCAGGGCACAGCTTTGATGCGTTATGGTCAGATAGAAATCCAACTGTTATCTTTATCTGGTGTGCCTCTCTCCATTATCAAGGTGTGCCAAGTAGCTCCAGGTCAAGAATAGGGTATGTATTATCAGCATGACATAGCAGTCTCAGTGAAAAAGCAGGGACTATTCTTGCTGCATAACAGATAGGCGTCCCAGATATGCCTTGCTTTTTCTTAAAGTGCAGAGACCTACCAAAGGGTTTGTTAGCAAGCTACATTTGTACATCAAGCTTATCTTTCCAAGTAAAGCAACATTTTTATGATGCGATATGGTTCAAGTAATTGGGTGGCCATCTTGCCTTTTCAACCTTCATAGTTCTTAATCATTAATGCACAAAATGATTTAAACAAACAGTTTTCAGATCAACATGAAAGGCGTAACATGCATTTCGTGTTTAGGCATTTAGATACAATTCGATAATGCCTACCTCTCAGCAAGTCTTCATAAAGTGGACACTCAAGACAAAAGCTCACACACAGCCCTACCTGTTATGCTCAGTATTTCTTGGAGTTGAGTGACAAATATATAAAATATTTAAAGCTAACAAAAACAAAAACGCAGCTGTTCTGACCATTCCCTTTCTATCAGAATGGCAATATGGAATACACTGCAGTTTGTTTAGTTAGATCAGAATAAAGCTGGTGGTGCCCTTTTGAGAACTACTACGAACACCAACACGCAAGCATTACAAGAGTAAGTTGAACTTTAAGGGTTCACGCACCAGTACCACGGTGCGATTATGAAGCACGTCAAAGCAGAAGTAGTCTATTATTTTTGACGCCTTGGAGGTTTTTTCTTTTATCGAGCATGCGCATTAAATTTATGCGGGTGTCTGGGCTGTGCTCCCATCGTGTGGCTGCTGCACACCCAGGCCTGGACTGACGCTCCCACCTTTAAATGCACATACATACTCTACAAGGTGGACGGGGGATAGCCGCCAAGGTAGCTCAGCTGCTGGAGCATCAGACGCGCTATTCGAAGGTCGCAGGTTCGGTCCCAGCCCGCGGCAAGTAACCTTTTCATCTACTTTTCTTTTCTTCACAATTTCACTACAACTGCTTCTACTGACACCCCCTACACTTTCCTTGGCGTAATTGTCTGTCAGTTCTCATTACTATTGATTGGCAGAGAAGTTGTACCAGACTCTTGGAACTGCTTTAAGACGGAGCCTTCACATTGAAAAGATAGTCAATGCTCCTGTCAACTAAAAGGTTGAAATGTCCCGACCTCGACCACACACTCACCTCCAGTGGGGTGAACTCGTGGTTAATGAGCAGCGCGAGCAGGCAGACGGGCACGAGGAGGAACTCTATGCGAAACGTGTCGTGGTTGCGGTCGTTGGTGGCCTTGAACTTGACGTACATGAGGTACAGCGTGCCGTACGAGGCGGCCAGGAACACCACCTTCATCACGCTGTTGTAGGGCGACACAAACGTCGTGAACAGGTCCAGGTAACGCGCCGTGTACGTGATGGAGAACAAGATCTGGCTCTTGCCCGAGATGCCTGTGAGAAGAAGATCGTAGGTGTGGACAGTGACACCATTATTAATGTCATATAGGCAATCTCCGCAGTTCCTTACGAAGTTGCCGCCAATGACTACCACTCACACTATAAGCATAGAGTTTTCTAACATAAAATAGAGGGGACTCTAATGCTACGATCGTTCAGCCATCACGAGAATGATGGGTAGTACACAAATTTGCCTGGTCTTCGTGCTTGAGTGCTTCGAATGCACTTGTGACTTTTTTTTATTGCTGTGTTCTGGTTTTGTTTTGAACGAAACAACAGACTATTGTGAACTTTGCGACCCGATTTGAATTAGTGAGCCTACAAGGTTTAGGGTGGTGAAGCGTAACTGCTAAACTTTTGCTGATTCTCGTCTCGTGACAAAGCAGCTCCAAGCCGCACGAAGCCAAACGGAGCCGAAAGAATGAAAATCAGACAGAAATACGTGTACTACCCATCATTACCAAGCTCGCTGAAGTGCCACGCGTTGCATCTTCTATAGACACTAGCACCACCAGAGTTCCCTCTAGAGTATTTATAGGAAACTCCTTGTCTATGAGTACAGATATTGACTTCGTGTATCACTATGAGGCTGCAACAAACGCAAGAGTGCAACGAATAACTCTGATACCGCTCAGACAAAAGCCTTCTGGCAATATTTTCTAAAAAATTGTCTGCTTCCTCCGTTCCCTAGTGCCTCAGAGCCCTGCAAGTTTACAAAATAAATGAAGGCATTCATAAACAGCTGCGGTTGCCGCGTTTGCTGTTTCGGTCAGTATGCACTGGAAGCAGGAGATTAATACATATCTATGCCATTGCTTGTCACAAAACCAACAGTATCAACGTGGCATTGCTGAAGACATTAAAAAAAAGACAATCGTACATGCAGTAGACGTCGAATAAACAAGTGGCTCACTGCAACACTTTTCAGCGACACAACGCAAATTAGACAATCTGCAAATGCTTTATTAACCTAGATAGTGTTGCTATGTTCCATAAAATGATTTCTGGTTGTCACAAAAGCAAAAGCTGATACACTTGCCACTAACATTACTTCCATTTGGGTTTTTATGAAGCAACGCAGCGACACTGCCTAACTTGCACTGTTGAACTTTTGTAAAAAGATCAATATTACCGCGAAATTATTTCAAACCATACTATTTCACACTTGCCACGTGTTCTCTCTTTTTTTACAAATAAGGCTTAAAAGCAGTAAACTGCGAAGGCCCTTACAACTATGGCCAACATGTGTATCAAGTCAACTACACATTGAAATTATACAAAATGAATGAATATAGAAAAAAATAGCGACATTCCCAGACGCCGAACAATGGGACTGTGACGCACGTATGCATCTGCGAGACTACCGCCAGTCGGGAAAAGAAAGCGCAGCAATGTGGCATATGGATGACGCAGCTGTGTCGCACGTCGTGGCTCTTTCTCGCGAGGGAGAAGCAGCATGCCCATCTGCGCTCCTCACCAGTCATTCTCATCCATCCAGTGCAACATTAAAGGCATGCCAGGTCATGCTAGAGCGGTGCATTACTATCTCAGAGCTCTTCCAACGTGCTGTCTAGCAAGATAATGTGGCTCTTTGAAAAAGGACATCGCAGCACAAAACTGCATCAATCAAAGCTTTCCTTCTTTCCTTTCCACATTATAATCTTTGCCATACTTATTGAAAACCTAATAATTAAGTGCAAACTTTACTGAAACAAATTTACGTTGCATTTGCCCCGAAACACTGTAAGACAGATATGCTCAGATGGAGCCCCTAGCCAGCTTGCACGTTCATTGCTCTGCAAATATCAATGCTAGACTTGATAATTATTGGAGTTTTATGTCAACCCACAATATGGTTATGAGAGAGGTTGCAGAGGAGGGCTCCAGATTTCGACCACCTGGGGTTCTTTAAAGTGCACCTAAATCAGAGCACACAGGCCTTGGGCATTTTCACCTCCGTCAAAAAGTTAGGCAGTCTAGTTTTCAAGCTTTGTAATTTTGCCATAGCTTGCATTAAAAAAAAAAGGGAGGACGACCTTAATTTCAGGTCTGGCGGTCCCATGCCGCTAATTTCCCACAGGGCGGGTTGCCCTGCCAAGCGACTATGAACTTTGTTCAGCCGAGCACCAGGCCGGAAGTGCGCTTGTCCCTATTTAACCAGTAGGTGCCAGGCAGCAGCAATTCTCTGCCTCCCAGAGCCCAACGGCGGATGTTCAACTATTTCACAGAGGCTATGGTGGGTTAAGATACGCCCAGGGGCCTTCGCAGAACCTCATGGGGCTACCTTTCGAGGTGAGTACCCAGAAACAACTGAGCGCCATGCCGGTGTACTCCTCTACCCATTGAAAAAAAAAAAAATGGCGGGTTCCCCCGTCGGCACTGGGAATCGAACCAGGTACCTCCCGCACTGGAAGCGGACGCTCTAACCATGTTAACTGTGGTTAACAGAGGGCCTCCATTGGAGAACAAAGCTTACTCTTTTAGTGCAATCAACCATGTCATCATTTGAGCCTGCTGCCATTAAAATCCCCTTTCTCCATTTTTATGCCACTTTGAGCACCCGGAATCAATCAAGTTTGTTTGAAATGTCCTTCGGAAGGAAGAAACATGTGAAAAGACCAAGGTTAGTCAGCTATAATAGTGGCTGAAAAGCACTGAAGTACCCTATAATGTTTAAGTGCTACCCAGATGAGAATTGCGAAATTCAAGGAACCCAAATTATCAAAAATTGTTGTTGCTCACATGAGATACCCCTTCCCATAATTATGCACCCACTTAGCTAGAGGAGCAAAGTGAAGAAAGATGCACACAACTATAACATTCCAGTTTATATCTCGAAATAACCACAAAGAAAAATAAAGTACTGCTCTGACAAGTTTACCGGTGCTTCCGATGAGACGCAAGAGTGAGCCAATTTTCCTGAAACACGTTCGGGAAAGTTTTCTTTGATGCACGATCAACAAGATGCAATGCAGACCTTACCAAAGTTTGTAACTCTTGCGGCGACATTGCACTCACGAAAAAAAAAAACACCTGCATGGAATGACAGCGAAGGCACAGCGAAAGCCAGAAGGGTGACCTTTCTAAAGCCCCTTTTAAACACTTTTGGTAGAGGCACCCTTTCAAGGTACCCACTACACTATAAATCAATTTTCGTGGAGTTGAAAGTGTGGTACCTGCTACACACCTGTAATGCATTATGTGCTGTGGGTGACAATGAAAATTATGTCTGTGCCTTTCGTATGGGTCTTAAGCATTCAAACATCCACCTGTTGAACAACTCCCATTGTGTGACACCATGTTGTTACTTTACCCTTCTGAAATGCTCTATTATACATGTTAACATCATTATTTTAGCTTGCATCGCAATTTCAAGTGGAAGGGCAGCTCCGTGGTAGAATACTGGGTTGCCACACAGAGGGCCCAGGTTTGAAGCCTGATACGTCCTGGTTTTTTGTAAATTCCAATTTTATTTTGTCATCTCGCATGGTAGCAGCGACGGACATTGGTCGCAGACAACTACGGCACCCAAATGGGCCTTTGTTGTGACCTCATAACGGCTATCGCTGTAAAACTGATAGATGAAAACTGCTTAGTTGCTTTTGAGCTTGCCGAGATGTCCTTATTGCCTAATATTGTTACTTTCCCTGGCATCATTGTCAGTTAGTTCTCATTAAGGTTGTGTCGAATAACAAAGAAAATGGCCCCTTTAAATTTACACAATACTGCTTAAGTATCGCAAGCCAAGGCTACTTGAACGCGTCATGCTGCCCTCCTCGGAACAACGAGCAAGCTTACAGTTAAAGTCTACCAAGCATGTTCTAATACAGGCCAATAAGTCACTAACAGGAGGCAGTTAACTATTGCATGTTAACAATCAATTCATCACACGTTTCTCAGTCAAGCAGAAGCCACCGACTATGCCCCACAGTTTACAGAAAGTGTCATCAATAATCAATTCATAAATTTAACGCTTGTAAGGTTCTGACTGGTGCGCTTTTGACAAGTCCGTGGCACCACTTTTTCTATTTTAAGAGAGTGCTCAAAACTCGCGACTGCACAGACTACGTCGCAACGATGGTAAGATGCCAGAGATGCGACTGAATTGACACTACTCGTTAAATTAGCAACGAAAGTTTGTGCTCGAAAGCTCGTTAGCTGCGTCGCATACGGGCGTTATCAGCTCAATCCGTTCTCGGTGGAACAGATAATCCCCGCAGTGTCCTTATCTCTCGTTTCAACGAGGTGGCCCCGATCGGCGCATGCCAGGATAGATCGCACTGATCCGATAACCGAGGGACCACCGAGCGCGCCATTCAAAGTAATCTTCGGCAATCCCCAAAAAATCGTCTGCTATCGCGTCGTGTCCGAAAAGTCTCACTTTCTTACGCTCAAAACAGAAGTCCAGCCCGAAAACGACGTCATTTCTTTTTTTTTTTTTTTTTCGCAAGCGGTCAATGAGTGGACCGAATGGACACTCGGATTGCTTCGAAAGAGGTTCGTGTCAGCCAAACCGCGCACGCGAGTTCAATAAACAAACGGGATAAACATGCACCGCTGCCGGCAAAACCAGGCGAGTGAACTTTGACAATAAGCTGGCGACTAAGAATCCTCGCCGCCGACGTGCCCAGTCGAGTACCGCGTAGCTTTCGGAAGCGCGCGTTCAACCATACAAACGACTGGGCGCCGTGTATGCAGTTTTTTTTTTTTTTTTTGCAAACTAGGCCGTATATTAACCGAGGTGCTAGCGCGACTTGCAAACGCGTCACATCTGTATTTCCAGATGCACGTTCGGGGTGGGACTGCGAAAAAGACACGTCCGAAGCGTCTCCACGCCACATATCCCACACTGCAACGTCAAGTAGCACGTTTGAGACCGCTGACACGAGTGCAAGACGACTTGAAGGGCTCGACACCTCTTTTATACTTCGAAATGCTCAATTCGCGGGAGTACTGAAAAGCGTGGTAGCAGCGCGAAAGAGGCGATTCGCAGTCGTGCTTACGCTGACGACGAATGCGAGACTTGCTGCACGCCTTTGCTAATTTTTAGGAGCGCGTTACGCGGGGTTGACTTACCTGAACACGACCTCGTCCTCCATATCTTGAGCAAGAGGATGATTATGGCCAGCAGATGGGATAAGTCGCCCGCTAAGCGAAATATGTTCATCTTTTTTCTTCACGTCTCGCGAACCACAAGCGCGACACACACCACAGCCGGCAAATATGGCGGCGCTGCAACTGACGTGGCTTGGCAGCACGCCCTTAAGAGGGCGCTAGAATTAACACGCGTTTAGCGAGCAAATTGACCACATTCAACAATTTAGAATAGAAGAACTAAGCACGCTCAAAGCGTCTGAGACAGCGTTAAACGGTTAGGACCGCTTCGCTAAAGTTTGAGTCTCAATGTGATACGCTAACGTGGCTGCATTGGCTTTTTAACTGGCTGACCAATCAGCACTTGAGCGTCGTCGTCTGCTTCAAAATGTCAGCTTGCTTGTTTTGCAAGAAAGCAAGACTTCTTTTACACTCTAAAACTAAAAAATCACGTCAAATTCGCTCACAAAACTCGAGGAAAATTTACTACGCGCTGGAGCGCTCAAGTTGGACTCAGACAAAGAGGGCAAAGTAAACGAAACAAGGCGCGAACTCTAGGAAATTATCTATTTCCTGTACCGCGGCCACGTGATCACAACCAGCCCTCAGGTTGAGTGACGTCATAGCACAACGTTGGGTCACGTGTCGTGTAGCCAGTGGGTGCATGCATGCGTGCAATGAATGCCCCTATTCCGCGTCTTTTACGCCAGTAGTGAATGAGTAACCTTGAATTTTCTTTTATTGCGAGAGTGACTGCAGACCCCGGCAGTCGCGCAACAACTACACAGTATAGTAGAAAGAAAGTATTAGTACGGGCTAAGCAACCAGTGAGGTTTAGCGGCGAACGGCGGGGTTTTGTTGGTACGAGACATCCAGGAAATGTAAGCCGCATCTTATCAAGTATTGGCGGTCGGCACGCAATTCGGCGAGCATGGAGCACTGCCCGTCGTGTAACTGGAAGATACTACGACACTTCTGAGGTTGGTACCGCAGTGCCGTTCATCCTTTGTCTCTGGCATGCTAAGATGAAGGGACAACACTTTGGGTTTTGCTTCCACGAGCCGTTCCTCATTAATCTCTTAGTTAGCCCCGGAGGACATCATATTTTGGGATTCGGTGACCGCAACTGGCATGTACGTACAGCGACAATCAAGCAACCCCTGCACGCAAACTTGTCGAGTTCTTGAAAACGAGGAATTGGTCAACTTTAGTGACCACATTCAGTCCACTCAACACTGGGTGGTTCCTACTTTCGGTTTTACGCAAGTGCGTTGTATGTCGGCTATTTTATTCCCACTGTCAATTAGCCGAAGCTCTTATCTCGTTTACGTAATTTTTTTTTTTGGAGCGTATAAATCTTTGTGGCTCGTGTTGTGGTGCACGTCCCCCGATAGGGCTTAAAACGCGGAAGTTATTCGATAAGACAGCGCGGGCTCTTCTTAGGTATGCCAACTTGCTACCAATAGATGCGGTGCACACGCACTACAAAATATTTTATGCTGTATTTTTGTCGTTGCGTTTCAATCATCAGTGGCATGATAGATGTTCTACACAGCTGTGCCGCCGATTTTACTCACAGTTTTGCGCACAGTTTTACAGCTTCGTAGTTGTTTTTAGACTTACTACCCCTGTCCTTTCGCTTTTGTTTTATATTTTCCACAACGTTAGCCGCATTTCTTTGCCGTATTTCGCGAAAACACGCGCGTTCAAACCTAGAGCTACCTTCAAAAACCACACCATAATTTCGTAACTTCCATCGGTACATCCTCATTGCAAGCTGTAATTTCAAAGAAAAAAAAAAAGAAGAAAGCGCCTTTATGCGAGAAAAAGGAACGAATCTTGTTTATTCAAATACTTTGACAGTCATTGGGTAAAACCGTGGATATAAACTGGATGTTGCGTACTTTTCAAAGTCGGGGCCAATCTTTTCACAAAATGCTCCCGGTAAAATGTATTTGATCCATTGATAAGCCGAATACATGAAATTATTATGTTGTGCAAAGTGATTGTCAAGAAATATAAATGCAAGAAAAGATGGCGCAGAGTATAAACGGGATAGCATGTAACAGTGTCATTTCTTGTTCATCTGTCACAGCATCAACAACGTGTACACAAATCCTTACATATGTGTGGCGACTACCTTGCTTCCATGTAGAGTGACAAATAATGGCATAGTGGGTACTCTTTTATTTAGAAAAATTGTGCCGTGGTGGGTACCTTGCCACAGTGTTTGTAAATGGCCCAATAGAGTTTACAACAGTTACAAGAAAAGCTGCTCCTCCAGCCTTCACTGCGATTGTGTTTCATGCACAGCTTTAGTTTCATGCACATCTTGCACACTTTGTTTAAGCCTTGGATGTCTCATCAAATGCAAAAATTCGTCAACATAGTTGCATGTCAACACGAGTTATGCGAGAAATCGTCTTGGTGACGAAATCGTGGCGTCACATGACACCAAAGTTTGTGATGACATCGTCACATGGTCAAAGGTTGGTGGGCCAGTCATGTAGGCAATATGAAACCACATTATGTATGGCAAGTTCTTGTTTTTTTTTGGGGGGGGGGGGGGGGGGGGGGGAGTACGAATACCTTGAATAAAGAGAAAACAACAGCTTTTGCCATAGAGCCATAAATATATAAAGGACCCTGTTAGTTTTTCACATCATTACTGGGAACTAGAATAACATACTTCAAGCAAGTCTGTTATTCATACCGAGGCGAAAACAGCGCATGCTGATGAGAACGGACAGTCACAAGGAAAGATACTGATGCAGCACCTGTGTCTGTATCTTTCCTTGCGTCTGTCCATTCTCGTCAATACGTGCTGCTTCTGCCTTGATTAGGAACCACCTTTCCAATGTTTGCAAGTATAAGTGTATGCTTACGAACTGTTTCGAGCAAGTTTTCTCCGGTTATGCCTTTCTTGTCCTCAGGCAGCCATCATGACGACCAGCAGCGCCACCCGGAACAAGCGAGAGAGGAGGAACCCGCAGAGGGCGCACGGCGGGGCGTAGATGTTTGCCCGGTTGCCCCAGCGGCGCTGGCACATGGCGCTGGTGTGCCTTGGGGTCGTTGTGGTCCTCTTCCTGACGCAGGAGGTCTTGCGCCGCTACCACGAGTACCAGAAGTTCTACCGCTTTCAGGATTACGCGTCCCGGGTGAGCTAGTGAATCTCTTACCCTTCTTGGTATGCTCGGTTACAACATAAAAACAACGCCGCCACCATCCATCACTGTCTTTCTGACAGAGAACTTGCATGGATGCTGCATCCAACAGGGTTTACTCATTTTCTCGACATCAAGCACTTCTTAACCCTTTCAGACGACTTTTTCATGGAGAGAGTAATTTGTGTCGCTGCCCTCAGGTTGGAAAATTGAATGTCTCGCTAAATTTCTTCAGGGTTTCCGATATAACTGCTCAAAGTAGGATAGTGTTTCAGGTAATGCAAACTTTTAACACTTGTTATCCATAGCATTTACATTAGCCGAGAAAACAAGTGGTTAGAGCAGAAACCATCTAGCAGAATCGCCTTTTACACGAGGTGCACTTCAGTTCTGTGAGCGAAGTGTAGGTTTTTTTTCTTTTTTTAGGTTTTATCGGACGATTGCACATTGTGCATGCTCTGTTGTTCGGCTGCGGCGGCTGCATTTCCGATGGAGGCGGAAATGTTGTAGGCCCATGTGCTCAGATTTGGGTGCACGTTAAAGAACCCCAGGTGGTCGAAATTTTCGGAGCCCTCCACTACGGCATCTCTCATAATCATATGGTGGTTTTGGGATGTTAAACCCTACAAATCAATCAATCAATGCTTTGTTGTTCAGTAATGGAGCAATCGCGAAGACATGGTGGCAAATGCACCTCGGATAGTTGTGGTGTGCTGTCGTCAACACTTTTGTCTACACCGTATGACTGTGGTGCCTCTGTGTGAAGAAGGCAGTGTCTGTGTTGCTGCTTGGTTTGAAAGGCAGTGTCGATGGGCTGAAATAGTCTTACGGACACAGAAGTCACAGTCTTCAAAGCACTATCCCGAGCCTAACAGATATCTATCTATCTTAAAGGGACCCTGTAACACTTTTTTGTCTGTATTTTGCAGCAAGAGTGCATGTATTACTGAGTACTGAGATGAACGCACCAAAAATTATCGAAATCAATGAACGTTAACGGATGTTATTAGCCTGCAAACTTGAAAACACCAGCAGACAAAGAAAAAAAATGTCCCTTTTCACATTTTCACACTTCTACAGACTCGAAGGTGAGTTCCAATCATTGCGCATCTCATACAAACATACTGTACAACTTGCCTCGTGACGTTGTGCAGCGCAGCTTAAGTCGTTTTGGAATTATTTTAAAAATCTCATATTTAGGAGCGAAGTGTTTTTGCATCTGACGGAGTATAAGGTGTGCTTTTGTAAATTTTAGTGCACAACAGTGTGGCCTATTCGGCGCCATAGGAATACTATGTGTGACCTGTTGTGTCACAATCAAAATGACCAGCCAATGTCGTCGCACCCACATCACCAAGTCTCATTTCTGGTTATAGAAGAAGCTATTGTGTGCTGTTCTAGTCCAAAAGCGCGGTTTCTCTGTTGAAATAAAATTATAATAGCAGCTTTTTTATTGGCCTTGCCACTTGCCGCAATGGTAAAGATGCATTCCGTAGTTTGGTAAAAAGCTGTGCCAACTACACACTTAATTTTGTGCTGCAGGGCCCCTTTAACTATGCTGCCGAAAGTTGTGGGGTCTCGGCTAGGCAAACGAGCGCATCGCCACGCTCTTGGAGTGAACGAACACAGCAGTCGCGGTCGGTACAAAGCGCACAACATACATACATTTATTAACTAATTTAGACGACGATATCGTCTGCCGAATGTTACATCAATTTTAATTAACACGCTACTATACAAACAACATAACGCAATGACACACTAAACACAGAATAACAGGATAAACACACACTAACACACCCAACACACTAACACATATCCAAGGCGGCGTCGCCAACGCCTGACTTTCCACGTGGGACCCTGGCACGAAGCCCGCGGTGCTGAGCACCGGGGACCCACGCTACAGACAACCGTTCGTGGCAGCTGCCACGCGCAGAAGAGGCTCGCTCAACTCTTGCCCACTACCAAGGCCTGCCTTTCGCCAGGGGCCACCGCCGGCGCTACCACTCTACCAACAGTGGTACTCAAAGCGAACACAACGCCATCTATCGCCGGCGGTGGTCACCACCGAAATAAAACCTTGGGGCGAGACACGTGCGCCACGCGGCGCAGACAACTTTACAGGGGGGGGGGGGGGTGTCAGCACCTCCACAAAGTACACGGCTTGTGATGTTGAGGCATGCAAGGTAAAATACTATTGTTGTTGTGAGACCTGTTGGGATGGAACACCTGCAGACAGGTGCCAGCTGAATCTAATAAAGAACAAGTAACCCTCTGTAAAGTCATTTTTGCCTCATGGCGTAGGCGTGTTCGGTGGGCCAATGCAGTTGGCATGTTCGCCACCATGTGAGGGATGGTGGCGCTGCCCTGTCACCAAGATTAGGTGGGCACATGCAGAACAGTGGTTGCTCTCATATAAGGCTTGGTGTGCCCAGAGATGGTCTGCTCTTGTGGGAGGCTCGTGGGGATGACACTGAGGCCAGTTTCTGTGGGCTCTTTTGATGAGTAGAATGTCAGCGACTCTGAAATCGCCGTGCATTGCATGTGTTCAGTTATGTCTGTGTATTATTGGCATTATCTTAGGCTATTTGTCATATTATTGTGTGCAATATTTGTAATATTGCACTGGTGGGCTGGCAGTCTTGAAAAAAGCTGCTTGTAACTGTCCAAGTCTTCATTGCGCTAGGTTGCGTAGTGCATCCGTTTGTTCTAAGAGTGCCGTTACATCACCCTACAGTGAAGAAGAAGAAAAACGAGCATCTATTTTAATAAGGATTAAAGTTATGATGATACATTTGTCAGCATTCAACCTTGAATCACTAACATAGTGTGGCAGAAGTTCTGAGAATGATGGAAGGTTAAAGAAAAAAAGAAATCTACGAACACAAAGTGTCACTGGAGTTCGCGTTTTAACAAACAGTGTTGTCGTCATCAGGGCAGCAACTGTTCGTGCCTTTAACAACAGAACTCATCTTTGTCAGGGTCTGAGAAAGAGAAGTTTACTTATCCAAACATTGATTCCAACGACACTCCCTGTCCAATGATCCAGATGTTGTCACCTCAAGTGTTCATGCTATTCTGAACTTCTGTCTTGGTCAGCATAAGACAGAGAACTTGCTAAGACTAGTCGATTTCACGAACTGGTATTTGCTGTGTTGTGTCCATGTGTTCACGGTTTGTCTTGGTGCCTACATCTCTGCCATGTTATGTATATCAGCTGTTCTGTCTTAAACGTATGTCTCACGTGCAGGTTGAGGGCTTGAGGAAAGAGATGTCGATGCTCGAGGCAAGCGCCAGGCAATTGGAGAACCGGACAGCCGCCGTGAAGCTCGACTTGCTCGTCGGCCGCAAGCGGACCCGCTACAAAGACACCTCCCGACTGGCCGCTCACTAGCATCAGCACTCGAAGCGGCTAGAGCTGTGCCACATTCGTCACGCTTACAGCAATGCAGAGTGCCAGGAACAGGAGGCGTGGCATAAGGTCGGAGTTCAGCTTGTGCGACTCCTTTGTGTTGCGTCTGCCGCTGATCCGCTGCCGAATAGGCGTGGGTTACGTCACATTCGTCACGCACACAGATGTGAAGAGCGAGAGGAGCAAAAGGTGTGACATGAAGTTTGAGTTCAGCACGTGCGATTCGTTCGTGTGCTGCGAGGCGAAGTCTCGCAAGTGCTGGCGAGTGGTTGCGAACATTCTGCTGTGCGGTGTTTGCCAAGTTTGTGGTATGGTGTAGAGTGTAGTTTTTTTTTTCTAGATGCTTGTTCGCTGTCGCGAATTTAGCTTTAAAAAGTGCAATCCTACTGCCGATAAGTTAGGCGACACTGCTATGTACAAATGTCGGGTCTCTAGAGAACTTCTAAGTCAAATGTCTAACAATTATTATCTATGCATCTGTTTTGTTTGCAACATTAGTTCTATGTTTGATTCATCGGTATTTGCTTGTCGTCAATCCAAGCTACTAACTGTTTCAGTGGATTTCTTAACCATTCCACAAGCAGCTGACAGTCCCTTCACAAAGGTTGAGGCTGCCAAGCTATTGCGTGACGAGGAAAGTTCCTCGATTGCGTGGGCCATCAACATGCCCACTAGCGTTTGCTTCTCGAGTAATAGTGTCGTTAAAGGAAGTTTGCAAAGTTCGTAGTTGTCAAGTTGCCTGTATTCGGTATGAGCAAACAGTGCTGCCACTTGTTAGGCATGCCAGAACAAACAAATGTAAGACCCGACAAATTTTTTGTGGCTTACACTTGAAAGTGACAACAGCAAAAGTTGTGAAATGTGCTGCGGAACGATGCTCTTAGTTTTATTTTTTGTTTGTTGACTAAGGATGACTAAGCGAATGCCTTACAGTTGTGGATCAAAATTACTATGTATTTGAATGAACAAAAGAATTTGCGGTGGAAAAAGAAATGCTCAAAGAATTGTGGCTTTTGTGCGACTTGATTGTCGAGTAGATGCTGAAATACATCAAAGGATCCTTAGACTGCCATATTTCAAGCGAGCTGAATAGGTTAATATCTCACATCTGAGATATTTGAAAGCACAGTGGACTTGCACTAATCCTAACTTAGAATAAAATCCTGGTGGTTTCGAACATACATAAAAAATTTGTTGCTGTGGCGAGCCTGCATATATAAGATTTGCGGTGCTTGTTCACTTTGACAAAAGCAGGCCGTCAAGCAGGCATTCACGAAGCCGGAACAGTTGAAATGAGCCTACATTTGATGGCTGCTGTCTCGTGTGTTTACAGCAACGCTCTCAAACCATAGTTTCTTCATTTCCCGCAGTTCAAGCTCGTTCACACAAAGATTGGTAGTCTCTAGAAACCTGAATTATGAGATTTTACTGTAACTCTTCTTGTTTAATGTCGCCGACAACGGGTGTCGTCTCCTTGCCTACACTGCACGAGCGGGTCTCATGCAGCCCAATGTTCACACTGTTGTTTGTAATATAAAGAAGCTGGCATTTGCTACGAAATAGCCATGTCATTGCTCACAATGTCTACGACGTGTAGTTGATCTACATCAATTGCTACTTACACGCACCGGGGATTCAAGGTTTACGGAATTTACAACCTGCAGAAAGTGATTGTACGCTGATGACGTGGCAGTTGTGTATGTTGAATGACCTATCATAGCATGTCGATACACTAAGTGCATCTTTTTTTCGTGTCTGAAACATTCCATCGCAGTTATAAAAAGTCAACACGCTCATGCTCTTTTTTTCTTCCAGCAGTGTGTTGGAAGATTAGAAGTCCATTCTCATCACAGTTGACATGTCAAGTCATGGTTGACAATTTGCTATATCGTGTTGACTATGTGCCAGAGATAATAATGTTGGTGTTGTGTGGAGATGGCCAATATCAATCGGTTGCATCAACTCTATGGCATGTTTGTAAAACTCAGATTTCCGGGTGTTTCCTAAAGAGTGCAAATTGTGTGTTTGTTCAGTAACACTGTTGTCGATATTAATATTCTGGACATCGATGGCAAGATTGTATTGTTGTTTGGGGAAGTTGAAACCCTCAGTTGATAAGAATGTTAGGTGTTGTGATCGTTGTCAAAAATGTTGCGAAAGTGGTTCAACAGAGATTGTGTAGGTGTTGTGGTTACAGCTTTATTAACAATAGCATTATTGCGGTTCATGGTAATGTGAAACAAGTATGTGCAATAGCTTGGCTCCAAATGCGTCGGAGATTGGGCACCGTGCAAAGTTGCGCCAGACCAATTAAAGGCTTTTATTTTACTGTGAAACTTCTTGAGCCATGGAACTCAAATGAATTCCGTTTCATTGTGACTTTTTGTAATGACTGTCACATGCGGGGCGTTATCAATTCATTTAAATGTTCCTCCATTTTAAAGACACACTTAAAATTAAATGCCGGTTGTCATGTTGCTTCTGTACACAGCTGAGTGCCACGTGCTATTAAAAGATATCAATCTTTAAATCCAAATTCATAGGTTAACTTATTAGAGTAAAATGGGCTCTCACTTCCGAGATGGTTGGCAGGCGAAAAGTTGTTGCTGGATGCTTCACCGTTCAACTGCGGGAACTTGGTTGCAAGGCTTTTGTCGTATTTACATGAATGCCAAGAAAGCATGGAAGGGTCCTGGCTGTATTGTTTGTAACAATTGCTGTTGAGCTAATGGTTGAAAACCATCTTTGGTGTGATTTGTGGCGGTATGATCCACAGATAATTTAGCTAAACAAAATGCCACTTCATTGCTCTGTGCAATTTTAGTCAAACTATCGCAGCTGGGCATTGGTTCTAGCAGTGGTTGAAGATTACCAGTGGACCAAGCGTGGTGTCATGGGTCTGTTTGTAGTGGACTTTGTTCATTACCTTTTATTGTCTTTGTGACCCACACCTCCGCTTGAGAGTAAATATTCAGATATTTGTGCTCTAACTCTTCATCGTTTTACATAGGCGAGCGTGTTGAAAGTTAGGTGTTGGTAGAACAGTCGAGTTTTTGTTGAAACGTTCACTTTGTGAAAAAAAAAAAATCGGTACAATTTCGTCGTAGAACCACTGATCCAGGCCTTTGGCATGCAGGCATTGGTATTGTTGCTGTGAGCGTCTGTTGAAAACTGTGTCATGAACGGCAGTGAAGTAGATAGAGTTTCCAAATCGGGGAAGCATCTGCAGGCGGTTACGTTTGGTGTCAGCACGTCGTGGCATTACAGGAAACCCTCTCCTCTTGAATGCACCAACATCTTTGTTCAGCGAAGTATCCACTGCATGAAATACCGCCTGCAGGGTTGAGCGCCACTCACGTTACTGAATTTAGTTGCTCACCTGATAATCCCGAGTTGCTCACCTAAGTATACTTCGTGCAAACTAACACAAACAGAGCATGCAACTGTCGATGGCAATAGTGCTTTTCTTAGAATTGCGTAAAAGATGTGCACATATGGGAAGTTACGAGAAAGTAGCACACGTTGCTTGAACAACTCACGAGACGGAACTTTTCTGCAAGCGTTTTACCTAAGCGAGCAAAAGCCACGACTTTATCGAGATTTTATATACATTGCCTCCATAATTGGGCCATGGTAAAGCTGGCCAAACTTGCGCAGAAGGTTGTCTGTGCTTCCATATGCTAAAGCACTTGCACGAATGCTGTAATATTCGATACAGTGTTCCTGTGTGTACCCGACATTTATTGCATTTCAAGTCAAAAACTGTCAGCACTGTCTTTATTGGGGCCAAACATTGTGGACTTGCATATGCTTCGGCTAGCAGGACGTGTTTCAAACCTCTCTGGCTTGCAATGCAACCTGCTTGAAAAAAATTTGTGTGCCACTCGTGGGAATGTGCCGAAACATGTTCTCGATGTCCAAAAACATTTTTGCATTTGACGCTTTTGCAAAAGCCTCTATGCGTAACTTCTCCTGGCTGTCGTACGATGTCACCTGTTCACCCGGGGCAGCTGCTTCATCGCTCATAATGTGTTGTGTATGTTCGTCCAGTATGAGTGCGCGTCACGGTTACTATTTTTGTAGTGTTGAGAGGCGGCATGCGCTGTTTCGAGAAGAAAGCCCTCGTTGATATATATACATGCACGGGTTGCACCGAAAGGTTGTGGAAATAAAGCCAGTTATTTCTATACTCATATCATTTTGCCATGGTTTTCTTGTGATGTTATACGCCCTACTTTCACTGTATGCACAAAATATTAATGCCTTAGATTAATTGTTATGAATGCTGTGGATGCCACGCTATTGCACAGTGCTCAAAGGGTGCACTTTGTAGGTAGCCTAAAGTGAGTTGAGACTTTATACATATCCTCCAGAGCAATAGGCCTAAAGTTCAGGCAAGATTCGATAAAAGCCTAAGGCTGTGATTTAGTCCAAATAATTGCTAAAACGGACTTTGAGAGATGTTGAACGCACGATTGTCGTGTGCGTGGAGGGGGGGAGGTCAGGGGGGGGGGCGGCCGTCACCCAAGAGAGGAGAGGGGGTGCAAAAGTCAACTGACATAATAGGGGGGACGGCTCTGCAACTCGGTGGGGGGGGGGGGGGTGAAGTCAGTTCCATACATTGACATATATGGGGGGTGGGGTGGGTGCTGAGTGGAATTTGCGCACAACATTATTGTTATATTAATAAATTACAATTCAAAGATCGTCACGCTGGCTGACACAGGCGCTTGCAGTGGCGGCGCCTAGTGACAACCACAGCAAACAAATGTGCGGATGGCCGGGTCGCCGAGGCCCGTCATCAAACGCGTGTAACAACACTACTGTGGCGGCACCTCCGAAAAAAATCTATTTGCCATTTTTACATGATCGTATTGGACTCGAATTTAGGTCAACACCCTCCTCGCCCACCATTAAAAAATTGCATGGCAATACAAATAAAACTAAAAAACTGACCCCACTTATGCAGTCAGAGGTGCACGGACTTCATTGTTGGATTCGGCGCCAGTCACTTTACGCGCTTCTGAGTACCATCCTCGTAAAAAGTAGCGTTGGAAAATATTAACAATGTATCACCAACTAGCCCCGACACGTCTGTTGTGACGTGACAAGAGAAAGCTCACGCATTCCCTGCGTCATTTGCACCATCCCCACCTCCGCGTGGCCACCGGTTTCATAATTCCATCGTTCCAACTAGCTGGGACTCAGCCTCCGACTCAAAAAAATGCAAGCTTCGCTTTGTCAAGGCGGCTTTTCGGCAGTGCTTGTAAGATATACAGAAAAACTAGTTTTGTGGCAAAAAAAAAAAACGGAGATTATTTTTGAGAAACTTTTTGCGAATTCTAGCAAAATGCGTTGGTTATACGCAATAACATACGGTATATGTCGCAGGCGGAGCCGCAATGCAAATATAATGTACTAAATATGCCATAATGTCTCTCATTCCTGGTTTGTCCCACGTCCGTAACTACCGGTACTATTTTCGGTTTAGATCGCGTCGGCCCTTCCAACGTCTGGTCACAAAATGGGATAAGATGGCTGATTCACAGTCCTATAAATACGGCATGTCAGGGTTTAAGTTTGTCCATGAGCGTTTTTTGCGTGAGACGTAAACGTGTGGTAGCGTAAAAAATGTGGGAGACCAGTAGGGTAGTGTCACCTGGTGGTACCAAGAAGAACCAGGCACGTTATGAGATGGTGGCTGCAGTGCTCGGCTGCCGACCCAAAGGCCATGGGTCTGATCCTGGCCATGGCGGCGGCTTTTCGATGGAGGAGCTATGGTAAAGGCCCGTGTACTGTGCGCTGTCAGCGCATGTTTAAGTCAAAATGGTCAAAATTTCCGGAGCCCAGCCCACTACGGCGTTTCTTATCATCATATTGTGGTTTTGGGACGTAAAACCCCAGATAATAAATGCTAAGCAGCTCTTTGACTAGCCTGCGTAACGCTGTCTGTCCGTATCTCCACGCCAATGCGCCGCGCCGCGCTCCCCTGGCCGCAAGTGTTGGGGTGGTGCCATGTAGGTCACACCTTCCGTCGCAGTGTGCGGTTACGTCACTTTTTCCCTCACCTGCCGCGCGCTCGCCGCGTGTCACATCTTTCTCGCTTCACACTCTCCACCACTCGCAACGTTCGAGCGCGCATCGAGTAAACCGTCTTTCGGTTCGTTTACCTGCGATGGAGAAGACGCCGGAAAGGGAAGCTCGTTCGCCCGCCGAAACATGCGCCGAAGCGATTTGGTCTAATCCGGCCGGCGCTGGGAGGGTTAGCAGACCCGATCGCGTTCGCGAACGGCGAGTTCGCGCCTGCAACACCGACGAGACGCGAGCCAGGGAGCCCAACACAAGCGTAGGCAGCCGGATACCAACGACACGGATGAGGCGCAAGTAAAAAAAGCCCGATCGCGTACGTGCGCAACGCTGCTGCTTCGTATCCAACCAGGGTTCCTTTTGGGAAGATGTTAATTTTTATTATTGAACATACATAGTAAAAACTTGCTCATTTGAACTCGACGGGGAATATTTAAAAAAAGTTGTGTGAAGCGCAGTTTGAATCAGTTGGTGAGCAGTGCAATGAACAGACATTGCGCATATACTTGCGTGAGCAGAATCCAAAGAAGCCAGCTATGCACCTATACAATCAAGGCAGGAGATATGGTAAATTTGTATAAGTATTTTGTGCAGAAATTATGCTTATGGAGCTCCAACAGCGTACAAAATAATTGATCAGTCAGTGATACGCCGGAACCACGCACCGACGTTCATTCAAATTCGGAAACTCGAGATGCTGGTGCTAATAGATTGAGATCCATGAACCCGGGGGCATTTCCGGCCGATTATTAGTGACGAGCGTTGCCTATAACATATTATTTTGGATTGATAATAAGGGTGAGTGCTCATCTGAGCTATGAGCACCAATCAATATCTTCTCTTGCTTGACGTAGACAAAGGCCCCACGTGACGTTTCACGAGTAGAAAACACTTTCGGGGTGCACACAATACCCCAGCTGGCACCCGGTGACAGCTCTCGAATTGTTGTCGGGCTGCTCCCAAGGTGACCTTGGCTGCTTTTGCCTAGAATGCTTTTCTTTTTTAAAGCACCCGCATCGTTTCATAATTCATCGCTGGAGGGACCCCTGATTTGAAAACGGCGCGTTCAGCATCACCAAAGCGCACGTATTCTCAGGCGCTCTCCGCTACGCGGCGTTAGTTGCGCAGTATTTAGGCAGACGTTTCAAACTGACGCAAAATTGTTCGACATTGGCGACACTATAATCAATAATACGATGCGTTAGAGTATTTACGATTTCGATTCGGGACTGGCAGACGCCAAGCTACAAAGCACTACGAAAAAAAATCACAAACAGAACTTTCACTGTCAAGGGTCCAATAGAGAGCTTCAGTGGGTATGTATGCTCTCTTTACTGCGCATGTGCGACACTTCTTGCCTCCCGTCTCTGCTTGCTGAAGAGTGACCGGCTGGAAAGCTTAGTATAGCTAAAAAAGATTTTTCTTCTCATGTTCTCCACTTCTCGACGTGGTAAATAAGTTATAGTTTGATTGGAAAGAGCGTGGGTCGGTTTGTGATTACGGCAGTTTTTTTTTTATTATTACTGAGGAGCGCAAGCTAGCGACAGCCTGAAAAGCTTCGTTGTGAAAGATTCTGTACTGTGAAAGATTCTGTAGTTGTAAAAGGGTTCTATAGAATTTTTCGTGCGAACTAGCAAAACAGAATAACGCCACAATTTTTCGGCCCCAAAAGTGTCGACAAAAACATACGCATCAGTGCACCGCTGTTTGTGAAGGATGTGCTATGCATTTTCTTCATTTTCCTTCCTTTTTATTCTCAGATCTTCCTTCCCGCTCTCATCAATTCCCTAACCCGCTTACACATATGTATGACTTTGCTTGACACGCACCATTTTTTTTTTTTTGTGGTGGACTTCCCTTCTGCGCCATGAATTAACCCATCCCCTCCAGCTTTCCTTCTTTCTTATCCTTAGAATACTACTCTTCCCCCCCCCCCCAAATTCTCCTTCCCATCCTTTTGCTACTATACTACGCTATGCATGACTATGCTATGCTAGGAGCTGCTTGGTGGACAACCGCTATTTACACGAAACTCCGGCGATTTTTCGAGGTCAGTGGATCTCGATGAAATTCACTGGGTACATTCATTTGCACGTTTGCGCCATTTATGCCAAATTGCAGGTTTGAGAGTTTCGCATATTCTCTTCAAATGAATATTATAGCTTGCCCCCAAACGCTCACCTCGCTTGCCAGAATTAATGGCAACATTCTGTGTGTGACGTTGAGTTTTGCAAATCGGAAGTGACGGAACTGATCTGCCACTGCAGCGTCTGCTGTGGATTGTGTGGCTTTGGCCAGCGCTTCCTTGGTTGAGCATGCGATTCCCTCTTCCGTCTTGGTGGGCTCACTATATGGGTGGCAGGCCAGGCGGGGTTGCGTTGTGGGATGCGTTAGCATTTTAGCCGATCGCCGCAGGTGTGAGCTTGGCTGGCATGGACAAGTAGCGCCATCTGGTGGCGTTATGCGCAACCAGGCAGGTTTTGGAAAAGTATTACGTCATACGTAGAAGCGCACTCGGTTGGGTTTCAGCATCGCGTTTTTTTTTTTGCTAATTAAATGTTATTTCCGAATTAGCGCCATCTGGCGACATTATGCGCAACCAGGCAGGTTCTGTAAAAGTATTACGTCATACGTAAAAGCGCACTTGGTTGGGTTTCGGCACAGCGTTTTTTGTGCTAATTAAATGCTATTTTCGAATTTGTTCCGCATTCGAGCTATTGGGCACGTGACAAGAGTGTCTCAGGAACATATAAGAACCATTACCCAGACATGGTAACAAAAATTGCCGGAGTTGGCTTTTACACGTGCACAAACCAAAATGTCGTCCATAATTACTACTTCAGTAGTATTGCGGAGAAATCATATAGTACTGCATTAATTACATCTATGTAGGACGAGGCAAGACGAACGTTTGTCCTATCTTCGATAATTGCGGTATCTGTGTGCATAAAAAAGCAATGTTGTGGCCGGTTCCACAAGCCAGCCTGTGCTTACAGGAATGCGTTGCTCAAAAAGGGTGACATTGTTAGCGCGACCGATGCACACACGAGTCGCATTCTTTGAAACGGCTCTCACGATTGTGTCTTAGTTGCAAAGCAGCTCTATTAC